TAAAAATAGACACAGGGTTACATTGATTACCAAGTCATTTCAAATTTGATGATGGACTGGACGCTAAGAAGAGGCGTGTACCAAATGCAAATTGATTTCTTCTTTTTTTTTGGGGGGGCTTTGGCCTGCCTTCAAGCCTTGAATCATGTTGTATTCATTCATTTTTCGCAAAAATGAAACTAGTGGTTAATGATTTAGAAAAGCGATTAACTCGGCTTATCCATCACTGATCGATTTCAAAGTTAATGATCAATATTAGAAAGAGTTACGTGCCATATGGAAATTAGTTTTTCGGTAAAATTCTAAATCGGGACCCTTGAAATGAGGCCGCTTTTCAAAAGAGTCCCCGAAGGGAGCAATACAAAAGTAGCTCATTGATCGGCCATATCTCCGCCGGACGGTGAGCACATGCATCTCGTGTGCAAGGGTATCCTTTTTATTTTCTTTTTTTCTTTCTTCTTTTCTCTCTTAATTTACTTTTCACACTTGTGCGAAGCCATTTTTGGTGTCCGATCTCACTCGACGTCATGAAGTCGCTGATGAGCCTATAAACCAATGTCACCTAGGACCGCTCCTCCACTCGACGCTGGATTGATCACATTGATGATCATTCTCTCTCTTCTCGCTCGCGGCCATGGTCGCCATATCTCTGTGCTTCAATGATGGCAAATGCCACCCGATCTCCAAGATGGCGGCCATGACCCTCTCTCTCTCTCTTCTAACTCCCGCAACTATGGCTACATGATCTCTAAGTTGTAAGCCTTGGTCGCCCAAGCTTCGAGCTCGCGGCTATTGCTGCTCCCTCTCTTCTCATTCATAGCTCTTTAACTCCTCTCGCTCGTGACCCTCTAACTCCTCTCACTCGTGGTCTTGGCCACTTAAGCTCCAAGCTCTCGGCAATGGCCAAAGCTGCTCAAGAGCTTCAACTTCTCGCGTTGAGCGACCGAACCGAGCCGAGCCCCGACACCGTGGCCATGGAGGTGACCGGCCTCATACGACCACAAACCTATGCCTATGCAAGGCTAGCGACCTACGTCAAAATGAATTGACAGAGGCCGCGACTTCCATAGACATAGGTTCTCGCTTCATACGCGTTGTCACCTCCAATCTCTGCTGCTCCTTGAAGTGAGGAAGCCCTCCTTGTGATCATGGCGATGAAGATTTGGCGGTCAGTGACATGGGATATGTTTTAAAACTAAGTTGGCCATTTGAAAGCTTTATTTAAGACAACAGCATTATTTCAGGACTTTATTTTAAATTTTCCCTTAATTTTTTTGACCCTTTAGCCTACTTTTTCGTCATGAATCGTGTTACTTTCGATCATTTTGCAGCCTAGTTATGTTTGAAGATAATCAGAATGGATTTCTTTTTTGCTCCTCCAAAATAGTAGCTACAATCTTTTATATTACTAGGAGTGAATCGAATTTAGGATCTGTCTGAATTGATTTTCGGTTTTTATATTTTGCTTGATCCAAATCTCGCGGCTCTCTCACTTTGACTTTTTTTAAATTCGAAATTCCTAAAATTTTTACGGTGCTTTTTTTTATAATTTGTTTCAAATTTAAATAATATATTAAATTTTGATGGGAAAGCAAAAAAGTACTTTTAATATAAATATAAGTAAACAACGGGCCATTAATTCAAAGGAATGCATGTTCCATGTCTGCCACGTACATATAATGTGAACACCCTTTTTAATTTTTTTCTCAAAGTCCGAGCTCACCATGTGACATTTTCAAACTACCATGCAGCCTATGACTTATTAAAACCTTTCGTTTTTTTCATTATTTTATTCACCAAATAAGATTCTACAGAAAAATACATAGATCTCCCGAATTTTGGGAGTAGTATATATTTTCCCCTAAAATTCCAATCGGCACATGTTCTTGTTGAATTTTCAATTTGTTACGGTCATTAACCTTCGGTCATAGTTCTCTCCATAATGGCCACTTAAAATCCTACGTGGCGCTAGTACAAGTTTGGGAGTATAGGCGAGACAAAAAAAAGCTTGGAGTATCAATGTCCTGGGGGCAAAATTCAGGCTTTCTGATAGGATTAACCAATTGTTTTATTTAAAAATGTTCAGGATGTTCATTTTTATGTGAGGTGTATAATTTGTGACTTGTTATAATTATTTGTAAGCTATGATTACTCTCATGGAGACAAATCTTAGTCTGCAGATAAGTTGTAAATTTGGTGGATAAAAATTTAAAACTTTTGGTATAAAACTAAAGATTAAAAATAGGGTTTAATATTATTTAAAATCCAAAATTAATATCCATGACACATTCACTCTAAATCTAATTTTTGCCTCGTGAATAATTTTAAAATAGGTTTCCCACGAGGCATCTCCTCAAACTAATTTTCGTCTCACCAAAATTCCCAAACCATTACCTCATCAAACATGTGCCTCAAACTATCTTGGTCTAACAAAAAATCCAAACCGGTACCCCAATCTAAATCCGCCCTTCGTTAAATTGCATTCATCTCCGTTAAATTGCCTCAAAGTTGCCTCAAAGTTGACGTATAAAGGGGTGAGCGGTTCCAGGTTCCTCACAGGTTCCACCTGAAACCTAGAACCTACCCTCGGGTACAGATTTCTCATTTTTTGGAACCTAGAACCTACCCGTTGGAACCTAGAACCTGGAACCTACCCTGTTACAGGTTCCAGAGTCGGTTCCAAGTTCCAACAGGTTTTTTTTTTTTTTTAGTTGATCAAAACGAAAATGAACATTCATAAAAAAGAATACAAAAGACTAGTTATTGAAAAGTCACATTTTTCTTAAAAGAAAGGGGATAGAACGATAAATAACAATTGTTGGGACGCAATACATATGACTTTAAATTCTAAGGTAAGATGCCACATTTTTCTCAACAATCCATATCTAAAAAAAAGACCAGCTGTCAAATCTTTTTAAGCTAGGCACCTTTCTCCCAAAAACGGCTCCAAGTCCTACTTCATTTCAATAGCATTCACATCTGATCTCACCTTTCTCCCATACATCCTGCAAAAGCACAAAAGCAGAAGACCAAAAGCTTCTTCGATATCCCTTCCGGCATTAAATTTCTTCCTCCTTTAAACAACTACGAGGTCAAAGGCACGCACAAATAATTGGCAGAATCACAAATAACACGACCTTAGCTGCTCCTTCAAAGACAACCAAAGTATTAAGACAATCCATATCAATTTATTGGTAAAATAAAATAAGTATTAGAAAGTCTACCACATATATTCATTCCGCTTCAACTGGTAAACTCTATTTACCAATGATAATCTCCTCATTCAGATAATCCATATCTAAAAAAAAGAAAGATTAAATAAAATATTCACTTATTAGATATATAAAAGGAATTACAATATATAAATATATAAACATCACTTACCCATATCAAATTTTTCTGCATTTTCGATGCATTCTTCAACATCAATCGGCACACGAACGGCTCTTAACCAATCTTGAGTGCAAATCAAAGCTTCCACTACTTTAAGAGTCAAAGAACTTCGAAAGCCGTCAAGTACACGACCCGATGTACTAAAAGTCGACTCTGAAGCAACAGTAGTTACGGGAATAGACAAAACATCCCGAGCCATCAAAGATAGGATTTTATATTTTGAGCCACTAGTCTTCCACCACATCAAAAGCTCAAGATCAAGAATATTTTCATTTTTTTCTTCAAGATATTGATCAAGCTCAGATTTGTTGTCATTGCACACTTGTTGGTTCGAGTGCATAAAGGTTCTTCGCCAAGCTTGGGCGTCAAACTTCTTGATCTTGTTACCTTCACTACCACCGGCATTGGCATTGGAACCACTACTACTAGCACTGAAACTTTGGGCACCAAAATTTCGATCACTTGAAGCAAGAGAAGATTGTTCATAAAATTCATATAAACGCTCCAATGCGTCCTTCACCGTGTAATGCATCTCATTAACTTTCACTTCATCATCATAAATTTGTCCATACAAGAAATTCACATAGCTCAACTTGGCTCTAGGATCCAACACAATCGCAATCAACACCAACATATTCACTTTATCCAAACTCCCATAGTATTTGTCAAATTTCTCTTTCATTTTCATACCCATAGCTTGAAGCTTAGGATCCGAAGCATCCGCCGCATCTTTCAAATATTTATACAAAAGAGCTATCCCTTCAAAATAATCATTTGAAGTAACATATGAACTCCCCGACATTCGATTGGTGGCATCATAGAATATTTTTAGAAATTCCGAAATTATAATGGCATTTTCCCAATCATCATCTTTAGGAAGATCATGGTTAAGCTCACTGGCAAAAGCTGAATCGTCTTCTTCCATCCTTTCAAAAGTTTTTCTAAATTTTATGGCGGTATCTAATATGAGGTAAGTGGAGTTCCATCTAGTGGCGACATCAAGAATAACTGAACCCTTGTAAGTAATCTTTTCACCCTCAATGCAAGATTTAAATGTGTTGGCTCTCATGGGAGAACTCCTTACATACCTAACCACGTTTTGTATACGTGCAATAGATTCCCGTACCGTAGTCAAGCCATCTCTAACAATCAAGTTTAATATATGAGCAGTGCACCTCATATGTAAAACACTACCATCTAAGATCAACAACTTTTTTCTTGAAAGTTTTTCCTTCAAATAACCAATTGCAACGTCATTCGAACTAGCATTAACCACGGTGATTGTGGATACCTTCTTTTCTATTCCCCACTCGTTGATGCATTTCTCCACCATTCTCCCAATCTCCCTACCCATGTGACTAGGCATCACCACAAAATTGATGATTCTTTTATGCAACTTCCAATTTTCATCAATAAAATGTGCAGTGAGACACAAATAATTCAGGTTTTGAATGGAACTCCATGTATCGGTCGTGAGTGCGATCCTATACTTTATCTTACCAAAGTAAGCCTTCAAACAAGTTCTTTCACAAAAATACAGCTTCATACAATCTTTAGCCACTGTAAAACGTTACAAATGTTTAAAGAGAGGTTGTAACTCGGTGACAAACTCGCGAAATCCAACACGCTCAACCAAGGAAAAGGGTAGTTCATCAACTATGATGAACCGAGCAAGCATTTGCCTACAACGTTCTTGATTAAATGACCATGTCGATAAGACACTACCAGTACTAGAACCTCCTCCTGCCTTGCCAGCCAAGTCTACATTACGCGGTGCAAAGAATTTCTGCCTCTTATCAACATTGCAAGGAAACTTCTTACATGTTTTCAAGTGCTTCCTCATTACGGAAGTACCATGAGCAACATTGTACTTTAACTCAGACCCACAATGAATGCACTTCACCTTATATGTTTTTCCATCCCCATCTTTGATTCTTGCAAAATGATTCCAGCAATCGGATGTATATTTCTTATTAAAAAGAGGACAACGAGAACCAAGTACCTTGTTTGTCGCACTAGTGGTAGGGGATGGCTCTTCTTCATTTTCATCGCCCGACAATTCAAATTCTGTGATCGGAGTCATCTCCTCACATCCCTCAAGCTCCATTGACATGTTATCTTGAATTCTTGATAGTTGATATGTCAATCAAATAACACTGGCCAAGCAAACAACACGAGAACAGATTAGCCGAGAGCACTTGAACAATCAATCAAACGACACGAGAACATAACAAGACAGCAGAAAAGAAAATGCAATTTGAATCTCAAGCAGCCATATTCCAAAGTTGCAGCCATAATGGATCTTGAATGCAAAGGATATGCATTTACACGGGCAAATAATAGGAATTGGGATACCTATGTGAAAGAAAGACTAGATAGAGCTCCATGCAACGTAGACTGGAGAGTGACATCCTAGAAGTGGAAGCATATGCATTACCTGCTATAGACTCCGACCATAGTCTTATCTTGCTAACTCTCTCAGCGGAACCTGCAAAAAGAAAGAGAGAAATTAAGTTTGAAGCATACTGGTTTGAAGATAATGAATGTGGTCAGCTAGTAAGTTCTTTTTTTTTTTTGGTCGAAAGCTAGTAAGTTCAGCGTGGAATACTCCAAGCATGGAAATGAACACTTTCTGAAGAAACTACAAAAAGTAATAGAGGCCCTAAAAAAGTGGAGCAAGCGGAAGTTCTCTAATAGTCAAATCAACTACTTGAATAGGAAGCTTTAGGAGTCAACAAATGAGCAGAGCTTGCATCATGACAGGGACAAAATGCAGCAACTGAAAATGCAATTGAAGATCTGTGGAAACAAGGAGAAATGTATTGAGGTATGCGCTCGAATATATTGGCTGAACAGGCGTGACAGAAATGCTGAGGAAGCGCAATGGAATGAGCACATGTTGTTCTCTCTTTTTGAATAGCATATAGTAAATGATATTCTAGCTATCCCGCTCTTAACAACACCGGCGAAAGACAAGCTAGTCTGGACATGCAACCAAGCAGGAGGTTACGCTGTTAAAAGTGGCTGTAGCCAACTCTAGGACATTGAGACTAAGCATGAAGCAAATCAAGCCTCATTGTCCTACCAAACTCCAAAAGCCCTCTGGACTAAGGCATGGAATCTAGAGACTCAACCCAAAGTAAGGGTGTTTACGTGAAGTGTGTGCCAAAATGCCCCACCCACAAGAGAGAACCTATTCAGAAGGAAGATTGTACTTCAGTTGACATGCCGCCTTTGTGAAAAGGAAACTAGTAGCTTTAGAATTATATGTTAGTTGGAATTAACAAGAATCAAGAGTAAGGTTATAGGATCTGGAAGGATCGAGCACGATCAAAATTGCTTGGCTTCAAATTAGGCTTTCTCAGTAACATTTGACTAAAGTTAGGCCCAATTTCTTATGAATCAACAACCTTACATGCTTGAGACCATTCTTAGGGCAACATTGACAGATTAGGGCATGTTAATCAAAATAACATATTCTCCTAGTGGCGACTGGTAAGATCATGAGAGGCTGACTGAGACTGCTCAGAACAAGCAAAGACATAGGTTGTCAACGAATTGCCATCCCCTTTGTCTGGTCGACACAATCAGCAGCGTCGTCTTGCAGTGGTGCTTTCTCTTTCCAAACCTATTCACTAACTTTTAAGAAATGACGACATATCTATGGTCTTTGGCATTTTTAAGCTTTGTTTTCCATTACCGCAATTGCGAATTTGTTGTTTGCCATAGTTTTCTCATAGTTATTGTAGTAGAATATTTATCAGGCTTTTAGATACTTTTTAAAGTTTCTCTCTTAGGTTGGAGAGACAGAATGCAAGAATTCAAATGTTGAGTTATCTCTTGAAGGAGATCTACTTAACGAGCTAAATAGCCATCTCAGAAAATGCTAAAATTTTACAATTTAGGTGTTAATACGCGGAGCTCGCACAGTCGCACAATTTCCTGCGTAAATTCTCGATGACCCCAAAAGGGTACTGCTTGGTGTAGAATTTAACAACATTGTGATGGATGCGTTCTAACATCAACATCTAAAAACATGAAACCAACTCCACACAGAAATATTCCCACACCAAGATTTGATTGCTTACCTAATCCATTTGATTGCTTACCTAATCCGAACTACAATAGAACAACATCGAAGGATAGCCAAAATGGAAAAGGAAAAATCTAAATCAAACATACAATTCCATTCCATACAATACAATCAAACACCCCCCCCCCTCGAAAAGAAGAAGAAGAAGAAAACCTATCATTCACAATAAAGGTGCATCGCCAAATCATCCCCAGATGATTCATTATGATCAAAGCAAGAAGAAAGCTGAAACCTTGTGTAATATCTCCAGTCACACACTCACGCAAAATAAAGAAGTGCACGGGGGAGCCAACGGCTCGTCAGTGAGAACAACACAGACACACGCCATAACTTATGGCGTGAATGGCGAGGGGTTGTTCGAAGACGTTACGTACCAGAGCGACAGAGCTTTAGAGGAGGAAGACGGCGACGAGCCCGAATAATCGAAGCAAATCCACGTGGGGAGATCACAGGACCTGCGGCGAAGAAGGTGGAGTGAGGCGGAAGTGGGAGAGAACCGTGGAAGCGGAAGCGGAAGCGGGAGCGAGGGCGAGGCGGAAGCGGGAGCGGGAGCGAGGAGCGAGGCAAAAGCGGAAGCGGGAGCGAGCTTTGGAGGGACGATTATGGAGGATCGGGTGATTCAGGAGGAGAAGTGAGCATTTGGGAATTAGGGTTTCTAAATACTAAGTTTATGTTTTTGGTTCCGGTTCCGGTTCCGGTTCCTATAGGAACCGCAAATCGGAACAGCCGGTTCCTAAAAATGATGTCCATGGAACCTGGAACCGAACCGGATCCACCGAGTCCGGTTCTCCGGTTCCCGATTCTACCCTGGAACCGCGCTCACCCCTAGACGCATATGCATTTTAGATGTTAATGGAGTGTAGATTTCAATTAGGAATATCGATTTGGGTTTTTTTCGTGAGGCGAAAACTTAGTTTGCGATAGGGGTGTGCAAAAGAATCAGAAACCACCCGAAACAGGACCGGACCGACCGGTTCTGGGCGGTTCCAAGGAGCACTGGTCTGGTTCCCGGTTCCAACTTTTTGGAACCAGACCGATACTATTCAAAAATTTAATTTTATTTTTATAAAAAGTTCAAACTTAACCATTTTATCTCTAATTACCGTGCAAGGATTGGGTTTTATGCAAACCTCTCTGATGGTCTCTTGGTTCCCATTCGATGTGGGACTCTTGGTATGTAATATGTATGGCTTTTCTCTATTGTGTGTCCAGCATTTCATGTGGACGCCTTCGATGTGGGACTCTTGACTTGTCTCTGATATTGTGTCTTCATGCGAATGCCGAGAGTCCCACATCGAATGGCTATGCAAAGATCGTAAGAGGAGTTGTCAATAAAATCCAAATCAAATCTTTTCTCATGTGTTGTATTCTTTTTCTGCAAGTTGGTCATGACAAAGGTATTACTTGTTAAATGTGTCATTCTCACACTTCTAGTTCTTTTGTTGGTAAATAGCAAAAGGTTTCATTGGACCGTTCGGAGCCGGACTGGACCATTGGTCCGATTCGGTTCCCGATTCCATGATCCATCGGTCCAGTCCCCGGTCCTAAAAATTGGGAACTGGTCTTATCAGTCCGGTTCCTAGTTCCACTCAAGAACCGAACCGGACCGAGAGCCGATCACTCCTAGTTTGCGATACCAGTTGGAAAATTTTTGCTAGACGAAAACTAATATGGAATAAATGTATCGTACAGTGCCCAATTTGATATTTTTTACCGCATCAAGACTCCAATATATGTGCACAAAATATTCTCCTTATGGTCGTGTTCAGAAGTAACGCTCACGTTGCCTTTTGATTTTAAATGAAGGGTAAAATTTTGGTCTGTTTGTTTCGTGAAAATGCAAAATTTGAAAAATATTTTCCTAAAAACGATCGCTCATGATACTGGTAATAATTAGTCGATTGGGAAAATATTTTTATCATCGATAATAATCATGTCAAAATATTTTCATAAATAAAAATAATAATTTTCGTTCATTCAGTTTATATGGATATAAAGTGATCATTTTTCGGGGGGAAAATTCTAAAAAGGAGCCCGAAGTGGAGTCATTTTCTCAAATAAGGGCCTGAAGTGGACATTGTCTCAAATAAGGGTATGAAATAGCCAAATCGTTTCAAATAAGGGTATGAAGTGGCCAAATCGTCTCAAATAAGAATCTTTGGCCGGCCGGTGATTATTCCGTCGCCAAAAAAAGGGTATTTTAGTCAAAAAATTTATAAGTATATATATTTTTACTTTTTTTTTTCCTTTTTCCTTTTTTATTCTTCCCTCCCTAGCCGTCATTGCGCCTGGCCGACCTCAGGCGAGGGCAACCCTCGCCAGCATCAGGCGAGGGCTGCCTAGCCCGCTTCGAGCAAGGGTCGCCCTCACCAACATCGGGTGAGGGCGAGGGTTGCCCTCGTCGGATCTGGCAAGGGTCGCCCTCGCCCACCCAGCCCAAGCGAGGCGACCCTCGCCCTCGCCCGACGTCGGCGAGGGCAGCCTCCACTTGACCCCGGCAACCTCCGTCAGCCTTGGTGATGGCCAGCGGAGGGAAGAGAGGAAAAAAAAAGAAAAGGAAAAGAAAAAAACAGAAAAAGGAAAAAAGTAAAAAACAAAAAATACCCTTTGGCCGGTGAGATTAGGTTCTTATTTGAGACTGATATGACCACTTCATGCTCTTATTTGAGACAAGATTCACTTCAGGCCCTTATTTGAGAAAATGAGGGCACTTCATGCCCTTATTTGAGACAAGATCCACTTCGAGCCCTTATTTGAAAAAATGACTCCACTTCGGGCCTCTTTTTGGAATTTTCCCTTTTTCAGGGCTAATTCTAAAAAAGAGCACTGATTTTATCTTGAATGACAATTCTGATTCAAACTTTTTTTGTCTCAATAAAAAGCACTAACTTTTACTCGAGTCCCAAATCTGGTTTTTTTTTATGTGAAATTTTCAAATTGTTTGAGCCAAATTTGGGATTTAAGCTAAAGTTTGTGATTTTTTATGAGACAAAAAAAGTCCGGGCCAGAATTATCACTCAAGATAAAGTTGGTGCTTTTTTTGGAATCAGGCCTCATTTTTGGGAATATATGATAATTTTCAAATCATTTACGGTTAATACCATAAAAAACCCCAAATTGGTACATCTGTGATAAATTTATCCCGAACTAATTTTTTGATCACCAAAAACCCCAAACCATTATACTTGTGACAAATTTACCCTCCGTTAAATTACAATACCACGAAAAATCACAAATTGGTAAAGTTGAGATAAACATAGAGGTAAAATCCCAAACTTTGTCGTCCAACTTAATAATTTAATGGTAAAATATAATGAAAATTAACATAGAATAAATTTATCATATCAGTTTGAGATTCTTAGGGATTCTACACCGATTCGGGATTTTTCGTGCAATTAACCAAATCTTAGGGAAATTGTCAAATAAGGACCCAAAGTGGGTGCCTTTTTTCAAAAGAGGACCCCAAGTGGACAAAGTATCAATTAAGGACCCAAATGCCCAAACTAGTATCAAATAAGGACCTGAGCTCGCCGGCCGGCCAAATGTTCGCCGGCCGGCGACCGGCCGACATTTCCGGCACCGGAATAGGGGCAATTTTGTCCAAAATTTTTTTCTTTCCTTTTCCTATTCTTTTCTTCTTCCCCGGTCGCCGGTCCGGCGACCGGGCCAGAGCTGAGGCCGGCGAGAGCTCGAGCTCGCCGGCCATCTGGGCCAGCTCGGCCGGCGAGCTCTGCCCAGATCTGGGCGAGCTCGAGCTCGCCGGCCATGGCGAGCTTCCAGCAAGCTCCACCCAGATCTGGGCGAGCTCGAGGAGGCCGGCCTCGCCCGGATCGCGTAGTCGAGGGCCCTGGCCATGGCCCTCTCTCTCTCTTCTAACTCCCGCAACTATGGCTACATGATCTCTAAGCTGTAAGCCTTGGTCGCCCAAGCTTCGAGCTCGCAACTATTGCTGCTCCCTCTCTTCTCATTCATAGCTCTTTAACTCCTCTCACTCGTGACCATGTAACTCCTCTCACTCGTGGTTTTGGCCACTTAAGCTTCAAGCTCTCGGCAATGGCCAAAGTTGCTCAAGAGCTTCAACTTCTCGCGTTGAGCGACCGAACCGAGCCGAGCCCCAACACCGTGGCCATGGAGGTGACCGGCCTCATACGACCACAAACCTATGCCTATGCAAGGCTAGCGACCTACGTCAAAATGAATTGACAGAGTCCGCGACTTCCATAGACATAGGTTCTCGCTTCATACGCGTTGTCACCTCCAATCTCTGCTGCTCCTTGAAGTGAGGAAGCCCTCCTTGTGATCATGCCGATGAAGATTTGGCGGTCGGTGACATGGGATATGTTTTAAAACTAAGTTGCCCATTTGAAAGCTTTATTTAAGACAACAGCATTATTTCAGGACTTTATTTAAAATTCTCCCTTAATTTTTTTGACCTTTTAGCCGACCTTTTCGTCATGAATCGTGTTACTTTCGCTCATTTTGCAACCTAGTTATGTTTGAAGATAATCAGAATGGATTTCTTTTTTGCTCCTCCAAAATAGTAGCTACAATCTTTTCTATTACTAGTAGTGAATCGAATTTAGGATCTGTCTGAATTGATTTTCGATTTTTATATTTTGCTTGATCCAAATCTCGCGGCTCTCTCATTTTGACTTTTTAAAATTCGAAATTCCTAAAACTTTTACAATACTTTTTTTATAAAGGAAAATACCACCAAAAATTTCAAATTATGGCACTTATGACAAATTTACCATGAACTTTTTTTGTAACACGAAAAACCTCAAATTATGCCACTTGTTACAAATTTATCCTGAACTTTTTTTTGTGACACGAAAAACCCCAAACTATGCCACTTGTGATACATTTACTCCACAATACTTTGGCCCAAGGGCATTTTCGTCTTTTTCTTTTTCTATTTTTTTTCCTTTCTTCTCTCTTTCCTTTGCCGGCCATGGAGGAGGGAAGCCGGCGAGGGCCGCCTCACCTGCGTTGGGGTTGGGCGAGGGTCGCACTCGGTTCAGGATAAATTTATCACAAGTGGCATAGTTTAGGATTTTTGGTGGTATTTTCTCTTTTTATAATTTGTTTCAAATTTAAATAATATATTAAATTTTGATGGGAAAGCAAAAAAGTACTTTTAATATAAATATAAGTAAACAACGGGCCATTAATTCAAAGGTATGCATGTTCGATATCTGCCACGTACATATAATGTGAACACCCTTCTTAATTTTTTTCTCAGTGTCCGAACTCACCATGTGACATTTTCAAACTACCATGCAGCCTATGACTTATTAAAACCTATAGTTTTAATTATTATTTTATTCACCAAATAAGATTCTACAAAAAAAAATACATAAATCTCAAACATGTTATTTTTGAATTTTCAATTTGTTACGGTTATTAACCTTCGGTCATAGTTCTCTCCATAATGGCCACTTAAAATCCTACGTGGCACTAGTACAAGTTTGGGAGTATAGGCGAGACAAAAAAAAAGTTTGGAGTATCGATGTCCCGGGGGCAAAATTCAGGCTTTCTGACAGGATTAACCAATTGTTTTATTTTAAAATGTTCAGGATGTCCATTTTTATGTGAGGTGTATAATTTGTGACTTGTTATAATTAATTTGTAAGCTATGATTACTCTCATGGAGACAAATCTTAGTTTGTAGATAACTTGTAAATTTGGTGGATAAAAATTAACAACTTTTGGTATAAAACTAAAGATTAAAAATGGGGTTTCATATTATTAAAAATCCAAAATTAATATCCCATGGCACATTCACTCTAAATCTAATTTTCGCCTCATAAATAATTTCAAATCGGTATCTCACGAGGCATCTCCTCAAACTAATTTTTGTCTTACCAAAGAAAATTCCCAAACCAATACCTCATCAAACACGTGCTTCAGACTACCTTGGTCTCGCAAAAAATCCAAACCAGCACCCTTATCTAAATCCACCCTCCGTTAAATTGCATATGGAATTCTCCATATGAGTCATTATCAAGTGTGTTGACAGATATGCATTTTAAGGGGATATTGGATGAAATGTTGACGAAGTGTAGATTTCAATCATAAATATTGATTTGGGTTTTTTTTCGTGAGACGAAACTTAGTTTTTGGAAATTTTTTGTTAGACAAAAATTCATTTGGAATAAATGTGTTGTACAGTGCCAAACCACATCAACCCTCAAATATATTTACACAAAATATTCTCCTTATAGTCGTGTTCAGCAGTAACGTTCGCATTGCCTTTTGGTTTCAAATGAAGGGTAAAATTTGGGTCTACTTGCTTCGCGAAAAATGCAAGATTTAGAAAATATTTTCCTAAAAACGATTACTCGTGGCACTAGTAATAATTAGTCGATTGGGAAATTATTTTTATCATCGATAATAATCATGTCAAAATATTTTCATAAATAATAAAAATAATTTTCGTTCATTCAGTTTATATAGATATAAATGGATCATTTTTCAGGGCTAATTCCAAAAAAGAGGACCAATTTTATCTTGAGTGACAATTTTGATCCAAACTTTTTTTTGTCTCAATAAAAAGCAATAATTTTTACTCGAGTCCCAAATTTGGTTCTCGTGATGTGAAATTTTCAAATTGTTCGGGCCAAATTTGGGATTTAAGCTGAAATTTGTGATTTTTTATGAGACAAAAGTAAATCAAGGCCAGAATTGTCAGTGAAGGTGAAGTTGGTGCTTTTTTTGGAATCAGGCCTCATTTTTCGGCACTTATGATGATTTTCAAATCATTTAGGGTTAATACCACGAAAAATTCAAAACCGGTACACCTGTGACAAATTTATCCCGAATTAATTTTTTGATCGCCAAAAATCCCAAAACCATTATACTTGTGACAAATTAACCCTCCGTTAAATTACAATACCACGAGAAATCACAAATTGGTAAAGCTGTGATAAACGGAAGGTAAAATCCTAAATCGGTACTCCCATTCTTATCCAACTTAACAATTTAACGTCAAAATGTAACGAAAATTAACGGGGAATAAATTTATCACAGATATATCAATTTGAGACCATCAGTGATTCTATACCGATTCGGGATTTTTCGTGAAATTAACCGAATCTTATTTCCATTTCTCCCGTCACCTTTCAGTCAACCAAATCATGTAAAAAGCAAAGAGTGTCTCTCCATTTCTTTCTCCCATCAAACCCATCATCAACCAACACCATTGGAGCTGAATTCCTTTTCTTTCTCCTTTTCTTTCTTGTCTTCTCCCATTCTCATTTTTTCCCTGATAACTTCGTCCCCACGAGCGTAGCCTTCTTCATCTCTCAGCCCGCACCTCCTAGGTTTCCGATTGGATTCCGGCGACGATGGGTTCCGTCGAGCCGGGGCTCCGATCTGCGGCGGCCGCGGCTCTCAAGTTCGCACCTTTGGCCCTCCGGTCGCCGTCGACGTCGTTCTGAAGCTCTGGGTTTTTCCCCGTTCGTGTCCCGAGGGTTTTGGGGTCTCCCCGTTCTTTGAGTACGATGGTCGGCCGCACGCTTGTCCAGGTTTCGACCGGCCCGACGTTGTTGAAGCTGAATGCCCTCCCCGCTCGCGCCTCTCCGAATTGCTTGCCCTGCCTCCCCGCCGAACCCCAGAAGCGCCGGCGCCGGGTCCGGGCGGCGTCGTCTTCCGGCGACGCGGGGCGCGCGCAGCAGCCCCCGCCTTCTTCGCCGGAGCAGCAGAGGAGGAGCCCGATCGCGGCCGTGCTGGACGTCCCTCGCACCATCTGGCGGCAGACGCTGCGCCCGCTGAGCGATTACGGGTTCGGCCGGAGAAGCGTCTGGGAAGGCGGGGTCGGGTTGTTCCTGGTGTCGGGCGCCGTGCTCTTGGCGCTGAGCTTGGCTTGGTTGAGGGCGTTCCAGATGCGCTCCAAGTTTAGGAAGTACCTGGCCGTTTTCGAATTCGGTCAGGCTGCGGGAATCTGCACGGGAACGCCCGTGAGGATAAGGGGCGCAACTGTTGGAGAAGTGATCCGTGTCAACCCGTCATTGAAAAGTATTGAAGCAGTTGTTGAGGTAAGGTCGATTATCTCATCCAATTGGCTTTCTGTTTTGCTGAGCATTCTGAGAAAATCTATGCTGTAGAGGAAGGGTCGTGATATATGCGGTGCCGCGATGTAATGTGGATATTGCTTAGTCTGTCTTCCACACTGTAGGTTGATGATGAGAAGAAAATCATACCTCGAAATGCTCTCGTAGAGGTGAACCAGTCTGGTCTTCTGATGGAGACTTTGATTGACATTACCCCTCGAGATCCCATTCCGACACCATCGGTAGGTCCTCTTCATCCAGAATGTGATAAGGAGGGTCTCATCATTTGCGACAGGCAAAAGATAAAGGGTTATCAAGGTGTAAGTTTGGATGCTTTAGTGGGGATATTCACCCGGCTTGGACGTGAAGTCGAGGAAATCGGCATTGCTAGAAGCTATTCGCTTGCTGAACGAGTTTCCTCAGTTATTGAAGAGGCAAAGCCACTTTTAGCCAAGGTGTGACATGCTGCTTCTGCTTTTTTGTTCGGTTAAAGTGGTTATGTGGTTTTTGGGTACTTTTTCTACTATTTACCCTTGTTGCAAATGCTGCAAGCGTGTTACTTGGCAAAATTATGCAATTGCTCATGAAAGTCCTAGACATGAGTAATCGTCATTATTACTAGACATATTTCTCCCATCTTGCCCTCAGTTCGAAGTGTCCTCCTTGCCGCTTGCTTCCTGCTGTTGTACCTAGGGTTACCTTTATTAATGAAATTCTCATGTATATAATTAGCATTTCCCACATAGCAATGTTTCAGATAGAAGCCATGGCCGAAGATGTCCAGCCTTTACTCGCTGAGGTTCGTAATAGCGGTTTGCTGAAGGAAGTGGAGAGTTTGACAAGAAACCTTACACAAGCCTCTGACGATTTGAGGTAGGCGTTCCCAGCTTACGACACAATTTGATTCATGTGGGTGTATTCGCCTGTTATATGTGATTGACACTTTTGCAGATTTTAGCATTTAACATTATAAGACCCCATCCAAGTTTTCTTTGGTTTTATTTCAGTTTCTGTGGGCCCCAATAGTGGAGTGAAGAAGGCATAATTGAATTAACGATCTAGGATCGGGCTCGGTTTTCATGATATTTGTCTTGGTAGTCTTGGTCTCCTTTATCCATGAAACGTTTATGCTCCACTTGGCTTTGAGGGATATAGCTCAGTTGATAGAGTTTGAGCTCATTCTTATGGACTAGATGTCTAGTTGTTTAGGTGGTGGTGATAGTATTTTGCGTCTCAACGAGCTGCTCACTTTTTTCTGTAATTAACTTACTGGTGAAATATATAAGCCCTTTTATTGTATCTTAAATGACTCTATGCGAAGAGAAAATTGTAGTTGGTGGTGTTCCATATGAAGGCATAGTTGGAACAAGTTCGTGCAATTATAAAGTAACATGTTCGTGTATGAGGGCAGGAATATTCATCAATTCTCTTCTGCCAGTGCAGCAGCCATTTACCACTGTCCAATGCCATCGCTATTTCATTTTTAACTTTTTTGTTCTTGTCCTCTGCCATGCCGTTTTTATCTTGTTCCAATGCCATCAAGAAACTGTAGATAGTGGTGATGATAGTCGTACCTGACCAGACCAAATAACCTGTATTTAATGACCAGAAACACAGCTTTTGCGCACACCCGTCTCTCTGGGTTAAATGCTTGAAAAAAAGTTATTCAATATTTATACTGTCTAAGAAACCGACCACCAGTTGTCTAGGGATGAGGAAAAGCTGCTTTTGATAACGTGCTTGGTAGTTTGATTGAAAAAGTTGCATGATTATCTTATGATTAGGATTGCAGGTTTAATTTATTTTTTTTTTAAAAAGGGCTTGGACGTGTGTCATAAGCAAGATTTTACCGAAACATAGTTCACATAATTTCGTGCTTTCAATTCGTCTTTTCAAATACCATAAGTGCTTACCCATGCTTGCAATTAGTCTTTAGAAGGATGCTGGCAATTAGTCTTTAGAAATATTATGAGTGCTTACCCAGCTTGCAATGAGCATCTCCTTCTCTTAGACCCTCCTGCGTGTGTTCACCCACCAAGTTCTGGGAACCTAAACTGTCTAGAATTCTTCTTTCTACAGAAGAGTGCACTCGTCTATCATGACTCCAGAGAACACTGAACTGATTCAAAAATCAATCTACACTCTAATTTTCACGTTGAAGAATGTTGAGGTGAGTCTTACTATCAGCTTTACAATGCTGCATTCAAACCCGATGAAGTTCAGCATAACTCCTCATCGGCAAGTATCCGTATGAGAATTTACCTTTCTTCTCTTTCTGTATTGTGCAGAGTATAAGTTCTGATATATTGGGATTCACGGGCGACGAGGCTACAAGACGAAATTTGAAATTGCTTATCAAGTCCCTCAGCAGGCTATTGTGAAGACTTGCCTACGAGACAAAGTGATATTCTGAAGGTGGCAGGCCTCTTAGCATAATTTTCGGGTTCTGTTTCTGGTAATTAGGTAGGTCATGTGGCTGAATCCTCTGTTTCTAAGGATGGATGGGAGGGATGGGCCGATTATTATTTTTCGGTGATAGTTTGGGAGCACGAGCACAGTCTTAAGAAAAATAGAGGCTTCTGCTGCATTGATTACCCTATCATGCTTTCTTTTGCTTTTTCAAGTTCATTTTCCTCTATGACTTACAATTTAACATCATTTTGGCTGCATTTATGACTGACATTCATCCTGAGCTTTTAGAGTCTTGGTGGTCAGCTTTTTGATGTTATAGATTGTGGAAGCACCTACCGTGTTGACCTCCCTCGGACTTGCAGGGCATGCTGGGAGTCTTTGTGTGCATTAACTCGATAATCGGATGATTCCTTAACCCCAAGCTTACTATTTATGATTCTACATTTTGAAAAGTCTGCGTGATGTGAGTTTACACCAAACTCAATTCCAATAAGTCAGGTCAAATTGAAGGTGCTGAAACCGTGGATCTCACAAAATTGTAGCTGGCAAAAGTCTAATCCTTTGTACAACAAGACCGATGAATTTGTGGGATTGACCCGGCATTGTTTACTTTCCTAGTGATTTACGGCAATTGGGAGTGACGTTGATCTTGTCACTTGATTTGTTCATTAGGGTGTTGTGGCTTCAACTGAAAAAAGCTCGAAACCTATTGAAAAAATTTCTGCTAGCCATAATCGAGTTTTGAAGGAACTGAAAATGTTCCTCAAATTTATCTATTAAGTATAGCTCTAGAGATTTGACTGAAATAAGGGTTTTAAGGTTCCATACGGGTCTTTATCTTCACGATTCTTTTTCTATGCAATATGGTTCTTTCGCGATCATGGCTAGCAGAAATTAACTGGAAAAGAACTACTATTTCATACTCTCAGATAGTTCATTTTCCTGAAGACAAATGGTGTCTTTACTCTCGGAAAAATGGTTATTTTAACTAATTGGATAGGGTGGTAAGGTGCCCTGAAATTATTACAACCTCAAATTGGTTGATAGTCACACACCGGTTGAATTAAGTAGGAACTCCTGTGATTTTCTCTCATAGCAAAAGCCATTCGACAATGATGCGTCGGCTGAGAAGATCATGATCCCATTAATTTTGAACCCGTTCTCTTGCAGAAGACTTAGAGCGTCGAAAAATATGTCCCCCTGAATCCCTCTCCCTTTAACTTCATAGCTAGGGAGCAGCTTGTCCTTGTCGAACTGACTGGCTCGGAGCTGAAACGCCTCCAAGTACCCCTTCGGGGTCCTGACTTTGTCGGTGTAGAATTGGTGGTTAACATAGTCGATGACGTCCCTGTACCCATCGAAGAGCTCGATGTAAGGACCGGTGGTGAGGCGATAGGGAGCGATGGTTGCGGTGGAGATGACGCTCTGGTTCTTCAGGAGGGTGATGAGCTCGCCGATGCAATAGGCAAAGCTCGTGTTGCCATGCTTCGGGAAGTTCTCATAGTCGATGTCGATCCCATCGAGATGGTAGGTGGTGGCCAGAGACTTGAGAGATGAGAAGGCATTTGAAATCCATGCTGCAGCATCTTTTGGGTCATACCAACGGAGCACCGTGGGGCCTAGGCTCCATCCAGAGAGGCTGGCAAGCGCCTTGACGTTGGGATGCTTTTGCTTGATGGCGGCAACGGAGTCCGGGGTCAATGTGGGTTCCCAGTAGGGTGAGAAGACCCCATCTTGGGGATTGCCCGAGGAGTCGGCATCGATGGCGAAGCCGAGGATGAAGTAGAAGTCTAGGCCATCTTCGACGGGCACAGAGTCGAACTTCACAGCCGCTCCTGAGGCTCCGATGTACTCCATCATCACCTTCCCATCTGGAACAAAGAGGCATTATATCGGCGCATTGCACAAAACGGGAGGACAAAACGGAATAAGGAGAAGGCGATGTGTCGATCATTGGTTGTCGGGACAAACCTCAATATCAAACTACAACAAAAAATAATAGTAGAAGATCGATATGACGTTGTCCATGGAGAAGCAAAAGTAGCCGAAAACTGCCTAATGTTTTCAAGAAACGGAGAGGAAGAAAAGCAGGGTCGACTCACCGCAGCCGAGTTGATGGACGAGAACTGACCCAAGAAAGCAGAAGATCAAGTGATGGAATTTGACCATAATTGATCCTTCTGTGATTCAGTATGTGCTCGCAGGTTATGACTGACTAATGAGATGCAAAATTTATAGTTTCCAAAGATCAGCAGGGATTTGCCGGCCTTAGTCTTAGAAGTGGACTTGAAGATATCCGGATCCAGCAAAGTGAAAGAAGACAACAACAAAAGGAAAGCCGGAAAGAACTGTCTTGAATAAACATTGGTTTTAGGTAATTACGTTGTTTTTCATGTGGAGCTGTCAACGTTAATTCTGATACTGTCGACAGACTGCGCAATGGCAATATCCGTCCATTTTTAGCTTTGATCGAGGTCGGATGCGGCCAGAATTTAGAAGCAAGAATGCTGCGTTTTCACCTAAGGATCAAACGGAGTCGCGTTTAAGTAGATCATTTACACATTATCATGTGCGGATAATGTGTAAATGAAAATTTGTTGGTGGTATTATATGACACTTGGGAAGATTGTGTATCATCAGATAAAGTCTCGTCAAGTCTAGTAAAGGAATGCATGGAAATATTGAGCTTTTAGTATTTCTACATAATTAAAAGAGCTTACATACTGCAGCGTGTGGTCATAAAACAATGTGAAAAGGATAGAAATAGTTACACAGAGAGAAGAAATATTCGGGATCTCCTGTGGCGCCGCGCTTCATCACGACTATCCATTTTGCTGAAGTCGCCAACCCGAAGTAGGACTGTACACCAATTGGAGCAATAATTCAAAAAGAGTAGTCCAGCATCTCTGGGACAATCTCATAAAAGGCCTCCGTGCACCGCTCCATTTCTCATCTGCCTGGAAATGTGAAAATTCGAACCCCCATCCCGATTCAAGGAATTTCGCGCATCATTTTCTTCAACCTATAGCAGTGGAAAATGACTTTTCTCTGTCATACATGTAAGGTAAGAAGTGAAGAGGCTATGTCGAAGGACAAACTCCAGGAAATCTCACCATTTATGCCGTCAATTGATTCTTCACGAAAGAGATTCTTGGAAGTTCTAGCTTCTGTTGTACTTTACTTCTTCAGACAGTACATCCCGTCTCTAAGCTCTAATTTCTCTTCAACAACAAGACCGGACAAGAAGCTTTGTAGTTGCTGAAGCGACTTATCATATGGAGGATCAGCTACACAGAACATCTGCAGCAATGAGTTCGGAATCTGAAATAAGCACCCAACCAATGCAAACTATACGAGTCTTGAGACAACAGGTGTAAAAGAAGATTGCTCTTACCTTGAGTGTATTGTGAATTCGATCCAATGCCATACTGCCAAAATTTGTGAGCATGCCCACGATATATTTCTAAAGGGGAAAAGGAAAAACGGAGAAGGATTACCATATTTGAGATATACAAGACATATACAATCAAACTAAATTGTTTGCTCAACCTGCACACTCACTTTTCAGTTACTGTTAACCCAGTCTACCTCAATCCCACCCCCCAAAAAGATATAGAAGGAAAGAAACACCGAAACCTTGCCACAGGAGGTAAAGCTAAGGAACTTTGCCACAAGAGGCAAGCTTTTGAATAGCACCTCAATATTACGATAGAAAGAAATTAGAAGTTCCTCAGAATTCACTGCTAACCTCATAAACAGTCATTTCCTTGCGAAGCTGATCCTCTGAAGAGGCCACAGAATTCTCTCCTTCCTCATCACCAGCTAAAGGCTCCTCAAAGCACTCAGTGTTACCACCATTTCTGCTAGCATCAGCCCCGCTTTCCATTAGCAAGAATATGTGGTCGTCAGAGTCTGATCCAACTGATTCTGCAAGAATTCCCTGGTGACACAATGGAAGATGATTCATGAAGCTTATTATACGCCACCAGATATCATTATTTACAAGTGCAAAAATAAGATGAGAAAAGGAAAAATCAGTTCTCTGTTATGTGGCAAAGAAATGAAGGCCAACTCCATGAAACCGCAGGACGGAGATGGACAGAAAATGGCAATGCCAATGATTTAACTACCATTGGAGAAAGAAACTGTTCTGTGAAAAGCGAATCAAAGAGGAGGCTTCTAAACTAATAGGTGTTTGGTTAGAACAGACTCAAAGACATGCAAGCTGCCCAAATGCAACCAGTCAGCCAGGGTTCTCATAAAATACATGTCAACAAAAGATTTGCCCACGCAAGCATCTGGCACAGGTAGATATTCAAACTATCAATCGCTTTACTAATCATGAATGTGCACTTGGCATATTCTTCACTAGCCTGTACACCCTCAATTCACATGTTTCCTTCACGGGTCACTAAAGCATCCCAGCAACATAGTAGGAAAGGGAAGATTAATACCAAAGAAAGGTGATGAAAAGAGCTAAGCCAATATACCTTGCTTATCCAAAAACTTGTCCTCCGATTGATTACATCCACAGGAACACCCATTGCAATTGCAAGATTCTTCGAGGTCCAACTGATAGCCAAAAGGTGAGTACACCACTATATGATAGAAATGCTACATTATTTCACGCTGGTAATTACCTTTTCTGATCTTGAAATTGCATAATAATTGCAGCATGCATAGGAGCCACAGTAAACTGCATCTCTCTATCTTCAAACTGCAGCTCCAACTGAAAATAGCAGAAAATAGATGAGGAATCCTATGGTGTCAAGCTAGCATAGAAACTTAAGCATGTAAATGAACTACTTCTAAATACACAACAAAGAAGGCCAAATAAAATCCATTTGCTGCCTATCCCTGAGGAACAAGCGACATAGTTTATTGACCAGAATGGAAAGACAATAACATGTAATCAGTGACGCATAACATTTGAGCGATTACCTTGACTGTTCCGATATTTTTCTTCCACAAAAGCTTACGAGGGGTCTTGACTTCATTGTATCTTCTTGCATAATCAGAAAGCAACTGATCAACAGGTTCTGGCAGATTAAAGGTCTCCTCCTGCAATATCTTCCTCATCAGTCAACAGCAGCCAAAGTTACCACCTAAACAAATGAACTCTCAACTTTAACGAATTATGGTAGAGCAGGTATATGTAATCTCTTTATGGGCATGATCATGAAATGTGTAGCTCCAGTTGGCCTTTATGGATAAGTTTGCAGATAACCTACACTGCTGCACTAAAAGTTACTTTGAAAAGCCTTTAAGCAACATTGACTGATCAATCTGTTTTTGGAATAACTTTAGGCATCATAATTCATAGGCTTATAAATAGTATTCAGCGATCAGTGATGTTAGCCCCATCTAGTGTAACGTTTCTAAGATGTACTAGCTTCTTGCATAAAGAAATTGACATGTGATTGTGACTAATGTCCAAATTATCACTTCAGAGCAACAACTTTTGTAACAGCAAAGGCAGAAGTCACTGCCATACCTGGATGGGAGGCCAAAAATTAGAAGATATGATTGTAGAATCAAGATTATCCAAAGAAAGCCCAGTGTCTTCCAAATCAGCACCTGATCATCATTTAGGAAAAGTATGTTTAGCAGCCAAAGAATACCATCGTATCAGAGAAGGAATAGCGATATCACTGAGGAGAAAAGTAAAAACTCAACTGGTTTGAGAATTCTGGTTTATTGTTGCCTTTATATTGCTGTTTGTCCTCTTGGAATCAATTAGATCATTAAGCATTATTTCACACTTCAGCATGCTACTCTCACCGAAATGTATCTAGAGAGTTAAAGAAAAAGGGTGATTACAAGAAACTAAAATACTGCAACACAACCAACCACAATACACAGACCAAACAGCATTTCCGTCCAGAGAACCAGACTACTTGCCTTGAGGAGTTCTAAAGTGCGTATCTCTGAGTCAATGTCATAATCTGACTTGTTGAGCAGCTTTTCAGCCAGCATGACACGGTATTCGTTAACCAGTTGATCTTTTGAACCAATAATTCCAACAATCATTCCTAATATATCCACCTTCCTCTGGTTCCTGCTACCCTTAAGGGGGTCAGCCTCTGCTGGATCAGGCTCCCAGCTGAAAGGGAAAAAATTAACCAAAATGGACAGTCAACTCGGGTCACATCAGTAGATGAACAATATGGCTAGCAGAAGTCAACAGTATTCATATGACATCAACAAGATAAGAAATCTCAGTGACATTAATAGTCGTGACTGCATAAACCTACCTTGCAGCAATTTCCCAGGCCTGTTTGTCATCAGAATTGAAACCATCTTCAAAAACACTGTTCTCTTGACTTTCTTCATCCCTATTCAGTTCTTCGAGAAGGCTATCCCCAGCATTTCCTGTTCCATCTGGACTGCCACCAGACCCATCCGTAAGCATTGTAACAATGCATTTGACAGTATCTTTCCTGCCCCTTAAATACTCCCTTATTGGTTCACCAACTGCCTCAAGGAAAATGCCTGCTGGATCAATAGTTCGGAGTGCTTTAATAGTTGAAACGTACTGATGCAATATATCATTGGTTGATGCGCCTGCAGTGAGTAGTCGATATCGTAGCGCAGATATAAATGACTTGACCAGCTTAGAATGTTGTCCTGTGTACTCAAGACATTGTTTCAAGTCTTCAATTGCAGGGGCGCTGCAGAATTAAGAAAATTATTTAGAATCCTAAAGAGAGTTATAAAATACTTGGATAATGATATGACCAAGATCCAGAAAGTGATTCATCATAGAAGGAGACTAGTCCAACAATTTTGTTTTCCACTGAATAAAGAAGGCAAGCTCAACATTTTTCGAATTACGAGGTTATGCATATTTAGGGATACGATTACAAATACAAGTTCCTCAAAATTACGAATAAAATTAAGCAATCTGAAGAGCATGTCATCAGTGGCATGAGAATGGAAGGAATTGTCCCCGCTATATAAGGCACCAAAAAAGAACTAATTCAATAATTGATCCAACAAGAAGATGACGATATCACTTTGGAATTCTGTTGATATATAAATATAAAGCAATTGACTCATTTTGTCTTCTCTCCGTTGGACTCATTCTGTCTCGTCTACATTGGTACACAATTTCTATAGCCAATAATAACATATCATGTGAATATAAGCTGTTACTGTGAGACAACAACATTGCGCAAGTGATAAAAGTACATGTTAACGACACATAAACACATCGCTAGTTCACATTTTACGAATGTTGAATATCAGGGAAACATTTTGTTCATCTCATCACGTAGCACTGTTCATAGGTGTTTCCCGGAATAGGCAATAAACTAAACCATCATCTCTGGATTAATGAAAAAAAATTGGAAACAATCAAGTATTAGATTTCGTTTCTGGCAATATCAAATTTCATAATTCATGTCTGCAACCTTGAATAAGAAAAAGGGCAATGATTAGCAGAGTACCTATCCGGGTAGTCCACTATAATCTCAAACAGTTTGGCAATTCTTAAATCTTGTAAGGTTTCATAAGCAAAGTACTCCAGTCGTAACTGCCATCGAACCAATCCTTCTGAGGGAGCATCAATTCCAGGATAGCATGAAGATGGTCGTGAAGCCAAGGGTGATTTGAGACCAGATGATGGACTATCATAATCATAAGAATCGCCAAGATAGGAGAGAAGGGCTTTGAAAAATCGAAGAGGCACAGCCTGCAACCATTTGCGTCAAAGTTTCATTGATACAGCTGGGCACAGTCAGTTATGACATAGTGATTGAGGAACTAGCATGAATTCTAGCATGAGAAGATAAGTCAAATTGTATGCACAGAGAGAGGATAATCCTTCTTTTTTGCTATTAATAAGTATACATATTACAAACTGCTACTCCTAAAGAAGTCATTTATCTGGTCAAAAAACAAAATCTCCTCAACCATGTGCAGCAGTCATGCATAAATTCATCTGATAAACCGAACATGGTTGCCAAACACATATAATACAAGAGACAAATCACTTGGCTTGCTTCTAAACCATGTATGGGCGAAGGTAATTAAAACAATGAAGGTTTACTCTCGTACAAAGAATAAGACGACAACACCACCACCACCACCACCACCAACACCACCACTAAGCCTTACCCACTAAGTGGAGTCGACTACACAAACAGCACAAAAAGACAAAAAAAAAAATCAATATTCACCTGAATCCAGCCTTTAACAGCCCCCAATATTGAACTCCTGAAATCATCACCGGCTAGATTATGTACTTTAGCCTGCATGCAAACAAGGCATGTGATTTGTATAGCAACATACGAATAAATTATGCATAGAAGAAGGCCACATTCTTAATGTGCAAAGAAGATAAGCCATCCTTGTTAACTCTAACAAGACAGTGATAAACAAGTATTGCCAAAAGGGAGATAAAATGTCAATTGAAGGTCTACACTGGACAAAAAAGCTTACATTGCTGAAACATACATACAAACCTTTAAAAGCAAGAAAATGGCAGAAGCATAAGCATCTTCTGTCATCGATGTAAAGCCAAGATCTCTTAGATCACGGACAACCTTCCCAATATTCTTTACCACTTCATCAAGAAACTTTCCCTGGTGATGACCTTCATCTATATCCATCTCTCCAGCTTTAATACACATGCTTTTCTCATCTAAATCCATGTCATCTTTATCTGGAGAATCAATACCGTCATCCATCATTGTGCTTATCTCTTCCAACCTTCTCTTGAAATACCAGTGAAGTATCTCTAAGAACGCCAATAAAGTCAGTACAAGATCACTTATTCTGTCAGATGAAATAAAAATAATTTTTTAACAAACAAGGTGAAAAAACAGATTGAACAAGAGGATGCTACAATATTAGGTGAAACTTTGATGCACAAGCATAATTTTTCCATGGTAATTTTAAGTGCCGTTTCTTTTACTCAGGCTTCTTTTTCATGTCATAAGTTCCGATGTCCTGTGGTACGGATGTGGATATTGATGAAGTTGGCTTGTTGAGATACAAAGACCTTTATGTCCAAATAAGGATTCATATCTAGTTGAGTCTATAATCCCAGTAAATGAATGGTCTCTATGACACTTTGTCATCATCACGTCTCATTCCAAATAAACATATTTATTTCTCTAAACCCTTAAGCATAAATTTTTACTCCAGCATTTACTGTATCCAATTTAGCCTTCATTTTGGTTCTTTTTGCTGTCTTTTACATCTATATCACACTTGATGACCTTAGGCTCTAAGCCAAAGGGCCAACAAAAGTATAAAGTCTCAAGTCTTAACTGACAATAGCTTTTTGAAAAAAGAAATTTCAGAAAGAAAATTGAGAAAACATTATGCAATTTCTTTGTCACACCAACAAACATTTTGTGAAATTAGGTAATAACAAAATGTCACTAGACAACCTAAGCACCAACGCTCAGATAAGTGCATAATGGGACAAATATCAAAGATAAGCTATCACATATCTTCAGAATTCTAAGAGAAATTTCAGTAAACATCCTAGCAAATAATTTAATCGCAGCCAAGGACAAAATAGCCACTAAGCATAAACAAAAACCATTGGTGAAGAATCTAAAATTGTGCCTAGAATTACTAAGGTCCCGGATTTGATGTTCTAGGATACCTTAAGCCCTTTTCCAAAATCTCCAAATCCACCTAAGTTTATAAACCAATTTCACTTCAAAAGTGGGAATGACTTCCTAAATCTCAGCGTCTACGATCAGATAATATGGTCTTCCAGTCTTCCTTCTCTTTATGGTAGTATCAGAGCACGTTATTGGTTTAGAGGTTGCTTGACTAGCAGATTTTCCACATTATTTTTTTTTCTGCTGGAAATTTTGAAAGCAGATATTTGATGCCCAAGAGATATCAGTACTTCTTGAACAAACTAAAGGTAACACAAGGACACAGTATCTAAAAGATTTGCTTTACAGGTGTCAGCGGAAGCGGCCAACTGTCCATACCTCATAGCTTTCTGTTTCTCAAATAACAAACATTAACATACATAGATACCCTCTACGAATTGTACAATCCATGTCATTACTGAAATTTCAAACACAAACTGCCAATAACCTAAACAGACCTGCTCTTTCACATTCTCCATATATTTCATCATTGCCAATGAAGTCCAGTTTAAGAAAGATTCAAATTTGTCCCATGTCATTTAAGCATCTAGTGCAAACGCAATGTAACATCTTTTAGAGCTGCTTGCTGGCTATTACAAACCCACTAATAGCCCCAAAAGAACAGAACAAGCATGTGACTTCTATATAATCAAATAATAGCACCAAACAGGAGAGACTTGACACAGTGTCCATAGTTCAGTGCAAAAAGAGTAAGGATTATCCTGCACTAATTATTCATTATCCATTACCATAATATAGCATAAGTCATTAAAATTGACCAAGGTTCCATAGCACAGCATGTCAATTTGACTAGAACACACAACATCGAGACACACTACATGATGAACAGAAAACACACTTCTTGAAAGATGAGATTAGACTTGTGTGGCTATTCCTCATGTACATACCGGGAAAACAATGGGGAAGAGTTGCCATAAGTATTGAAGAGACCATTAATTGATACTTAGAAAAGAGAAAAATCCGATCTGCTTCTGCATCATGTTTTCCATGGAACATGTCTCCCTCAAACGACTGTAAAGCATGAACCAATATCGACAAGCATTTCTCCTGATAATGTTTTTCTGAAGAAATCTCCTCCAGTGCGTTGCACAATACTTGCTGAACTTCATCATCCTGAATCTGCTTTCACAACATGCACGATGAATATATTGGTTCATTTCATATGTTAGATTTACAGTTAAGAGCCTTCGGTCAGGAATTCTTATTGATACAATGCATTGGGTGGTAGGTGATCTGTACATACAAGAGACTTGCTTTCGAGGAGTGAAATATCGCTATAAGGTTCAAAATGCCGCCAAAACTTCGACGAACCATTTCTTTCAAAACTTTCCTGCAATTAAACCAATAAGAGGCTGCATCAAACAACAGGCAAAGCACCAGCTGCCTTTAAAGCAGAATGCAGAACATGTGACTGATAGCTAATTCCAAACTCCTATTTTTAAAGCATTATTTTTGCTACCAGAGAAAACTCCCTCTCTAACTTTCTCTGCATTATACACACAAACGAATTATAGACTTAATGGCGCTTCACTAAGAGGAAGTCAATTGAGACAAAATACCGTAGATTTCCAAGGTAATGAAGGAAGTGGTTGTTCTATTAGCTTCTGTTTCCACATAGCATTCGTGAATTCTTGCTCTGTTTGGTAAACATGGAGGAGAGGAAAATGGAAGGAACATTACAAATTTCCCTCCTCTCCTCCTCACAAAATTTTTGAGAATTACCCCACTTACCTCACCCACCCCTCATTTCCTTTCCCCTCTCTTCCTTCCCAAACAAAGCATAAATGGTGGAGCTGTGAAGTCGTTTCATTAGGTTGAATTAAAAGGTAAGTTTTGCCGGTGATTAACTGGAAAGGGGGAGCAATTCGAGCCTACTCTTGAACTTTTAGGAGTGTGTGATGATCACTAAGGAAATCCTGCACGATGCCGCTACACAACAACACCCCCCCCCCCCCATTCGGGAATCAGAAACTCATTAATTTAAAAAGGAATTTGAATTATTTGATTTTTTTAAAATAAGATCTTGAGTGAGCGAGCTCCGTAAGCCAGGTCTTCCTTGGTAGGCCTGCCCCCTGGAGTAGCCATTAGCAGTTACCCCAAATGGGTATAATTCCTCTCCTTTTAAATGAGCTACTTCGTTCCTCTCAATCCTTCCAATTTTCGTTTTTGCCTGTCAGAAAACTGCACTTTCTATATCTTATTAGCTGGTAAAGGAGCCCTATTCTATGGAACAAACCCATTGTCCTGCGTACCATTTTCCTCTTCCTACATCTGTCGTTCTTTTGCTCACCTTGCAAAACAGGAGCTAAAAAAGGCGAAACCACCGCAGAATCTGCGGATATCTCAGGCGAACGATCAAACGATCGATCAACTTCATCTAGAAAGACATGTTCCTCAATCGAACTGAACCTCCATTTCGAGTTTCGCTCATTTCCACACGACGAAAAGCACCTTACTGACTGAAACCGGAGGTTATGCTCAGAGAAAAAAAGGCGCGAGACGTCGCGAATACCTCAAGCGCGCGGAGGAAGTGGTCCCGGACAAGAGACAGGAGGCCGTGCCTGCGGAGGGACTGGGCGTGGGCGACGAGGTCGGCGCCGGCGGAGAGATCGCCGGAGCCGGAGAGGAGAGAGTCGGTGGCGGAGCAGAAGCCGGCGTAGGCGTGGAGGATTTCGTCGACGGCGGCGCCGCCGAGGGCGTCCAGAATCCCTAGATCGGCCACCGCCGGTGCTGGCTCAGCCATTGACGAGAGTTGTCTTGAGTGATCTTTTTTTGCCGCCACTCGAATGAGTAGAGTGACGAAAGCGAAGAAATGTCAGGTCAGCATTCAAACTTTAAAAAACTTTTTTCAATAATCTTATTCTTTTTAACTTTCTTATTAATTTATGATTAATACTACGAAAAACTTCGAACTGGTACACTTGTAATTTTTTTACCACAAAAAATCTCAAATCGGTACATCTGTGATAATTTTACCATCCGTCAAATTTTTTAATGACAGTTGACGAGTGTATTAATTTGGGATTTTACCCTCCGTTTGTCACAGGTATATCGATTTGTGGTTTTTCATGATATTAATTCAATTTAATGGAGAGTGAATTTTTCACAAATGTATCAGTTTAGGGTTTTTGGTGGTCAAAATATTAGTTTGGAATAAATTTATCGCAAGTGTATCGTTTTAGGGTTTTTAGTGATATTAATCCATTAATTTATTCCTGAAAATTCTATTTGCATGTGTTTAAAGAAGTGACTCGTGAAAAAAAAATGGAGCTTTTAATGCCGTAAAAGCCAAATGTTAAATGAATCCCGTTATATGAAAATTGTATATCTTGATTTGATATTAAATTATTAGGATAAGTGTGTTGAAAGTTTTAAAACTTGTTATGAAAGTGTAATTGAGTCCTAAAACATTTAAAAAGTGCAATTCAAGTCATAAAAACTTGTCACGAAGTGCAATCAAGTCACAAAACTTTAATCAAGTCCTAAAACTTGTCAAGTTCGCCCAACCAAGTCATTCCGTTGATTATACTTTTTGAAAGTTGTAGGACTCGATTGCATTTTTGCGACAAATTTTAGCACTTAATTGCGCTTATTGAAAATTTTAAGAATCGATCATACCTTCGTGACAACTTTTAGGACTTCCAGTGCATCCCTAAATTCTTTTAATGTCTTGCTCGAGTTTTGATTACAAGCGTTCCGCACACCATAGCCCTAACTTTTGTCTCAATTTGGAAGCACATTTTTTAGGGTGTTGTTAATTTCATTTTCTTCATCTTGGTTTGTGTTTACTTATATGAAAAAGAATCCCACGAAAGGATTTTCCAATCCCGTGTGTTTGATTTGTTTAAAGTAGATAGTCAACGGAAAAAAATATTACGGTCAAGAAAACAACCACGCTTTAAATTGAGGAAAATAAATTCTCCATCGTAAAAAAGGAAATCGTCTTCCCAAACTCATTTTCTACAAGCACAATCGTTCAGAACTTCGGTCTATTGAATTAAATCATCATTTGGTTATATGATATTTCACTCCGCTATGTGACATATTTTTGGAGATCGTTTGTGTTTTTAGAAATGCCCATTTATAATATTATTATTTTCAATCCGATATTGATATTGATATTTTCTTTCCTCTGTTTTTTTTTTTAGTTTGGATGTTGTGCGTTTGGCGACCATTCTGTTCCTGAAAACAATTTCTGTTCAGAAATTATTCTTTTTTATTTCGTGCTCGAGAACAATTTCTAAGCATTCGAAGGTATTTGGTAACTGCAAAAAATTTCTATTATTGGAATAGAAAAAGAACAGAAATGCATTCGACAACTACACAAAATTTCTTTTTATTAATAATATTTTGAATTTTTAATATTTCTTTCTTTTTATTTTTCCCTTTTTTATTCTTTTTCTTCCCCTTCCTTGGCCATTGCCAGGTCATCAGCGTCGGTGATCGACCATAGGCCAGGGCTGGCGAGGGTGTCGCGGCCCTCGTCACCTGAGTGAGGGCCGCCCTCGCCAAATCTAGCGAGGGCGGTCCTCGCTTGCCGGCCCTGGCTTGTGGCCGGTCGCCGGCCACCGGCTACAAGCTAGGAAGAAGAAGAAGAAAAAAAAAATTTCTTTTTCATTTCTGATTCTGTTCCAAAACTGATTATGAGAACAAAAAATTTACCAAACCGATTTTTGTTCCAAAATTGATTTTAGGAACAAAAGAATAAAAATAGTTACTATTTAGCCGATTACCAAACGCGCCCTTAGAGCAATTTCGTTCTATGATCACTTTTTTCAAGTGAAGAACGTGAAATTTTATGAGCACCGAGAGATTAAGTTTGTTGACTACTTGCATTTTCTTTTTCTTTTTCTTTTTGACATTCTTCTCTTAGGCTGCGTATTTTGATTATAACAAAAAAAAATTATACTCTGTATAGTAGTAATTACCTTTTGACAAGGATTACAATAACATTTTAATATCTAACATTAGGAACAAAATATAACTATACCAAAGAGCATTATCTTTGAAAGTAAAATCTAAACATTGAAAAACTATTTCCGCCGGCCCCCTTTTAAGAGCGTCGCCAAACAAATGGAAATCAGTCATTTTTAAGATTTTCTTTAAAAATGATTTTTACCATAAGCATTTTCCTTAATCAATAAATTTCCTACGAAACAAACGCACCTTTTCAATTCTAATGCACCCCACAATCACAGATAATCCAGGAGAAAAAATATCCATTCGATATTTTCATTATTCATTTTTTATAACCAAAGAAAGATGTGCAATCAAGGGCCATAGTATAGGCACCAAAGCACGAGTGTTTTGTATCCCTTGAGCCAAGATGGATTGCAGTAGTATAGACATCGTTTAGCGAAAGACCAATCATTTCTACAAATAAAGGCATCGGAGAAGATGGGATTCAAATCATAGAGAAGGCTATCTACTTCAAAGCAGTTCCTTTACCAAATCCTGATAATTCTATCTGGTTTCCTTCTTAAATCCAATCCCATCATAGCACATGCATAGTAGAGTGGTATAGGCATGACTATGACAAACATATCTGTCAAAGACAACCTTTTCTCTCTTATTGAAAAGGAATGGCAATGTCATTATGATGTAAGGTTCCAAAAGCAAGCCAAGAACTTTTCACTATGAACCACTTCAAATTCTAATAGCCACCTCCTCCCATTCTATACTGAGCTTCAGCCGCCTTCTCTTCTTTCATCTTCTGGATTATTTTGCGGATTTCGGGATTATGGAAACGGTCATGAACATACTTTCTCTCTTCTGCTTGTATCTCTTGAATAGCACTTTTGAAAGGATTAGGAGGAGGTCTCTTGCCTTGGAGCTTCGCAATCTGCTTCAGTCGAGCATATGCCGCCTTCTTTGCCTTCTTCTCTAGTCGGTATTCCATCTAAACATCCAGCAGTGATGCCGACTTTTAAGGATCAATAACGAGCAAAATGCAAGATATAAGAATTGAATAAATAAAGGAAGGAAGATCAAAGAATCTTCCGTGAGGGCAGACTGTAACCTAAGAAGGCATTAACTTACATCTGCCATGCCCATAGCCGCTTCCTCACTAACTCCATTTTCCTTCAACTCAAGGACTCGGTGACCGAAAACACGGGCTGGAGGGGGGTCGAAACCACATATCCTATTTCAACAGAATGTCTCAAAGAAGTTAACGCTTTTACAGATTTAAATGTGAATAAACCCTGTGCCTCAACAGTAATAAGAAACAAACATATAAAGGATTTGTTAGAAAGTGGTGCATAAGTATCTTTCTATTTTATTTACGGTTTTGGTTATACAATTTCTCTCAGTTCCAATGCCAAGGTGCTTTATTTAGTAACATGCGATTTTAAAATCCTTATATCATGGTCCTCATTTAGACTTAAGATAGATATTAGTTTACTTTCCTTTGAATATGACTGAATAGACAATTTATCCACGAAACCATGCTAGTTACGCAGTAAACTACATGGAAAGACTCGTGAAGGCTCCACAAGCTCAGAGGCGCAACATGAAGTTGTGATGTCTGGTTAGCCCAATGACGGGCAATATGTTCCTGTAGCTGGAAACATGTGAGCTTTTAAGTTGCGCAATATATTCTTGTAGCTGGAAACATGTGAGCTATCAGTTAAGTTGTTAAAGTGCAAATAGAACCCGAAATCTTAAAGCATTAACAAGATAAGAAAAGGTAGTCTGAATCAAATTATAGCCACAACAGGTCTCACAGCGATAGCAGACATATCAACCAAACTTTTCTTTAAGTATGTTGTACTGAATGGACAATTTATCCACGAAACCATGCTAGTTGCAGAGTAAATCACATGGAAAGACACGAGTTTAAGGCTCCTCAAGCTCAGTAGCACAACAAAAACCCTTGATGTCTGGTTACCTCACTGACAGGCAATATGTTCTTGTGGCTGGAAATATGTGAGCTATCAGTTAAGTTGTTATTAAGGTGCAAGTAGAACCCAAAATCTTAAAGCCTTAACAAGATGAACAAAGTAGTCTGAGTCCAATTACAGACATCATAAGGTTTCATAGCGGTAGCAGACATATCAACCAATCCTTATCCTACTGACCGGACTTGACTATATTGATGCTTTAATGCCGATGCATTTTGTTATGACAAAACGACATTAGAAAAGTAAGCAATTTTTGGCTATCGTTAAAACAACTAATTCCATTCCTCAAAATCTTTCAGCTACTTTAGTTGTGTCTATAGTGAAAATGGTCTCTTGAGACTATCGATATAAAAACATGCATACACAAGAATAGCACATGAAGCAAGAAGGATGATCGCAGAATGCAAAGACCGCCATCACAAACGACACACGTTTACCGTTCCAAGGCTCAACACACAAGCTTATCATTCACCAAGCTAATGATAGCAGGCCTGAAGCACTCAGTTGATTGGCTCTTTCTTATACACGAGTAGTGCTACTTTCGTCACATCCAAAATATAACAAATATATGAAAGGAAGAGGAAATATAGTACGTTGCGACGAATTTAGAAAGCAAAATAGAAGCTATGGCAAAATATATTGCTAAGGAAAGAAATTTACTTGATCGCATCCTCATGTTTTGAGTCCGGATATTTCTGGAAAAACTTTTTAACATAGACATCCTCAGGGAGAGAGATCTTCTTGATTTCATCTGCACAAGGGAAAACTGCAGGTGGTGCCCTGCATGATGCCATAACCACCAAACAGGTGATGCCATTGGATTCTAAAGCGCTCGACGGGTACTTAAGAACGTCACAATTCAACAAACTCATACATGTCCCATGACTACTGCACAAAAAATCAATCATAGCCAATGCTTTTGCAGTGACCCAAGAACAAAAAAGAGTAGTGAACAGTACAAGTGGGCTACTCATGGTACCGTCGCATTCCTAAACCAGGTTTTCAAAACTTCTCGACAGAAATACATGCGAAATCAATCAATCTAACACCGACCAGAAAAGCGGCATAACAGGGATCCAAAGACAACATTGCTCTTCGGCCGCACTTGTCAAACAAGAAGCTCCCACCATCCGTCAGCGTAGCTAATCTCGTCCCGAAGAAACAAAATACAGAATCATTGACAGAACAGTACAGAGCGTCGAGTTTCGAAACTCTCCCACCACCCTAATTCAATAATTTGAAACACAAACTAACCCAGAGCAACACAATTCGCGTAGATTGAGACTTCACAGAACAAACAAGTAAGCTCTACACAAGCAACAAGGAGGCCACTACAGCACTATGAAAAGCACACGGTAAAGATGCAAAAAGAGGAACAATTTGAGCAGAGAGAGAGAGAGAGACTGACTGCTGCATGGCCTTGAGCCAAACTGGCTCCGCCTTGGCCAAGCCTTTCACGAGCTTTCTGGTTCTGGTCAGCAGATCTCCCTTCATGAACGACATCCTCTCTCGCCCTTCTCGTCCTTCCTCTTCGCCGCTTGATTCAAACTTCAACCTGACGGAACGAAACCAGCATACGGTGAATCACTGGCCAGACACACCGATTGCTCACACAAACGCCGAACTAAGAACCCAAAATTCAACCAAACCTGACCAGCGGCGTGAATCCGCGACGCCACAGGGAGAGAGACGGAGGGAGACGCCGCCGCCGACGCCGCCGACGCCGCCGCCTGCGGTGTCGCCGCCGACCGGGACTGAGCAACAGCTCGCTGCTGGTGGCGTCGGGGAGAGGAAGCGGAGAGGAGGACCGAGAGCTGCAAATGTAAAACCCCCAATTTTTCAGCGCTGTTTCGACTCCCGTGGTTTGGATTAAAGTTAAACGAGCGCATTGCATTTTCTTTTCGAAATCCAAAAAAAATAAAAATCGTTTTTTAAAATTGCATATATTTACATAAGTTTACATGTCCATGGGTAAATTATTTTGTTCACGTGTCCTTCAACTTTTCCAAATTCTCGAGTGAGGTCCCTCGAAACTTTTTTTGCGAAAATTTTTTGTCCGAGCTGGTATTGCATGCTGACACGGACTGGCACATCGGCATTACGTCAGCACCGAACGGTGACAAGCTCGTGGTGACATGAATTTTTTTCTTGTGCGGACTTGATTGAATTTGTTAGAAATTAGAGAAAAAAAACTCAAAAACCCGCCAACACGATTTAACATTTTTTGTTATAATCCCAAAATTATTGGCAGTAATTTTTTTTTTAATAATCAACTCGATAGATCCATGATGTTTAAAATCTTTAAAAGTCAGGGTGCACGTTATAAGTTAACTAATGTTCAATGACATAATTATCGAGTTGATACTTTTTAGGTGTGTCAAATTTATATTTGACGATACTTTTTAGTATTTTTTAAATTATCGAGATTTTCAATTGTCATTCTGTCTACTCAAATAGAAATCCCATAATTATGTGTGCTCCGTTTTGTAAGCGATATAAATGTCCATTTTTAGAAAAATATTTTTTAAATCATTCAATTTATGCGAAATAAACGGAGCCATGAAGTGGAAAAAGTTAAAAAAGAATGAATCTATGGAATGAAGAGTATTTAATTTCAATTACTAATCTGTAAAAAATTATTATTATTATTATTATTATGCCGTTTAACAAAATCCTTACAAGGAAAAAAAAAAAAAGAGAGATGAAAAAAGGGGAGCGTAGGAAGAGAGCCGCAGTGGCAGGGTCAGTTACGGAGAGAGCAGACGACGAGACGCATCGAGAAGCGCACAAAATCCACCGTCCATGGAGATCGGAGGCGGCGAAGAAGATCGCGCCATCGGAACGAGAGATCCGTGAGCCGGAGCTCCGGGGGAAAAAAAAAATGGCGAGGAGCAGAGGGAGGAGGTTCAGGTTCCACCGGCGAAGGCTCTGCGCCGCCGCCGCGTACGCCGCTGTCCTCCTCGTCGCCGTCTCCTCCCTCGCGCTGATCTACCTGTCGCGGAAGGGCTTCGAGGACCGCCGGGAGCGCGTCGAGCCCGGGGAACGTCGGCCTGAGCTGGTGCGTCGCTCCGTTTCGAATCTCGCTCCTAGGGAGCAGTAGTTTCGGCTTCTGCTTGTTTCGATCTTGAAGGTTCTGGTATTGTCGCCGAGTACGGATGGTTTCGGGGTAACTGGGGGGTTGATGATCGTGGAGGCGCGATTGTGTTGGGTCAGCTGAGCCGTTTTGCTGGATAGATGCTTGCGTAGTTGTTTTGTTTGTAGCTTCTGATGGTGGTTAGACGTTAGCTCCTTTTGAGGTATCTGTGGACGAATTCGCTGTTGTTTGAGGCTTAAGGTTCTCTCGACTCTATTTGGGATATCCTGTTATGTGAGTTCGATTGTTCGTTGAGTAAGAAAGAGATCCGAGCATGCTTTTGTGATGGATGTTCGCGATATGTGTCGAGCGTCTATTTTCCTGGCTTAGGTTCTTAGGTCAGAAGGAATAGAGTAGAGGTATATAGTCAGTGGAATGGCGCACGATGTTGTGATTTCTCAGCGAAGAGGATAATTTTTCTATCTGCAGATTCCAGACCGAGAACTTTGGGATGCTCCTTTCAGTTTCGGTTTACACACCTGCGTCAAGCCCACTGCTAGATACAACGGTCAGATAAACTTTGCATCCATGTATTTTTCTGTCTATCATTATTTTTACCACTGCAAGATTTCCTGCTTCTGCCAATGACTGATTTTTTTCGGTACTTCTCTTGCTTCGTTTTGTTATTGATTTTCTCTCATATGCTTTTTGTGCTGGTGTAAAATGGATAGCACTCTAATATTGAAAATTAGTCAAGGTAAATATGAATAGATTTAGAGACTTACCGAAAAATGAAAAGAGAATTTTTTTTATGTCAATCTCCCTTTATGAAAGAAAACCCACTTAGGTGAGTGAATCCTAGCTGTGAAACACCCTGTTGACCTCATGAACAGGATAAAACTTGAGCTGAACCCTGTCGGATAGCTGAAATATGAGATTACTTATACTAGGTGGTGTGAGGATAGAGACGCACACACATCCATGATCACTGCAGCCTCATGGGGTTTAATATCAATCTTGTTTTAAATGTTTGCAAGAGGTCTTGCTTTTTCTAGGACTTTTTCTTTCATGAAATACTTGGACGTCTCATACGTGACCGAATTTCACTTTGTGTGCAACCGAAGTAAATTTAGAATCTAAACTAGCATAATATCAGTTTAAATATCTGATTGGATGTTTCCAATATTTAAGTTCAAACTCAGTATGCGTAAAAACTCGGGTCATTTTTTATCAAGTCACCATTTGTACTCTGAAAATTAAAGAGCTAAGTTTCCATGATAGCCATATAGATGCAAATGTTTCCGTTAAATGCCATCTTAAGAGGATTTTGAAATGTTGATGATTGTATTCACCTTTTGTAAATGCCAGTCTGGTATCAGAGATACTCTCTCTCTCTCTCTCTCTCTCTCTCTCTCTCTCAAAATCTGCATCTGCATCTCTCTATGACAGGTGCACGAGGATCAGATCGATATATAACTGTGAGGAGCAATGGAGGATTAAATCAGATGCGGACTGGTGTAAGTGGATCACTTTGTTGTAAATTAGGTCTCTGGTGTTGACCAGAATTAAAGCTTTTGCAATATTGTTTTTGAAGTTGTTAATAAGTCAGGTGTAGTGGCATTTCTTTAGAACTCCAAGTTATAAGCTTTTTCTTTCAGTTTTGTTTTAATTCTCCTACATTGGAAGTACAGTAATACTGGAGCACACATAATGGCATCCTTACAGTCCTTAAGTAGAACCAATTCCATTCTGTGATTTGTTCTCTTCTTTCGTTTTTGTTCCGTATGAGTTACTCAGCTATGCTTTATAGTGGTGTTAATCAATTTCGTGTGGTCTTATCCATAATTATGCTCTCCTGGCAGATTGCAGATATGGTGGCTGTGGCGCGCATAATGAATGCCACTTTAGTTATTCCTCAACTGGATAGACGATCATTCTGGAAAGACACGAGGTATTGGTCAGTGTTGGAACGTTCTTTCGTAGGTGTGATTGTTGTCTTACTCAATTGTGTATTCTGACATTGCTGTTATTTGCACAGTACCTTTTCAGATATATTTGATGAGATTCATTTTATAGAAGCCTTGAAAGGAGATATAAGAGTTGCCAGGGAGCTCCCAAAGGAGCTGGAATCAGTTCCTCACGCTCGGAAGCACTTTACTTCTTGGGCTAGCGTGGGTTACTATGAAGAGATGACTCGGTTATGGAATGAGTATCAGGTCTGAATAAGTCATGCTAGTTTTTAAGTGAATCCTATTCAATTTTGGACAAATTCTCTATTTGAAAATTACCGTGATGCCCTTGTATTTTATGAAAAATTGACTTGGATACCTTGTCGGTAGCCGTTGGACTTAAGCAATTAGAATATGCTGGATGTCCTTTGAATTCAATTAGATTGAGATTGCTTATACTTGGTTATTTCAACAATGTAGATGCATTTTCTAGTAAAAAACTAAGAATTTAAGTAAATTGAGATCATTGATGGTACATTAGAACTTTAAATTTCTTGCACCTAAGAGCTAAAGAGTCTAACCTAAATGCTGTTCTGATATTGTTGGAAATGCTTAATTAAGATGATGATTGCAGTAATTTTGTTGACTAGCATCTTTGCCTGTGCCATGAATTTCTAGCACAAAACATTATCAGAAACTAAAGATATTGTTATTCAATTTAAGGTTAGAAAACAAAATAGTTTTCCATCATTCCATTTTTTGGAAGTGAGAATCACTTGTCTAAACACATTCTACACTGCATAGAATAGCTTTAAGGTAAAAATTCCAAAGCTCCAACTTTCATAAGAGTGTATAAAAAATATGATCACCTTCTTCAAAATAGCAATAACTTTCAAGAGAGTTGACCATCATCATCTCCTTAGATATTGGATCGAAGTTTGTACTACATAAATTTCTACATGTTGAACTTTCATATAATACATGTGGTGTCGCTGCAATTTTTTGGATTTCTAGGGGTGATCTTTTAATATATCCAAAACTGGAGATTGTCAGACCTGTTCTTCATTTACTGAAGCGGACTCCGTGAAAGTCTGATTCGAATTCCATGTTACAAAAAGAGGCTCTTTAAGTCATATCAATTCATCATATTATTAGTGTGGGGGTTAATGGAGTCCTTGGCAGGTAATTCATGTTGCAAAATCAGATTCTCGACTAGCAAACAGTGATCTGCCTCTTGATATCCTGAGATTGAGGTGCCGTGCAATGTATAATGCACTTCGTTTCTCTCCCCCAATTGACATCCTGGCAAAGGTGGGGTACTGATGTATAACGCACTTCCTTTCGCCTTTTTGTTCTTTCATGTTGACTAGTTTTTGAACTTCATGGATACTGATAAGTGTAAAATGCCAGAGAAAGTGATTAATAATTTCAGAAGAAACTACATTAGAAAGCAGCATATGAGATCAACATATAGGCATTTTGATCTGGTCAATCACATGGCTGGATAAGCAGGCCACTTAATCAATATGAGCTGTAAATCCCGTTTTATTCATATGTTAGATTACTGCATTTAAGAGGTCTCCTATGGGGCTTCCTGTTAAAATAGGTACTGAGCATGCATGACGGTGAAACCACAGAAGCTGATAGAGCGGCTAAGGAGTCGTGAGGGACGATACATTGCTCTTCATCTTAGATATGAGAAAGACATGCTGTCATTTACGGGTTGTACTTACGGCCTGACTGAAGCAGAATCAAAAGAGCTCACAATAATGAGGTGAGAGTTCGACAAGCTCTCATATTCATGTCTCTCTAGTAAAGTCACATAATCATGAGATGTCAATGGGGTGAATGCCCGTGTTGCTAATGGCTTCCCACCTCATCTATTCCAATAAGTGAGTTGTTCCCAGCTTTGCATCTTAATATCCTTAAATGCTTCAATTTGTTTGTACAGGGAGAACACTAGTCATTGGAAGGTGAAAAAGATTAATTCCACAGAACAGAGATTAGGAGGGAATTGCCCTTTGACACCCAAAGAGGTGGGGATTTTCCTCCAAGCTCTTGGTTATGCTCCATCGACATTAATCTATATTGCTGCTGGAGAAATTTATGGTGGTAATGCTCGCTTATCCATGCTCTCATCGCGCTTCCCTAATCTTGTTTTCAAGGTTTGTAATGATTATACTACCTTTTCATATTCACAAATTAGTGACTAGTGAACTTATATCTGACCCAAAAAAAAAAAAAACTAGTGAACTTATAACAATCTGGTTATCACAAACAAAAGCGAACTGGTTCTGGTTCTATGGCAGGAAACTCTTGCCACGAAGGAAGAATTGGAAGGGTTCAGTAACCACGCATCTCAGACTGCGGCCATTGACTACATTATCTCTGTGGAGAGTGATGTGTTTGTTTCTTCCTATTCTGGTAACATGGCAAGAGCTGTTGAAGGGCATCGAAGGTTCTTAGGCCACCGCAGGACAATCACACCAGACAGGTATAATCTAATCAAGATGACAGCTAACTGAAAAGTTGCTTTATTACTTTTCTGTAAGATGATTCTGTGGCATTAAACCACAACATACACAGGTTCACAATGTATAATGTACAATAGGTATAAAAAATGGCTAACGGTGGGAGGCGTAAATTTTTAATCGAGATCAGGCATGTCTGTCGATTCGGTTTATTGCAAAGAGTTCACTATCTCTTTCAACTTTTCAAGTATTATATCCAGGAAACTTTGGTTTTAAACTCCAAGTTTAGGAACTGTTGTGGTTTTACATATGCACATCATATGCAGGAAAGGAGTGGTTGAAGTTTTTGATAGACTGGAATCAGGAGACCTGAGAGAAGGTTCCTCACTATCAGAACTTGTGCGGCAGATGCATGATAACAGGTAGCTTAATATTATGCAATCATAACGTGTCTTATAAGTTTCTGTGCTGAGGAGGCATATCCGTGTCTGATAGAATTCAAGTACATTCTTTTACTTGGCATATAACTACTGTGAAACCATCCTATGTGAATGAGAGAAAATTTATAGAAACTTAAAATGACCAATCTCTAAAAAAAACGTTATCTGCTGGTAAACATCACTCCCTGATTCAGTTTTCACTGATTATATGTTGATGGTTAAGCTCTCTGTATGGGTTTGTGTCCCTTCTTGAAATGTGCTTAACCATCTTATTATTAAAACAGACAAGGTGCTCCCAGGAAAAGAAGAGGCCCACTACCAGGACTTAAAGGCAAAGCACGTTCCCGCACTGAGGAATCCTTTTATGAAAATCCGTATCCCGAGTGCATATGTGGTCCAAAGAGGCATTTTAAAACAATGTAATGGTGAAAGGTTCTCAGCATGGAAGCAAAAGAATGGCACCACGCGGGCCAAAACTCAAGCAAAAGCTTTAATGCCTTTGATGGGGTTACCAGCTTTGCTCTTGTACCCTAAGGTGGGAAAAACGACACCGTCCAGTGTTTCTGATCTTGTTCATTGCCCAATTGTTCTTTCCCTGAAAAAAGGTAAGAAAGATTCTTTTTCTCTTTGACATTTTTGTCTATCGGTTACGATGTCACAATCTGTTGCCAACTCTTGCGGTAGGCTTGTCCAGTTGTAGAACAGCGACAGCTGAAGGTTCACTTGATTTAGCTAGAGGAGAATCTCGGATTTTTAGCCCCAGATCTTGCTCTGCGTTTTTGTTCTTGTCTAGGATTTGTACATCCTTCTTTAAGGATGTTCCGGATGAAATAGAAGCTTGTACATTACTGGAATTGGGTCTCTTCCGTGTCGAATATATTCTTTTCACCACACGACATCGTGCTGCTGAGATTCTCAGTGACCATTAATGTCTGATTACTTCAAACCTGTGCAATTGCATGTGCACAAATCATGGCATGCCCAAATTGGAAGCTCATAGCTTGATGGGGGTCACAGCTCTCATTAAATCCCCTCGCCAAGTAAGTCTTATCTTTGCCGTTGGTTGATTTGACTTCTCTTCCTGTCCAGATTCACAGTTTCATTCTTTAGATCAGCTATTTTTCCCCCCTTTCTTTAATTTTTTGTTTTTAACTATGTTTCACTTCTTGCGCTTATTTTATTTCCAAATTTTTAAATCAATCCCCATTTATATTCGTTCCTTTTTTTTCGGGAAATGCTTGCATAACTGCGGGGTTAAAAATGACGGTGTAACCGTCTAACACCAGCCACAAATTTGTTTGGAAGAAATCGGAAGACTTTTGGAACAGGTTTCAACTTTTGACTTCTATGTTTCCTTTTTTATTATTTTTTTTACTTCTATATTTTCTTTTGGAAGCTCAAATTCGAAGGCAAAATCAGAGGAGGCCACTGTTCTTTCAACTATTGCGGGCAAGATACAATTAAATCCTGACTAATTAAATCCTCTAATCCTAAATCTGCTAAAGTGAATATTTCTTCAATATAAAAAAGGAATAATTTAAATACGGAAATATAAATAATCACAAATAAAAAAAATATTATGATTAACTAAAAAGAAATCGTTAATGTCATTATAAAGATCCATTAAAATTCAAAAATGAAAAAAAAAAGAAATGTTAGCTTTGCAACTAATAAACAAATCATTGTGTAATGAAATGGCTCATCATTCCTTTTGCTCGAATCAAATTGCTTTAAAAGAACTTTTCGGTGACTTAAAATTAAGATCAATGATATCGATTATGCATAAAATAAGAACGATTTAAAGAAACAAATCAAAGTAATAATATTCAAGAACATTGATTCCACGGGCCCTCTTCTGATTTTTGTCTCTAAATTTATATTTCCATATTTAAATTATTCTTTCTTTTTTATATTGAAGAAAATTCACTTTAGCGGATTTAGGATTAGAGGATTTAATTAGTTAGGGTTTAATATAGGATTAGAAGATTTAATTGTATCTTACCTGCAATAGTGGAAAGAACAGTGGGCCTCCACCGTTATGCTACCGCTCCCTTTTTTTTTTAACCCCACTTGCTTGCTTAGGTAGAACCTTACTTTATTCCATTAACTTTCCCCTTTTGACTCAATTTCCCACATAAAGAAAGGTTCCTAATCCTCGTCCTGGCCGGAGGGAGATGCTTAATCTGCTGGCGAAAACAGGTAGCTGCATGTTCTGCAATAGCCTGCCGATAGCCTGCCTAAGTAGCATCAGTTTCCATATTCTCAACTACTTTGATTATTTTTATTTATTTATTGTGGATGAGCTGAGCCAATAGGATGAATTGAAAGGGATCGAATTCCTATTGGTATTGTGTCTCATATCCATCTTGGCTATTCTCATCCATTAACTCCTTGAGACTAGACTAGATCTTTGCTCGGGTCTTTCAACCAACTAATTGAACCTTTCATATATGTATTGAGTATTGAACGAGAGGAGACTCGGTATGAAATGAACAAAAGAAATCAAAGAGAAAATCTAGTTTGGATATTTTACGTATGGGTACTTTTTATACTCTTTCGAGAAATTTTCCTCAAAGGAATATAGTTCCAGATATCTTGATGGATAAGGATGTATTGCGATTTATACTATTAATGAATATGCATTTTGACAGGAAGAATTAGTTAATTGAAAGCTACGAGAAATCCGCGCAAATTAATATTGTCAAGTTAACGGGACATATTTGTCGACGTCGGGTATTCTTCATCAACTCAATCGGTCAATACTTCAAAAGCGCAAACAAGGTTGGATCGTGATCCTTCTTGCTTCCCTTTCCACTCACGTTTTTACATCTTTAAAAAGCGGTGTAAAAACTCTCGTTGAGCGTGTGCGCCGCTTCTCACCTCTCTTCTAAGCAGGAAATTTTCCGATGATCACGGTACGGATTGGCATTCCGAAGTCAAATTCGGAGAGGTCAGAGATGGTCAAAATTCAATTCATAATCCGATTGCCAAATCAAAGCGGAGCGGGTCGGGTCGGGTCAGGGTCGGCACCCGCTGCGGCGCCCCAAATCTACTTACCCTTGTCCAAGAACTGTCAACTAATCATATGACTAAAACAATATCTTTTATCATATCCTATATTTAATTGCGTCTATTAAACCAAGCATCATACAAGAGAGACAGAAGAGACCGCGCGTGTGCCTCTCGTGCATGGAGGGACAGCATGAACGTTGGTGTCCAAATCAAAAGAGAAAGAATAGGATACTGTGGGATACCAGAAACCGCGAAACCGCCGTGGATGTGGATTACTACCTTTTGAAGCGCTGAGAGCTGCAACTCAGAAAGTGTAGGACAGTTCTCCAGTCCCTGGTTTCTCTCCACTGCCCCGAATAAAGGAGAAGAAGACATGATCATCTCGGACTTCTTCTCTCCTCAGCTCGGCGAGTCTCGCTCGTATGAATAACAGCCCCCGAGCCCCCACCCAGTTCCTCACGTCTGCCCAAGCACCGATTCTTGAGGACAAACATCAGAGGAACAAGCAGTTTCGGATTTCGCGGGTGACATCACCGAGGTTGAGATGGCGAGCACCGCTGGTCAGGTCATTCGTTGCAAGGGTATGTTCGTGTCGTGATCGCCTTCGATTCTTGACTTGGGTTTTGTCGGTTTTTCGGTTGATGATCTCTCGGTTTTTTTCCTTTTTTTTTTTCTTACTTGACAAGTTCTTGATTTGCGTTACTGGGTGTCTGTGGAGGACATATATTGTGCTGGGTCCTTTAGCTGGGGAGTGATCTTGCTATTGGGAATGTGAACTTAAACGCTCCTTTGCTTGACTTGATTTAGTTAATGTCTTCAGAAGGGCAAGTTTTTTTTTTATGTTCTTTTTCCCGTTCATGTTTTGATGACACTTGGCTGTTTACATTTGGCCGAGTGATATCGTGTATAATTTGGGTTGCGAACTCTTTTCCGTAGCTAAAGATCTGTGCTTTAAGCGTGGATATGACTTGCCTCGTGGTGTGATTATGTCGAACATGTGATGCAGCTGCGGTGGCGTGGGAAGCTGGAAAGCCACTTGTGATGGAAGAAGTGGAGGTGGCTCCTCCGCAGGCGATGGAGGTCCGTATCAAGATCCTCTTCACCTCCCTTTGCCACACCGATGTTTACTTCTGGGAAGCCAAGGTGACTACATCTGCATTTTCTACATGGTTGTGTATATATGTTGGCTAAATTGACCGATCGTGATGTATTGTGATGATTAATGCGACTTACACAATCGAATTGCAGGGACAAACCCCATTGTTTCCTCGCATATTTGGTCACGAAGCATCAGGGTATGGACCTTTACATGGAAAAAGTTGATCTCCTTTCATTGGCTGAACTTAACATTAAGGTCGATTGCCAATGTTGGTAATATTTATCGGCTGTATTGTGAAATCATGTTCGTTTTCTCTTCTGTTTGGCAATCTAGGATCGTGGAAAGTGTCGGTGAAGGTGTCACGGAACTTCAACCTGGTGATCATGTCCTTCCTGTATTCACAGGAGAATGCAAGGAGTGCCGGCATTGTAAATCCGAGGAGAGCAATATGTGTGACCTGCTCAGGATAAACACGGATCGGGGAGTTATGCTTAATGATAACGCGTCGAGGTTCTCGATCAATGGGAAGCCCATTCACCATTTTGTTGGCACTTCGACTTTCAGTGAGTACACCGTGATTCACGTCGGTTGTGTTGCCAAGATCAACCCTGCAGCCCCGCTGGACAAAGTCTGTGTTCTCAGCTGCGGTATCTCTACAGGTCAGTCATATGTTTCACAAAATTTATCTGATGTATGCCAGATTTTTCATTGGCTTTTATCAGCATTAACTGATGTCCTGTTTTCCCTTATTGGAAGGTCTTGGTGCCACCTTGAATGTTGCGAAGCCGAAGAAGGCAATCGGTAGCCATTTTTGGTCTTGGAGCTGTGGGCCTTGCTGTGAGTTTCATTTCTTTTACTGTCTTTCCCATAAAAATCAGATGAACTTGTTTAAGTGCAATTGTAAATGAAAACTTAAAATGTTGGATATTCTGATTCCTCAGGCGGCTGAAGGGGCTCGAATGTCGGGGGCTTCGAGGATAATTGGAGTTGATCTGAATCCAAAAAGATTTGCTGAAGGTAATTGATTTAAATCTCGTTGCATCTTTGATAAGTAAACGAGCTCATATGCATCTAAGCATCCCCATTACGGTCAGCTAAAAATTAGCATCTTGATTTAGTCTTTAGAAAAAGCGCATGTTGTAGTTTGCCTATGTGATTGCACTCTGAAGACCCTCTCTCTTTCTGTGAGCAGCCAAGAAATTTGGAGTCACTGAGTTTGTGAATCCCAAGGACCACAACAAACCTGTTCAAGAGGTTTGATACCATCCCCACTTGATGACACCTTTCGTGTGATCTGATCACTGTATAATACCTTGTCCTTTCAAACTGAAATTTGTTAACTTCGACTCAGGTGATTGCTGAAATGACTAATGGGGGTGTCGATCGAAGCGTTGAGTGCACTGGAAATATCAACGCCATGATCTCTGCATTTGAATGTGTTCACGATGTAAGTACTAACAGACATTACTTCTAAAAAGTTGCTAGATCAATGAAATGCTCTGCCGATCTGTTTCTTTCATCATTAACGGGTTGGAATTGAATCTGCAGGGATGGGGGGTTGCTGTTCTTGTCGGCGTCCCTAACAAAGACGATGCATTCAAGACCCATCCAATGAATCTCTTGAACGAGAGAACTCTCAAGGGCACTTTCTTTGGCAACTACAAGCCAAGGATGACCTTCCCTCTGTTGTGGAGATGTACATGAATAAGGTATAACCCGGGTCGTCATGCTTCTTCCCAGCACAAGTGCCTGTGCTTTCGTACCTTTATGAATACACATCTCTCATGCCACATTTCTAGTAGGGCTTGGCCTCCATTAATGCATGCACATAATGTGTCATTTATGCATAAATTGCATCTTACCAGGTTCTTGTCAGTTGAGTGTTTCTTGATCTACAAAGCTTCACATACATTCTACAGATTGTCGCTTGTTCTCTTTGTTGTCCGGAATTTATCTCCATGTAAGGAAGTTTCGACTGAAGTGATGTTCATATATGAGCAGGAGCTTGAGGTGGAGAAGTTCATTACGCATGAGGTTCCTTTCTCGGAGATCAACAAGGCCTTCGACTACATGCTTGAAGGTGCTAGCCTTCGCTGCATAATCCGCATGGGCGGGTAGAATCACTGAGGTTACTGTGGGAGGGAGACGAACTTTGCTTGCATTTGAGGTTACATTCTACATGCTTGATCTACAAAGCATGTTGCTCTGCTTTGGGAGGGAGACGAACTTTGCTTGCATTTGAGGTTACTGTGTCTTGAGGCAGAAATAAATGACTTTTTGCTGCTGTGAATGCTTTGTTAGTGACTAATGAATGGATTGTTTCGTGTTCTCGTGAAAATTATTTTCATTAAAAACATATGGAGTCATATTGGTTCTTTGTCACAGCATATCGTCTGCATGATGGGACAATGAATACTCATCTTTGGAGCAGGAATTTTCCATCCTACTTATCTATAAAATCATGAAATGAACTACTATGTGCAAACTTCAACAGAGGGAAAATAATGAGCTTGGTTCTAACCGGACTAACTATGGTGCCGGCTTGGATAATCATGGCCCATCACGTGCTGCGGACCATGTCACCAAATGCATGGTTCGAAACGTCATAGCCCAATAAGGTCCATAAATAAGTGCCGTGGCCTTATGAGGTGCCGGTAGAGGTGATGGTTTTTGACGGGCCGACATGATAACATGATTCGAACAAAAACAAGAATTTACTTACGGCGACACCACACTCGAACAATTTCATGTTCTCCCAGATGTCCCTATAATATTCTAGTGTAGAATCTTCTCCCCACCACTGGAGGACTTGAATTTCTTCCTTTCAACTTGGCAACTGGTTGATGAAATGTACTTTGTCTGATCTCTTGCTGGACTTCAGTTTGATCTATGGGAGGCTCAGTGTCTCTGCTGATCTTGGATACCAGCTGGTCAGACCATCGGTTTCGCTTTCAGCCTCCTTGTTCAAAAAAAAAAAAAAACAGAGAAAAAATAAAAGAAAAAGAGAGAAAAGGATTACTTAATTTTGGAAAAATGGAAATCTTCCATTAGCTGGTTGGCCTAATGCCAGACTATCTTGTAAGTCTCGTTTAGCCGATGGATGCTCCAATGTGATGAAATGCGCCCCGATGAATATCGGGTTATCTTTCACGAATTCGATCAATCGATCCTTCGAAAATGCAAACGAGATTGGATCATGGTCCTTCTCGATCCTCTTAGCACTCGTGGTCGGAGTTCGACCATCACATTGGATTGGACCAATCACCCCATACGCTACGTCTTTAAAAATGGTGTGGAGCTCTTCATGAGAGCATGCTTCTTCTCACCTCTCTTCTAAGCAGGGAATTAGCAGATGATAAATGGTACGGATTTCGCGGAGATGTCGAAATTCAATTTGTGAATTTTTTTTTTTGGTCAAAGAACAAATTTATTCATTTACGGAGATGATATGAAAAGTCCAAAACAAGGAGAATCTAGGCATAAGAGAGCCCAAAGGGCTTGCGGGGGAGCAGAGAGCCAATATTGTGGAAGAGAGCTAAGATGTTGGGTATTCGCAATCCAATCAGCAGCTGCGTTTAAAGTGGGCTATGCGGATTGAGGGGTGAGCTTTGAGGAGCTGAAGACAATCCATGATAAGGAATAGCTCCTCCCAGTTGAATAAATCTGCAGACCCACTTCTCAGAGCTTCTACAAGATCCACACGGTTGGACTCCACTATTAAGTTATCAGTTATGTCTTCGTTCGATGCTGCAATTTGGAGTGCTTCCAGGACGGCTAGGTTTTCAGCTTGAGAGACAGAGGAAACCTTCACCGATTTAGCAAAGCCCGTGACAATTGCGCCTGTATAATCTCGACATATACCAGCTATGGCGCCATCCGCAGATCCATCAACTAAGGAGGCATCGACATTAAACTTTAGGACTTTCTCTCTCGGTGGCATCCATGTCCGTGACTCAGTAAGAGTAGGATTTTTCCTCATTTTAGGTTTGTGGGGGTTCCGTTTTCTGTAGTTCGCTTGCAAGAAAAGTAATGATTCCGCTGTTTCTTTGGCATTCGGATGTATACCCCGAAAAATGAAGTTATTTCGGGATTTCCAGATGTTTCACAGAGAGGTAAATCAGCCTCTTTTTCAGCAAATTGCATTAACCGTACATCAATTCTTATGATCTCCTGGAGGTTGATTTGAAGCTTCATGTGAGGGTCATCCCGGACATATTGTGTCCAGGGATAGAGGGACAGAGCAGAAAGATGTGTTCAATCGTCTCCTTCTCCCGTTGATAGAGGGGGGCATAACGGGTCAGGTATAATATTCCTCTTCCATAGATTCTCTTTTGAAGGGATTGCATTAGTACAAAGAGATCATAGAAAGACTTTTACCTTATGGAAAATCTGTATATCCCAAATAGCTCTCCAAAGTGTTTTAGGAATTTGGTATGAAGAGGAAGCTTGTTTAGTGTTGCACTTCTGTTCAATCTCTGTTCTGATCATGTTGTAGCCATTTTTAACAGTATAGCGGCCTGATTGAGTACCTACCCACACTAATTTATCCTGAGCGTAGGAAGGCCTAATTGGAATTGTTTGAATCTCTTGCACTAACTTATCATAAAAAAGGTCCTCTATTTTTTTTTGTATTCCACTTTCTTTCCTCAACTAAGATCAATTATGACACCATGACAAGGTCATTTTTTTTTGCTGGCCCCAATTACTCCTCTTTTTAGCCATTTTTGCTCCTTGATTTTTACTGATTTTCCGTTCCCAATCAACCACATAACAGAATTGGCAATAGAATCCCTCCCCAATAACAAACTCTACCATCCCCAAGACGGTCTGGAACCTCGCTTGGCTTGCCAATAATCTCCTCGAGGAAAATAAATACCTTTGAATAGCTTGCTCCAGAGGGATTCAGGATTTTGCAAGAGTCTCCATGCTTGTTTACCGAGCATAGCCTTATTAACTGAAATAAGATCTCTAAACCCCATTCGTCCTTTGTCTTTCCTCATCTTTAGGATGTTCCATTTTTTCCAGTGAAGTCCTGTTTTGGAAACAGTAGATTTCCACCAAAAGTTTGTGATCTTTCTCTCAATAGCTTTGCAAACAGAAATGGGTATTTTGAAGATTGACATAGCATAGTTGGGATGGACTTGTACCATTGTTTTCAGAAGAATCTCCTTTCCAGCTTTAGAAAACAATTGTTCATTCCAACCTTCCAATTTAGCATTTACTCTTCCAAGAATCCAAGCGAACATTTTCCTCTTTGATGTGCCCCAGCCCGAGGGTATGCCTAAGTATTTGCCAGTGTGGCCAGTCTCAGGTATCCTTTAACTCCTTCGCCATATTTTCTCGTAGTACATGAGGACATCCCTTACTGAAATAAATGCCCGACTTGTTTAAGTTAATGGCTTGACCTGATACATAATAGTATTGATTGAGTATCATTGAAATATTTTGGCATTCCAATAAAGTTCCATCCAGGAAAAAGATGGAGTCATCAGCAAACAGGAGGTGTGAGAGTGTCGAACTAAATCTATTCAGTTTGATGCCCTTAATACTTCCATTGTCCACTGCTTTATTTATCATGAAAGACAGACAATTAGCCACAAGAATAAACAGGTATGGGGAAAGAGGATCTCCCTGCCTAATACCTTTTGAGGGATTAAAGAAAAGGAGGGATTCTCCATTAAACTTCACACTGAAGGAGACTATTGTCACACACTGCATGACCCAACTGATCCACTTATCATTGAAATCCATTTTGATCATACAAGCTTCCAGGAAGTTCAACTCTATTCGATCATAGGATTTTTGCATATCTAATTTTAAAACAGCCTAAAATTTCCTTTGTCTATCCCTGGTTCTCAACCGATGCAGGACCTCTTGTATAATCAAAATGTTGTCTTGTATTTGCCGGCCACAAACAAAAGCACTTTGTTCTTCAACGGTCAATTTAGGTGGCCACCTCTTTAGCCTATTAGCCAAGATTTTTGAGATGACAAGTCGGTTTTTATTGAAATATTATCCTTTTAATATAAAAAAGAACAATTTATCAAAGTATTTATACCACTTGTCCATGCTATATAGGTAACAATAACCGTCAAATTTGGTGTCCACCTCCTAAATTACTATCAATTTACTTTTTTCACCATAAATTATTGTGACCTCGTAAAATAAATTATTATCATATTACAATATTTTGATATTTAGTTACGTCTATAACATTGCATGGTAATAACGGGAAAAGTAGCAAAAAAATTCTGGACTTGTGTCAATACAATCCTAAACCTTTTGTTTGTACCGATTAATAGTCCATTTAGCCAATTTTGATTGGAAATGACTAACATGGATGTTGAGCGTCCTACGTGGCACTACCAACGCTGACACAAACAAATTTTTAAAAAAATTTCTGATTTTTTTCTTTTTCTTTCTTTCTTTGTTTTTTTACTGCTCTAGGCTAGTGAGGGCCGCGACACCCTCGCCGGCCACGGGTGAGGGCTTCAACGTGTCGAGCCCTTGTCGGCCGTAGACAAAGGTGTTGCAGCTCTAGTCGGCCAATAGGTGAGGGTCGCAATCGTCTCTTGAATCAGGGTAAGGGCTCAACACCATCACCACAGTTGGGGAAAAAACAAGAGGAAAAAGATAAAGAAGACAAAAAATTCAGAAAAAATTTAGAAAAATTAAAAAAAAATTATCCATGTTAGCACCGACCGCGCCGCATAGAATGACTGGCGAGTATGTGAGCGATTTCTAGCCAAAATTGATCGGATAAATTATATTGAATTTTATAACTAAATTGACATAATTGAAAAATTTAGAATTGGGTTGGTACAAATGCAAGATTTTAAAGGATTCTTTTGTACTTTTGCCGGGTAATAACTGTGTACAGCAGACTAGAAGTTTCTAACAAGCGGTGGGACACAACCAAGCATCGTCCAAGACAAGGAGAGAGGCCTCGTTTGGTTCGGCATTCCCAAGGGTTTTCAAGGCCTGCAACGTTTGGCAAGCATTCCCAATGGGCTTTTAGCTTAAAGCTAGCATTGGGAATGCTCAAAGCTCAAAGCTGGTTCGGACGGCTTTTAGCATTTGACAAATGCTCAAACCAGTTTTTTTTCCAAAACTACCATCGCTTATTCTTTAATATTTCGGTTTTGCCCCTTTGTTACTGTTCATCTTTTTTGCGCTCCGGCGAGGGCCTACGACACTAGATCCAGACGGCGAAGGGCCAGTGAGGTCGTCCGACCCCAGGCGACGGTCGCTTGAGATCATGCAACCGTCGCTTGGGTCCCGCGACCCCAGGTGACGGCCACCTAAGGTCGCACGACCCCAGGTGACAACCACCTGAGTCGAGCGACCCTAGGCATCGCCTAGGTCGCGCAGCCCTTGCCGGGGGTCGCCCGTCTTCGAGCGACAGCCGCCGGCGCCAAATCTGACTCGTCAGGGGTCACCCGACCTCGAATGATGGCCGCCGGCGCCAGATTTGGCTCGCCGGCAACCGTAGCCCTTCGCCGACTCTAGTGAATGGTAAGTTTTTTTTTTTAATAAAAAAGAAAATCTTAAAGCCCTTTGCCCAAAAAAAATTAGCCAAATACTATTTAGCCCAAAGTAGCTTTATAAATATTTTTTTACTAAATGCCATTTATATTTTTTTAAAAATTTTAAGCTAAAGGTATTTGCATTCCACGAATATCATTTGCAATTCCCCGAAGATCATTTGCAAAGTTGAGTCCAGAGCGTGCGCCTCATGCGTGGAGGGACATCCGATGAACGTTGGACTCCAAATCGAAAGAAAGAAAAAAGAAAAGGGAAAATGACACAAATAGTCCTTGAACTTTGACCTAATGTGTAATTTGGTCCCTGAACTTTTAATTTATTCAATGTAGTCCCTGAACTTTAATCTAATGTTTAATTTGGTCCCTGAACTTTTGATTTGTTCGATGTGATCCCTGGACTTTTAATATGTATTCAATTTAGTCCTTGAACTATTTGAAAATATTCAATATAGTCCTTCCATTAATTCAAGTGCATGGACTATATTGAACATTTTTATATAGTTCAGGGACTAAATTGAACACATATAAAAAGTTCAGGGACTACATTGAACAAATTAAAAGTTCATGAACCAAATTGAATATTATGTTAAAGTTCAAGGACTACATTGAACAAATTAAAAGTTCAGGGATCAAATTACACATTAAGTCAAAGTTCAGGGACTATTTGTGTCGTTATCTCAAAAGAAAACTGTGGGAAACCAGAAACCAGAAACCGTGAAAGCGCCGTGGATTGCCATCCTGCAAGCGCGAGAGCTGGAAATCAGAAACAGGAGGACAGGTCTCGAGTCCCCGGTTTCTGTCCACCTCTTTTCCCAGTTGCCCAAGAAGAAAAAATGATCAATTTGAACTTCTTCTCCCCTCCAGTCGGTGAGCTTCCCTGGTATAAATACCACCGCCGAGACCGACCCACTTCTTCACATCTGCCCAAGAACCAATTCTCGAGGACAAAGATATCAGAGAGACAAGCAAACCCTTTTAGAGTTCGTGTGACATCACTGAGGTTTTGAGATGACGAGCACCGCTGGTCAGGTCATTCGCTGCAAGGGTATGTTTCTTTTATGTAGACCCGTCTTCGATTCTTGACTTGGGTTCCGTCAGTTTTTCTATCTCGGGTTAATGATCTCTCTCTGGTCTTTTGACGTAGCTGAGTTCTTGACTTGCGTTACTGGGTTTATAATTCGCTTCTTTTTCTTTGCGGACATGTGCTGCGGTAGCTCGTTTAGCTGGGTGGTGATCTTGCTATGGGGAATGTGAACTAAAATCTCCCTTTGCTTAATTTGCTTTAGTTCATAGTTATTATTTTGATCATGACCGCGTAGCTATCTAATGCGATCTCTTAGAAAACAGGGCAAGTTTTCTTTCTGTTCTTTTTCCCGTCCATGTTTTGATGACATTTGGCTGTTCAAATTTGGTTGAGTTATGTCATGCATAATTCGGGGTTACGAACTCTTTTCCATAGCTAAAGATCTGTGCTTTAAGCGTGGATTTGACTTGCCTCATGGTGTGATTATGTCGAACACGTGATGCAGCTGCGGTGGCATGGGAAGCTGGAAAGCCCCTTGTGATAGAAGAAGTGGAGGTGGCTCCTCCGCAGGCGATGGAGGTTCGCATCAAGATCCTCTTCACCTCTCTTTGCCACACCGATGTTTACTTCTGGGAAGCTAAGGTGACTATATTCGCACTTCTATATGGTTGTGGATAGATGTTGGCTAAATTGACCGATCGTGATGTATGGTGATGATTAATGGGACTTATACAATCGAATGTGCAGGGACAAACCCCATTGTTTCCTCGCATATTTGGTCATGAAGCATCTGGGTATGGACCTTTATGTGAAAAAGTTCATCTTCTTTTATTGGCTAAACTTACATTCAGGTCAATTGCGGATTTTGGTAATGTTTATCGGCTGTATTGTGAAACCATGTTCCTTTTTTCTTCCATTTGGCAATCTAGGATCGTGGAAAGTGTCGGTGAAGGTGTGACGGAACTCCAACCTGGTGATCATGTCCTTCCTGTATTCACCGGAGAATGCAAGGAGTGCCGGCATTGTAAATCCGAGGAGAGCAATATGTGTGACTTGCTCAGGATAAACACGGATCGGGGAGTTATGCTTAATGATAACGCATCGAGGTTCTCGATCAATGGGAAGCCCATTTACCATTTTGTTGGCACTTCGACTTTCAGTGAGTACACCGTGATTCACATCGGTTGTGTTGCCAAGATCAACCCTGCAGCCCCGCTGGACAAAGTCTGTGTTCTCAGCTGCGGTATCTCTACAGGTCAGTCATATGTTTCACAAAATTTATGTGATGTATGCTAGATTTTTCATTGGCTTTTATCAGCATTAACTGATGTCCTGTTTCCCTTATTGGAAGGTCTTGGTGCCACCTTGAATGTCGCAAAGCCGAAGAAGGGGCAATCGGTAGCCATTTTTGGTCTTGGAGCTGTGGGCCTTGCTGTGAGTTTCATTTCTTTTACTGTCTTTCCCATAAAAATCAGATGAACTTGTTTAAGTGCAATTGTAAATGAAAACTTAAAATGTTGGATATTCTGATTCCTCAGGCAGCTGAAGGGGCTCGAATGTCGGGGGCTTCGAGGATAATTGGAGTTGATCTGAATCCAAAAAGATTTGCTGAAGGTAATTGATTTAAATCTCGTTGCATCTTTGATAAGTAAACGAGCTCATATGCATCTAAGCATCCCCATTACGGTCAGCTAAAAATTAGCATCTTGATTTAGTCTTTAGAAAAAGCGCATGTTGTAGTTTGCCTATGTGATTGCACTCTGAAGACCCTCTCTCTTTCTGTGAGCAGCCAAGAAATTTGGAGTCACTGAGTTTGTGAATCCCAAGGACCACAACAAACCTGTTCAAGAGGTTTGATACCATCCCCACTTGATGACACCTTTCGTGTGATCTGATCACTGTATAATACCTTGTCCTTTCAAACTGAAATTTGTTAACTCGACTCAGGTGATTGCTGAAATGACCAATGGGGGTGTTGATCGAAGCGTTGAGTGCACTGGAAATATCAACGCCATGATCTCTGCATTTGAATGTGTTCATGATGTAAGTACTTGCAGACAAAGTTGCTGGATCAATGAAGTGCTCTGTCGATCCGTTTCTCTTCGTTAACAGGTTGGAAATTGAATCTGCAGGGATGGGGGGTTGCTGTTCTCGTCGGCGTCCCTAACAAAGACGATGCATTCAAGACCCATCCGATGAATCTCTTGAATGAGAGAACTCTCAAGGGCACTTTCTTTGGCAACTACAAGCCAAGGACTGACCTTCCCTCTGTTGTGGAGATGTACATGAATAAGGTATAACCCGTGTCGTCATGCTTCTTCCCGGCACAAATGCCTGTGCTTTCATACCTATCAAAACGAATCCACATCTCTCACGCCACATTTCTAGTAGGGCTTGGCCTCCACCAGTGCATATAATGTGTCGTTTATGCATAAATTGCGCCTTACCAGGTTCTTTTCAGTTCGAGTGTTTCTTGATCTACAAAGCTTCACATACATTCTATGCATCCGGTTTCCTTTTCTCTTGCATCAAATTTATCTACATGTAAGGAAGTTTCGACTGAGTTGGTGTTCATATATGAGCAGGAACTTGAGGTGGAGAAGTTCATTACGCACGAGGTTCCTTTCTCGGAGATCAACAAGGCCTTCGACTACATGCTTGAAGGCGCTAGCCTTCGCTGCATAATCCGCATGGGCGAGTAGAATCAATGAGGGTACAGAGCACGTTGCTCTGCTTTGGGATGGAGACGAACTTTGCTTGCATTTGAGGTTATTGCTGCACCGTTGTTATATGACAGTGTCTTGAGGCGGAAATAAATGACTTTTTGCTACTGTGAGTGCTTTGTTAGTGACTAATGAACGGATGAACGGATTATTTCGTGTTCTCGCGAGAATTATTTTCATTAGAAACATATGGAGAGTCATATTGGTTCTTTGTCACAGCATATCTTCTGCATGATGGGACAATGAATACTCATCTTTGGAGCAGGACTTTTCCATCCGACTGATCTATAAAATCATGAAATGAACCAATATGTGCAAACTTCAGCAGAGGGAAAATATTGAGCTTGGTTCTGAGCCGAACCGGACTAACTACGGTGCCGGCTTGGATGATCATGGCCCATCATGTGCTGCGGACCATGTCACCACAGGCATGGTTCGAAACATCAGAGCCCAATAAGGTTCATGAATAAGTGCAGTGACCTAACGAGACGCCGGTAGAAGTGATGGTTTCTGACAGGTCGACGTGATAACATAATTCGAACAAAAACAAGAATTTACTTATAGCGACACCGCACTCGAACAATTTCATGATCTCCCAGATGTCCCCTATAATATTCTGGTATAGAATCTTCTCTCCACCAATGGAGGACTTGAATTTCTTCCTTTCAACTTGGCAACTAGTTGATGAAATGTACTTTGTCTGATCTCTTGCTGGACTTGAGTTTGACCTATGCGAGGTTCGTTGTCTCTGCTGATCTTTGGATACCAGTAGGTCAGAGATTCGGTTTCGCTTTCAGCCTCCTTGTTCAAACAAAAAAAAATAAAGACAGAGAAGATTAAAATAGAAAAAACAAAAAAGGATTAGTCAATTTTGGAAAAATGGGGATCTTCAATTAGTCGGTTGACCTAATGCCAGACTATCTTGTGAGTCTCGTTCAATCGATGGATGTTCAAATGTGATGAAATCGAAAGCCATGAAAAATTCGCGCCAATTAATATCGGGTTATCCTTCGCGAATTCAATCGATCGATCCTTCGGAAGCGCGAACGAGGTTGGATCATGGTCCTTCTCGATCCACTTGTCATTCGCGGTCGGAGTTCGACCATCACATTGGATTGGACCAACTGCCCCAAACGCTACATCTTTAAGGGTGGTGTAGACCTCTCTTCTACGCATTCCGGATGACAAATGGTACGGATTTCGCATTCCAAAGTGGAAATTCGGAGATGTCGAAATTCAATCCGTGATCCATTTGCCAAATCAAATAACAAATCGGTATTTATCGAAGTATCATTCTTTTTATATAAAAGAGAACAATTTATCAAAGTATTTATACTACTCGTCCAAACCATAGGTAATAACAACAGTCAAATTTGGTGTACACCTCCTAAATTACTATCAAACTGCACTTTCTCACCATAAATTATCGCGACCTCATAAAATAAATTTTTATCATATTATTCTATTTTGATATTTACTTACGTCTATAAGGTGTAGCGTTGCAGCGTAATAATAAGAAAAATATCAAAAAAAGTCATAAACCTATTGGATTTGTGTCAATTCAATATTAAATCTTTTAATTGTACTAATTGAATGCCAAGCCTTTTGATGATTTTCCTATGTAGTTTATTGAAAATCGCTGATATGCACGCCAGCCATAGTACATGGCACGATCAGCATTAACGCGGACAAATTTTCAATTTTTTTTTATTTCTTTGTGCTTTTTTTATAACTCTGGGCTGACGAGCGCCTCCGCACCGTCGCTTGGATAGGCGAGGGTGTCGTGGCCCTCACCGGCCACGAGTGAGGGCCTCTGCGTGTCGAGCCGTTGCTTAGATCCAAGCGAGGGCATCGCAATCCTCATCGGCCGATAGGCGAGGGTCACGGCCCTCTCCTGGATCTAGGCGAGAGGGCCCTACGTAGTCGCCTATAGCCGGCGACCTTTCAGGCCCACAATCGTAAAAAAAAACAAAAGGAAGGAAAGAAAACAAAAAAAACAAAACGAACCAAAATAAAACTTAATAACAAATTCAGAAGAATTTAAAAAAAAAAAGTTATACAGGTCAGCTACGGCCGTGCCACGTAGAATGACCGGCATCCATGTCAACGATTTTAAGCCAAAAATTGGCCAGACGAGCTATATCGGGAATTCACAAAAAGATTTAGGACTGAATTGACGTTGTTGAAAAATTTAGGATTAAATCGGCACGGAGCCTAATAATTTTTGGATTTTTGTTTTTTAACTTTTCCACCGATGAAAACCGTGTGCTGCAGACCAGAAGTTTCCAACAAGCGGTGAGGGCACACAAGCTGTGCCTCATACATACGTGGAGAGAAAGAGTGCGTGCGCCTCGTACGTGGAGGGACATCCGATGAACGTCGGACTTCCAAATCGAAACAAAGGAACAAAGAATACCGTGGGAAAACCGGCCGTGGATTACTACCATCCAAAACCGGAGGACGGTTCTCAAGAGTCCCCTGGTTTCCCTCCTCCTCTTTTCCCGGGTGCCCCGAAAAGAGAAAAAAAAACAAGCTTCAATTCGAACTCCTTCTCCCCTCCCCCCCATTCGGTGAGTATAAATACCACCGCCGAGACCGACCCACATCCTCACATCTGCCCGAGAACCGATTCTTGACGGACAAAGATATCAGAGAGACGAGCAAAACCCCTTTTAGAGTTCGTGTGACATCACCGAGGTTTCGAGATGACGAGCACCGCTGGTCAGGTCATTCGCTGCAAGGGTATGCTTGTGTTGTCACCGTCTTCGATTCTTGAATTGGGTTACGTCGGTTTTTCTTTCTCGGGTTGATGAGCTCTCTCTGGTCTTTTGGCGTAGCTGAGTTCTTGACTTGCGTTACTGGGTGGTTTATGATTCGCTTCTTTTTCTTTGAGGATGTGTGCTGCGGTAGCTCGGTTAGCTGGGTGGTGATCTTGCTATGGGGAATGTGAACTAAAATCTCCCTTGGCTTAATTTGCTTTTAGTTCATAGTTATTATTTTGATCATGACCAAGTAGCTGTCTAATGCGATCTCTTAGAAAACAGGGCAAGTTTTCTTTTTGTTCTTTTTCCCGTTTATGTTTTGATGACATTTGGCTGTTCAAATTTGGTTGAGTTATGTCATGCATAATTCGGGGTTACGAACTCTTTTCCATAGCTAAAGATCTGTGCTTTAAGCGTGGATTTGACTTGCCTTATGGTGTGATTATGTCGAACACGTGATGCAGCTGCGGTGGCATGGGAAGCTGGAAAGCCCCTTGTGATAGAAGAAGTGGAGGTGGCTCCTCCGCAGGCGATGGAGGTTCGCATCAAGATCCTCTTCACCTCTCTTTGCCACACCGATGTTTACTTCTGGGAAGCTAAGGTGACTATATTCCCATTTCTATATGGTTGTGGATAGATGTTGGCTAAATTGACCGATCGTGATGTATGGTGATGATTAATGGGACTTATACAATGGAATGTGCAGGGACAAACCCCATTGTTTCCTCGCATATTTGGTCATGAAGCATCTGGGTATGGACCTTTATGTGAAAAAGTTCATCTTCTTTTATTGGCTAAACTTACATTCAGGTCAATTGCGGATTTTGGTAATGTTTATCGGCTGTATTGTGAAACCATGTTCCTTTTTTCTTCCATTTGGCAATCTAGGATCGTGGAAAGTGTCGGTGAAGGTGTGACGGAACTCCAACCTGGTGATCATGTCCTTCCTGTATTCACCGGAGAATGCAAGGAGTGCCGGCATTGTAAATCCGAGGAGAGCAATATGTGTGACCTGCTCAGGATAAACACGGATCGGGGAGTTATGCTTAATGATAACGCATCGAGGTTCTCGATCAATGGGAAGCCCATTTACCATTTTGTTGGCACTTCGACTTTCAGTGAGTACACCGTGATTCACGTCGGTTGTGTTGCCAAGATCAACCCTGCAGCCCCGCTGGACAAAGTCTGTGTTCTCAGCTGCGGTATCTCTACAGGTCAGTCATATGTTTCACAAAATTGATGTGATGTATGCTAGATTTTTCATTGGCTTTTATCAGCATTAACTGATGTCCTGTTTCCCTTATTGGAAGGTCTTGGTGCCACCTTGAATGTCGCGAAGCCAAAGAAGGGGCAATCGGTAGCCATTTTTGGACTCGGAGCTGTGGGCCTTGCTGTGAGTTTCATTTCTTTTCCTATCTTTCACACAAAAATGGGATGAACTTGTTCAAGTGCAATTGCAAATGAAGACTTAAAATGTTGAATATTCTGATTCATCAGGCCGCTGAAGGGGCTCGAATGTTGGGGGCTTCGAGGATTATTGGAGTGGATCTGAATCCAAACAGATTTGCTGAAGGTAATTGATTTGAATCTCATTGCATGTTCGATACGTAAACGAGCTCATATGCATCTAAGCATCCTCTTTACAGTCAGCTAAAAATAAGCATCTTGATTTGGTCTTTAGAAAAAGCGCATGTTGTAGTTTGCCTATGTGATTGCACTCTGAAGGCCCTCTCTCTTTCTGCGAGCAGCCAAGAAATTTGGAGTCACTGAGTTTGTGAATCCCAAGGACCACAACAAACCTGTTCAAGAGGTTTGATACCATCCCCACTTGATGACACCTTTCGTGTGATCTGATCACTGTATAATACCTTGTCCTTTCAAACTGAAATTTGTTAACTTCGACTCAGGTGATTGCTGAAATGACTAACGGGGGTGTTGATCGAAGCGTTGAGTGCACTGGAAATATCAACGCCATGATCTCTGCATTTGAATGTGTTCATGATGTAAGTACTAACAGACATTACTTCTAAAAAGTTGCTTTGATCAATGAAATGCTATTTCGCTTCGTTTCTCTCACTATTAACGGGTTGGAAATTGAATCTGCAGGGATGGGGGGTTGCTGTTCTCGTCGGCGTCCCCAACAAAGACGATGCATTCAAGACCCATCCGATGAATCTCTTGAACGAGAGAACTCTCAAGGGCACTTTCTTTGGCAACTACAAGCCAAGGACTGACCTTCCCTCTGTTGTGGAGATGTACATGAATAAGGTATAACCCGGGTCGTCATGCTTCTTCCCAGCACAAATGCCTGTGCTTTCATACCTTTCAAAACGAATCCACGTCTCTTGCGCCACATTTCTAGTAGGGGTTGGCCTCCACCAATGCATATAATGTGTCATTTATGCATAAATTGCAACTTACCAGGTTCTTTTCAGCTCGAGTGTTTCTTGATCTACAAAGCTTCACATACATTCTATGCATTCGGTCTCTTTTCTCTTACTTGCACCAAATTTATCTACATGCAAGGAAGTTTTGACTGAAGTGGTGTTCATATATGAGCAGGAACTCGAGGTGGAGAAGTTCATTACGCATGAGGTTCCTTTCTCGGATATCAATAAGGCGTTCGACTACATGCTTCAAGGCGCTAGCCTTCGCTGTATAATCCGCATGGGCGCCTAGAATCACTGAGACTGCAGACCATCTCTGCTTTGGGAGCAGGACGAACTTTGCTGAGCTTTTGAGGTTTATTGCTGCACCGTTGTCATATGACCGTGTCTTGAGGCGTAAGATGGAAAAAATAAATGACCTTTGTTGCTGCTGTAAATGGTTTTTTAGTTATGAATGAATGTTCCTGCTCGTATTCTCGCGATGATGTCAACTTTATTCGTAAGATCATGAGATGAAATTTTGCATCATCAGCTGCTTTGCTTCGAAATAGATCGAGAGCGAAAAGGAAGCACAAATCTAATACGGGCAAACTTTCGACAATAGTATTCGGCCAAAAATAAAAAAAAATTCAACAGTAGTAGACAATGAGCTTGGTTTTGAGCCAGAATCGGTATAGGGCCGTCCCAATCACGGCCCATCACGTGCCACGAACCATTTCGCCAAATGCACGGTTCGAAATGTCAAAAGCCCAATAAGGGCCATTGCCCAAACTTGTGTAGATGTTATAGTTTTTGGTAGGACAATGTTATAGTTTTTGGTAGGACAACGTGATAACATGACTCGAACAGAACAGAACTGAAAATTTTCTTATAGAAACTTGAATGGGGATCAACACACACTCGAGTTCGTGTTTTCGCAAATGTCCCCATCTTCTCCTAGTGCAGAATCTTCTCCACACTACTAGAGGACTTAACAATGACGGCAAGTGCACTTCTCCATCTCCCTTTCAACTTGGCAACAAGTTGATGGAATGTCCTTGTCTGATCTCTGGCTGGACTTGAGTTGGACCTACGTGAGGCTCATTGTGTCTGATCTTTGGATAACAGTAAGGTCAGAGCAGCTGCTCTGTTTTTCAGGACTCGTGTCCATTCAATTTGAGTCTCCCCATTAAGTTTCACGAAACAAGACAATTGAGAAACGACCAAATTTGCACCGAGCCGAGAGTCATTCTTCCATTTGTGACCCGTGAACAGATTCTTGGCATCAACCCAAGAGCCAAACCAGTAATGTATGGTCGTTGCCCCAACTTGCCATGACGAGTCCTTTCAATGAACATAGAACCAGGCACCAGAATGCCTATCCATGGTCATGGATGTGAGTACTAAGCAACAATTGAAAATACACTACCACCTTTCGATCGAATCGCATAAACATATCCCGTTTCTCACTTCGTTTTGAACAAAAGGGTGGTGCTCGTCCTCGTCGGTTGTTCGATTAGTGGTCGACGAAGGGGGCTTGTTATGGATTAGGCACACGGGACACAAGTTTGATTCTCCACGCAGCTATGTGCAAGCAATTTTGCATTCGAGCAACTCGCCTGAGACTGGCACATGGTTAGACTAATGAAATACACACTAAAGGAGGGAGTACGATCATCGAAAAACGGAAGCACAAGGACCAAAATTGAAAGCTCGAAAAAGCACACTTCCCAAAGTGTAATTTCCAAAAAGCGCTTAAGAGTAACGAGAACTCGCAGGGGGTCACTCAAGTTCGTCGATTGTTCATTTAGTGGTCGACGAATGGGCTTGTTGTAGATTAGGTGCACGGGGCACAAGTTTGATTCTCCATGCAACTAAGTGCGAACAATTCCATATTCGAGCAATTCGCCCGGGTTTCAACTCGCATCTTACTTGATTCTCGAGGTTAGTAAGAATTTTCTTCGTTTGGAGTTTACCTAATTCGGAGTAAGTTTACTAATTACAAAAAGGAGTAATGCCCGAGACACTTAAACAGCATACCCGACGAGTTTTCTCCGCCCGAGACTGGCGCATGACTAGACTAATATTCTAGAGGGACTACGAGCATAAAAAAAAAACCAAAGCACAGGGACCAAAATTGAAAATTCGAAAAAGTACACTTCCCAAAGTGTAATTTCCAAAAAGAGCTTTAGGAAGTGTAAAAGCATGTCAAACATAAGTCAGAAGCCTACGTTCACCCGTCTCTCGTCAAAATGGTTCTGCAAATCTCCGCCTCCTCCTTCTTCATCCTCGTCCTCGCCGTCGCTCTCGCCCCGCCGGCGAAGCCCGACGCCTCGCTGATCCAGAAGGCGTGCCGGACCACCAAGTACTACGACCTCTGCGTCTCCTCCCTCATGTCCGACCCCTCCAGCTCCCGCGCCGACCCCAGGGGCCTCGCCTCCATCGCCCTCGCCGCCGCCCTCGCCAACGCCACCTCCACCTCCTCCTTCCTCTCCTCCCTCGTCCCCGGCTCCGGCGGCGGCGGCGGCGACCCCGCCCTGTCCCGGCTCCTCCGGGGCTGCGCCGACAAGTACGGCCTCGCCCGCGACGCGCTCCAGGCGTCGGCGCGGGACCTGGCGGCGGAGGCCTACGACTACGCCTACATGCACGTGATGGCGGCGGAGGACTACCCGCGCGCGTGCCGCGACGCGTTCCGGCGGTCGCCGGGGACGACGTACCCGCCGGAGCTGGCGCGGCGGGAGGACGGGCTGAGGCGCATCTGCGACGTCGTCCTGGGGATCATCGATTTTCTCGGCTCGTGATTGAAATTCGAAAGAGAAAACGGGAAAAAGAAAAAGAGTTCGTGGTGTGTTCACATGTCTCTGTCTTTCTTCTTCTCTCCACGTGCATGAATTTAAGAGAAAATTATTTTTTTTTGTTGTTGTTTTTCTTTTTCACTAATTCAGTCAATCTCTTTTTTTGTACATTTCTTTTTATTAAAATATCCCATGTTGCTTGTCTAACTCGTTAAAATGAACTCTCGGACTTACAAATATCGAGTCATTCACATTACTGTCGCGCGAAATTCCTTTGCAAGACTTTGTGATTATCGACACATTGATGTTTATATAGAGCTCAACATGTCATCGGTTCCAAAATTGTCGACGTTAGCAATTATGAATCTATGGATTGATGTGATTATATTTGCCTTAGTACGATAAACATGTTTGTTTGAGAGAATGAAAAGGTCAAAATGAATTTATTGGAGGAAGAAATTTAATCGATTTTAGAGGGTTATTATAGAATATATCAAATTAGTTTGCATGTAAGTAATGTTCATAATTTAAAAATCAATTGGAGATATGATGGCAAAAAAATAAAATATATATATTATTGTCTTCTCACTCATTTGGGAAAATTACCAAAAAAGTCCTAAACCTATTGCAATTGTGCCAATTTAGTCGTAAACCTTTTTTTTTGCCAATTCAGTCCTAAACCTTTTGCAATTGTGCCAATTCAATCCATATCTCCAATTGTGCCAATTCAATCTACATCGTCGGGGGACGTTAGCGTCGGCCGGACGACCGACACCAGCCGGCGTCCATGTCAGCGTCGGCCGGCCAAAAGTAGTCGGATGGACTGAATTAGCATAATTGCAAAAGGTTTAGGATTGAATTGGCCAAAAAAAAATGTTTATGACTGAATTGGCACAATTGCAATAGGTTTATGACTTTTTTGGTAATTTTCCCCGCTCATTTAGTATCACACTAACATTTGTTCTCTCAAATGGCTCCGGGATAAATTGTTTCGGGAGTTAATGCCGGAACATCAACGAATTTTATGTTGGAAAATATTTTCATTGAAATGATTTCTCAAATTCAAAATTCCAAAAAAAAAATTTGGCATGAAAATTATGCAACTACAAGATATATGCACATCTTCTAGTATTTCTCCAACACCATATCATTGGAGTCATGGCGACGTAGTTATTTACACCAGCATAAAAATCGACGACAATGCGCAATGGCATTTGGTTGTACTTTTATTTTACGTTGTTCGAATCATGTACATGTCTAGAGGTTGAGCGTTGAACCATTTCAAGGGAGCCAGAACCGCTTATCCTTGAAAACGAAAGGTAGGGAGCACTTGAACAAAGGGATGGAAACAAGAGCGCGGTCACAATTGGTGACCAAGTAGTATTTCACCTTGCAGGTAGTCCCCGCTGCTTCCCAACAAATTTCACATGTTTAGGAAAGAGAGACTCATTTCGAATAAGGATAATGACACGAACAGTTCCTGAATTTTGGCTCAATATGCAATTTAGTCCCTGAACTTTTAATTTATTTAATGCAGTCCCTGAACTTTAGGTTGATGTTCAATGTGATCCTTGAACTTTTATTTTGTTCAATATCATCCATGAACTTTTGGTACATGTTCAATTCAGTCCATGAAGTATATGAAAATATTCGGCAAAAGTACATCACAAGTGCCATAACTTGTGTACGGCGATCACTTTGGTACCATAACTTTTTTTCGGATCACTTTGGTGCCAAGTCGGAGAAAAAGAGATCACTTTAGTGCCAATTTGGCCGGAAATCCGACGTGGCATTTTTTATTAATTTTTTACGCCGACGTGGCTCGCTGGAGGCTGAGTCAGCGTGTACAGTCAGCATTTTTAATTTTAAATAATTTTTTTTAGCGTGTACAGTCAGCATTTTTAATTTTAAATATTTTTTTTTCTTTTCTTTTTTTCTCCCCTCGCCGGCCGGCCACCGGCGAAGCCTGGGAAGGGCTAGGCGAGGGCGGCCGACCCTCGCCGGCGACAGGCAAGGGCTTCCTTCGCCCGACGCCGGCGAGGGTCACCCTCGCAGGATCTGGCGAGGCCGCCCTCGCCCGACGCCGGCGAGGGTCGCCCTCGCCCGGATCTGCGAGGGTGACCCTCGCCGGTGTTGGGCGAAGGAAGCCCTCGCACGGGCGGGCGAGGGTCGCCCTCACCGGATCGGCTCGGGCGACCCTCGGCGGGGTCGGGCGAGGGTCGCCCACGCCCGACTCGGGCGAGGACGACCCTCGCCCGCCCCAGCGACGGCTTCCCTCGCCCAACTCCGGCGAGGGAAGCCGTCGCGGGCGGCGAGGTCGCCCTCGCCTGAGTCGGGCGTGGGCGACCCTCGCCCGACGCCGGCGAGGCTCGCCCTCGCCCGACGCCGGCGAGGGTCGCCCTCGCCAGATCCGGCGAGGGCAACCCTCGCCCGCCCAGGCGTCGGGCAAGGGCAGCCCTCGCCTGGGCTGGCCTCGCCTGTAGCCGGCGAGGTCGGCCGCCCCTCGCCGGCCATGGGCAAGGTCGCCCTCGCCCAGCCCTTCTCGGGCTTCGCTGGTGGTCGGCCGGCGAGGGGAGAAAAGAAAAAAAGAAAAGAAAAGAAAAAGGAAAGAAGAAAAAAAAAGGAAAAAAATATTTAAAATTAAAAATGCTGACTGTACACGCTGAAAAAAATTATTTAAAATAAAAAATGCTGACTGTACACGCTGACTCAGCCTCCGGCGAGCCACGTCGGTATCAAAAATTAATAAAAAATGCCACGTCGGATTTCCGGCCAAATTGGCACTAAAGTGATCTCTTTTCCTCCGACTTGGCACCAAAGTGATCCGAAAAAAAGTTATGGCACCAAAGTGATCGCCGTACACAAGTTATGGCACTTGTGGTGTACTTTTGCCGAAAATATTCAATATAGTCCGTAACTTGAATTAATGGAAAGGACTGTATTGAATATTTTCATATAGTTCAGGGACTGAATTGAACATGTACCAAAAGTTCAGGGACGACATTGAACAAATTAAAAGTTCAGGGACCACATTGCACATTTGGTGAAATTTCAGGAATTATATTGAACAAATTAAAAGTTTATGGATCAAATTACACATTTGGTCAAAGTTTAGGGACTTTTTGTGTTATTTTCCCTTTCGAATACAAGGCTCTCGTACTAAAACCCCTGCTTTTGCCAGTGTGACAGAAATCACAAACTGGCAGCAAGGAGTCAATTGAACGACCAAAGCATTGGTTGCTTCCATTTGCAACCTTCTTCGACCACCTTGTCCGTGGTCTCTCTCTTCTGTGTTACTTGCCGTCATGAATCGGTCGCCCTTTTCTTTGAATTTTTTTTAGTGATTTTACTCGAATTTGCAATATATTGAAATTTATTTGTTTTAAATAGAATAGCCATTTATACCAATACCTATGATAATCATTGGTGAACGCTGATAAACGGTTCCAACTTAAAAAAAAAAAGCAAAAAATTAAGTCCAACTATCCATATTAGTAAAATAACAAGGGTTAATACCACGAAAAATCCCAAACTGGTACACCTGTGACAATTTTACATCGAACTAATTTTTTGACCATAAAAATTCCCAAACTGGTACACATGTGATAAATTTACCTTCAGTTTGTTTCTGTTAAATTTTACAGTCAAATTGTTTTGTTAAATGACACGCGGAAGTTGACTAATGTACTAGTTTTATATTTTACCATCCGTTTATCACATGTACACCAGTTTGTGATTTTTTATGGTATTAATCCAATTTAACGAAAACTAATGGAAAATAAATTTGTCACAAATATACCAGTTTGGGGTTTTTAGTGGTCAAAATATTAGTTTTTGGTAAAATTATCACATGTGTACCAGTTTGGGGTTTTTCGTGGTATTAACACAAATAACAAGTCCTTAGTTTCTATGAATAAGCTAACATAATGTGGTTTTGTGAACAAGCTCCAACAGTCATAGTTTCTAGTCCGGACATTGCGCTCTCCAACAGCACAACATATGGCCCGATGTCAACGATGTTGGTTTGGGTAATAATCGAGAAGAAGAGACATACGGGAATTCTTCGACGTTACGAACCGCCGCGTAGTCTGCAAACAGTGTCGAAAGGGTGTTCACTATGATCCGCGGGTCGGGACGGGACACTTGTCGATACACCAGTGGCGTCGTAGCCATCGCGAGGTAGGCATCCCGTATTTTAATAAGAGGGGGAGCATGAGTCGACCCGAGCTGCTTGATCAAGTATAGCCAAGGAATATCAAAATTCACTTTTAGTAGATGTCTGTGTCTTATGATAGTTTGTTCTTCGATATTTGAAAATCTTATTATTCATTGATTTTGTGAAATTTCAAAATTACGAAAATCACGATGAACTATTATATTTAAACTTATTATTAGATTTCCAGTGAATTTTCATTAACTATTTATTAGTCTATTAATCTAACGGAAATATGCCGACATATCAGGGTAAATGCATAGTCCAAGCCCACCCAAAGGTCAAACAGATGGATCATTTGTCAAAAGCAAAAGCCTAAGTCTAAATTGTCTGTACTAAGATCAACACTTCAATCATAGCTTGACAATGCAAATCTACTGTAGCCTCAACTGAGCCGTCTTTCACCATCTTTGCAGAACAGAAACCACCCAAGTCATACATCAAGAAAGTCCTGATTGAACATCAGAACATTTCGATGAACACAAAATGCAGATATATGGAAGTTACTTAAGATGCAAAGGCACGGCAGACGGACGAAAACCTCCGCCTCATCTTCTCATATCCGTTCTTGTACATTGCCTGACATATTATTATTCATCAAAAAGTAAAAATGTTGTATATTGCAAATGGCTCTTGAATAATTAACAACAGGCCTGTTTAAACTAAAGAACAACCGAAAAAAAAAAAGGGTCAAGATGGAGAATCGAAGTTAAGCGAACCTACAGGCACATCGATGAAAACCCGCAAAAAGGCGAAGTAATATGAGAGAGAGAGAGAGAGAGAGAGAGAGAGAGAGAGAGAGAGAGTTGGGGAGAGAATGAGAGAATTGGGTCGTCTTTAAAAGCTACATAACGAAACACTGGAGAAGCGACTATAAAATGGTTGTGTTGCATTGCACAGAACAAGAGAAACGATACACAAGTTTGTTCCATGTCCTCGACTCACGGCGCCTTCCGAGCTTTTTCCTTTTCCACATACGCCTGCACCGGAACATACAATGAGAAGATGAGAGCGAAAGAAAAATGCCCACTTGAACAATATCTTCTCAAATTGTAGCAATCGGTACAGCAAAGTAGGCATTGCATATTCTGCATAAAAGGTGAGTTGGTAATTTCCTAATTCTTCTTCTGTGGCAATAACGAACACCTCAAGCCTCACTTTGCATTCTTGTTCAGCTTATTCAATTCGTTAAGAATCTCAACTCTCAAACAACAGATTGAAACTTCTCCATAGCTAACACTATTACTAGTGATTGATACAAGCAATATAAAAATAAGTTTCCACAATGTGGCATAGGGTGAGATCAGTCTTCCCCTCGAAAATAATAGACTACCAATGCCAGGTTATCTTGTTCAATGAAATAAACAGGGAAAAGCCATAGCAACACAATAGGTTAACAATGAGAACCAGTCATGACATGCCAGCATGTGTTAAATCCAGCAACTAACTCTCTTTAGTTGTGCATGGGCTAAAAGTGATCATCAGCCTATGAACAGGTAGTCCGTTTGTGCCCGCATGTTTTTACATCTGAAGACCAAAGAACCGAGAAACACCACAGTAATACCGTCATGACATTTGAAGAAACACAAGGCTACTGACAAGGGATCCAGGACCAGACTTAAAAGACAGGAGTCATCGCAATTACTAGAATGCTTAATTCAGACAAGATAACTGCAAAAGTGAAAATTAACAACAAAGAAGCTGAAAGGAGCTCAGCTAAAACAAATTGCTACTATTTATCTCCTCCAAATACCAGGTAATAAGAGAAGAAACGAATCCATGAAAGCACATAGGTACCATTCACACATTCCATGTTGATAAAGTAACATTTGAATCTGACATTCCGCATAAGAAAATCAAATAAAATGAAAGAAGCATTGATAGAGTTAAAGTAGACAGAATGTTTTAAAAGAATACAAACATAAATCAACAAATGACAGATTACACATACATATACAACTGAACCGAAGAAGTTTACGAGAGATGAATAAAAAGAAAAGAGCTAACCTGTACAAGTTTGGTAAGCTTTGGTTTTGCAAACGACAGGTAATGGTCGATTTTCTCCTGAGATTGGGGAATATTTGCCCCTTGCATGGTACTGGTGACCTTGTCGACCACTTTCTTGACAATAGCTTTGTAAGCTTCTTTGCCAAATTGGCCCTCCTTCCAAGTTGGCTTCAGAAGCTCCTTCACATATTCCACTAAAGCAAATTTAAAAGCACGTAGATTTTTTCCTTCTTTACTCTTTTTATTCTCACCATCCTTAGTAACCCCTTCCATGTTTTCCAAATGCTCATCCTCCTGTGGATCCTTGCCCTTTCCTTTCTTGCTTTCATCACTCACCTTTTCTTTGTCTCCATCCTCCCTCAGCTTGGAGCTATCCTTCACCTTCGAGCTCTCATCCGGCTCCACCTGACTTGTCTGATGACTTTCATGATTACCTACTGAACTGCTGGCGTTGTGTGAGACAGTACCATTGGGCACTACAGCAACAGATGGTGGAGGTAAGCTACTAGAAGTTACTTTTGTACTCTCATCTACAACAACATCGGATGAATGGACTTGCTTCTCGTTGTCAGATTTCTTTGGTTCAATGCTATCAGATATCGGATCATAGTGTTTCTGAGATCCAACAGATAAACTAGACAGGAAAGGTGTAGCTTGATCACCTAGCGTTGCCGAACTTAGCATGGAAGGCATATCTATTCCCTGATGGGAGTTTAAAGCAGCATAAAGTTGTGGAAGCTGTTTCCCAGCTTCCAAAATCTGAGCCAAAGAAGCTGAAAGGTTGTTAAGTTGTCTAAGATGCTCTCCATTCATCGTGGCTGGAACTGGAGGATTTGAGGAGGTTAATTGCAATATATTTGCATCAATAACAGGAGGGTGATTCACTGATTTCCCCTCCTCAGGGAGAGGCTTAATTAGAGAACTCATGACATTTCCAGCCTTCCTGGGGTCACTTGGAAACCCCAACTGATTCTGCCCGACATTTGACATTGGAGGTACCATTGCACATGGATTATGGTTATTCTGGCCAATATTCTGCTTGTGCAGTGCATCAGGATGACTATATGAATCAGTAAGTAAACCCACAGTTTTATTGATATTGTCGTTATTATTGTATAACAACCCATTTTCCCTGCAGTTGTCCATACGTAGACAAGAATCTTCAGTTCCTGGTCGTTGTGTGGCAGAAGACTGGTACATTGGCACCGAAGCATCCAAACTTTGATCTTGCCGACGACTTGCCACTAGAGTTTCATTATGTATTAGAGACGGTGCACCATAAGTTTCTTTACTCCTATCATCTGTCACCTGATTTGAAGACTGAGGCTGATAATTCCAGTCAGGAGACATGTTAGCGTCACCTATGAATATTTCAGTAGCTCTTGGTTCACGCAAGCCCAATTTAACAGATGCTTCCAACTGAGGCAATTGCTTCTGGTCAATATTAAGCAGATTATGTCTAGTTTGGTCATCCCACATTTTGCTCTCTTCACTGGACTTATGCTCCCATCTATTGTTGAGGGACCAGTCAGTGATCCTTGGATCAGATGGCACCGTTCTCCTGTGAGATTCACCCTCACCAACTAGTTCGAGGGACAAGTCTCTCTTTCGCTGGTCAATTTCTCCAGTTGCAGCCACTTCCTTGGGATACACCTTACCAGGAACGTCAGAATGAATGTACCTGCATGAAGCCCCCCACCGACAAGTTCCTCTCTGAAAATTGTTACATATCTCAGAAGATCTGTTTCTCTCTGAATATTCCCTAGTGCTACCACTTTTCTTGTGCCTACTTTCCCAACTATCATTGTACTGCTGATTACCCTGATGTAAAAACCGACAATCACTTCCTCTCCTGCACCTACCAACAGCAAATTCCTTGCATAACTGCGATGAAACACCAGTTCGGCTCCTGGTCTTGTCATATACACCAGAGTCCTTCCTAGATCCATGGACAGGGCTCCTGCTCCTACTCGTGCTCGTCCTCCAATTTCTGCTCCTACTCCTGTAATAGATGAAATGGTATAGTAAGACCATTCAAAGTTAAGGAAAAATGTCATATTTCTGCCATCACCTGATTTCACAGGACTAATCCCGGCAGAAGCAAACCATAAAAAAAGAACAGCAACATTGGTAACATAAAAAAAGAATAACAGCATTGGTGTACATCAATATGAGATTTATTAGCTGGTAGCAATAATTTTGAAAAAATAAAAACAGAACCAGCCATTATATTGAAGAAAGTTCACAAACTAGGGTTCCAAGTATAGAATCTTACACGGGTGATCTATCTGACTTATTTTTAGGGGAGCGACTGCGATTCCTCTTCCTCCATTCTTCCAGACCAGGAGACATCCTCGTGCTATAACTTCCATCTCGATCCCATGGCACAGGATCCAACTTTCTACCCCCATCAACATTGGCAATGCCATCTCTGTGTAAGCTTCTATTTGCAAGCATGAGCTCTCGCGATGAAAATTCCAAATCATGTCTCTTCGGCACATTCTTGTCCTCCACGTTGGACCATCTCTGACCATTGCTATGACCGGCATCTACAGACCCTCGCCTTGGCTGTAGTCTACTATCATAAACTGGCATATCAGTTCTCCCGGACCAAGCCCTATAATCCATCTTTTTCGGGGAAACCGTAGGATCTTCTTTCAAATCCCATTTAGAATTGTGTCTTCTTCGCTTTCCACTCATTGCAAATTCTCTTAATCAAGGCACCGTAATCTGAAACCAACAACAAACTTGATGTTTAACTCGTCTTCATTTGTGTCCTTGACATTCTGGAGCGGAGCACAATTTCATCTTATTTGAAAATTACAGTGAGGAAAAGAAAGCCAACAACAACAACAACCACCACCGTGACAACAAGAAGAGCAACATCATCGCTCCATCATCCCATCTAACCCAAGCAAAATGGCAAGATACAATAAAGAGATGACAGACTGAATATGACAATCCAAAAGAATTACATGTTGGGAGAGAGACTGCCATTTATAACCCTTCAAGAGTAACTTAAGTTGCTTACCAATAATTTTGAGGTGAACAGCATTTGGTGACGAATATTTTAGTTGGGTGAATTACTTATCATTTTGGCCTATCTACCTCACAATCATCTACTGCATTATTCAAGTTCTAGAGATACTAAATATTTTTCAAGGGCGATTGTTCATTACTGAACTATCTGTTTAATCAATAAAGTCCCATTCCTCAATCCAATATACATAGATAGGGCTCCGAGAAAATGCAGCCCCACAATGAGGCAATCTCTTCTAAAATAGGGAGTGACATATGTCCACACTTGTTCCTTCAATATGGTCTTCACATTCTTTTTGCCTTCAACCACCAAAAACTTGCTCTCCGATCATTACATGCCTTCTCTGCAAATTTCTTCGTCATCTTGTTATAGGTTATTCTAACTCAACCACCTCATTGGACACCCTTATTGCTCATCATTGTCTTCCAATTCTCATATTTAGCTTATCTAACAAATGATTCTTTTCAAGCTTAGAATCTTCAGAAATTCTTCATTTCAATCAAGCTCCTCAATTTACATTCCTCACCTCATATGAGAGTTTCTTTCCTTTCGAGGCTTTTAGAGCAACTGCTAGCCAATAGCCAACATTAAATATCCTTGCTACAACCTAATTTCTCCAGAAACAAGCCAGTGAGACAGATACTAGGACGGATATGAATCTAATCCATCAATCTGAACAAGAAAATAGGTAGGTTGATTACTATAGACTGAAATAATAGTTGATGCCAGGTTCAATGTATGGATGGATCCGAGGTTTCATAAGAAGAGAAGAGTATGACAGAGGAGCCCATTCACTCGGTGGTGAGGAGGCAACAAGTTGTCAAAAATAATGTGACAAGCCACATGCACGGGCTACAGATCACTCCCATCATATAAAAAACAAACAACTTTATCGGATAACAAATTCAGACGTACTACTGTTCTAAGTAATAACCTAACCAGCTGCTAAAATGATAACTAGGGCAAATTGCAGGAGCACCTGTGCATTTTGCATAAAAAGCATGACAACACCCTGTATCGCCAAAACGCGCTATCCCCAATCAGCACATGTACTAATAGAATAAAGTGCCCCACTTTTGCCGCATCATTCGGAGTTAAGATTAAATTGCCATACCAGTCGACCCACATCAGAAAACCCTCTGACTAGCCGAATACGAGTCTGAAGTATTCTCAAGAAACTGACTCTCGCCTACCTCTTTGCTTACAATAGAATACCAATACTCGGTCTGGCGCGCGAATTTCAACCACGCGTTTCCAGTCATCCGACTGGAAACCAAACAAATCAATCGCATATCTACATAACCAAAATAAACAAAAAAGACAGTTTGATTCATCAACAGAAGTAAAGCAGCGAAATTTACATTGCCATTGCCGTTCTATCTTCAGCTACTTCTGAACTAAAACCCCGCCACAGATTACAAGCTCAACCCAGCAAATTTCACGCTCAAACCCATCGAAAGTAAGCATTACGGGAGGGAGAATGCAGCGGAATTACCAAAACGCAGAACGAAATCACGCGAAATCAATGAACCCAACACGTGTTGTCGAGCGTCCTACCGGGTCGAAGACTTGGGTGAACGTGCCCACTCGAGTTCGACCAGGATATGCCTTCCGAAACGCCGCGCACGCAGTCGGGAGAGGCCGAGTTGCTTGTTTCGTCCATTAATTTGAGAAAACCATGACGGAAGCACCTTGGATTGAGGATGGAGGACAGTGACTAGGGTTTTTACAGCTTCAATTCAGAAAGAGAGAGGAGAGAGGGGAGAGAGAAAGGTGAACTTTTTCTTTGGGATGTGAACTGTGAGGGAGAGTGGCACGGGTCGGGTCGGGTCTAAATTGAGTGTTATGCTCCAGTTGATGATTGATTGAGATTATCTTTTCTAATTCCTTTGTTTTTGGATTAATACCACGAAAAAACCCTAAACTAGTTCATTTGTGACAAATTAACCTCAAATTAATTTTTTGACCACGACAAACTCCAAATTGGTACACCTATGACAAATTTACCCTCAATCAGTTTCTGTTAAATTTTACTGTTAAATTACCGAGTTGGATGACACGTAACAGTTGACAGGTATACCATTTTGCGGTTTAACCCTTACGTTTTGTCACAAATTTACCAATTTGTAATTTTTCGTGGTATTAATCCAATTTTGCGGAGGGTAAATTTGTCACAAGTGTACATGTTTGGGGTTTTTTTATGGGGAAAAAATTAGTTTATGGTAATTTTGTCATAGGTGCACTAGTTTGAAGTTTTTGCTGATCAAAAAATTAATTCGGGATAAATTTATCATCAGTTTAAGATTTTTCGTGATATTGATCCTTAGTTTTTTGCCATGGTGTTGATTGAGATCAATGTGACAAATAATGCATGACGTGTCATTCAACTGATATGCCATGTCAGCGCTCTAATCATCGCTAATGCCAAGAAAATAGTCCGTCAAAATTCGAGAGAATAAGTTGATTGACTGATTAATGTCCCTAATCGTACTGTAAAATCGTGGACCTCCCGCGTAATGGGAAGGGCAAGTTTGCCCAAGCTCGAGAAGCCCGTGAGCACGTCAATGGGCGACTCGGGCAAAAAGTCTTACGCGAGAAAACCTGTCCCGAGTCGACCTAAAAGGTTCCTTGATAATCAGGCTCGAGCAACAAATTAGGCCCGACTTTCGGGCTCGACCCGGCTCTCACCCAAAAAAATCACCTCTCCAGCTACTATAATCATTCATTACTGCATGACCAGGGATGTCACACATTATGCAGCTGCGAGGTGTCAAGCGGGGCAATCCACGTCCTTGCCCTCGATGTGGGCGACAATTTTCATACACAAATAAGCCTTCGAGACTTGTCGAAAAGGATTAATATCACGAAAAAACTCCAGATCTGTACACCCGTGATAAATTTACTTCAAATTAATTTTTTGACCACTAAAAACCCAAATTGGTACATCTGTTACAAATTTACCCTCGATTAGTTTCCGTTAAATTTTATCGTTAAATTTCTGAATTGGAGGACACATGGTAATTGACGTATATATATACCAATTTGGGGTTTGATCCTCCGTTTGTCAAAGGTGTACCGATTTATGATTTTTCATAGTATTAATTCAATTAATGGAGAGTAAATTTGCCACAAATATATCAGTTTTGGGTTTTTTTGTGGTTTTGAGGTAAACTTGTCACAGGTGTACCAATTTTGGGTTTTTTATTGTCAACAAATTAGTTTTTGGGTAAATTTGTTATAGGTGTACCAGTTCGGGACTTTTCGTGGTATTAACCCTTCTAGATAAATTGTAACCTAAAACTTTCAAATAATGCAATCAAGTCTAAAACACATGTCCAATTAGTACTTCTAATTACATAAGTTAGCTCGATTCCAATTTGACTAATAAAAAAAAATGCCGACTTGACATTTTCCTAATTTTAATAGATGACGCGTGGCGCTAATATGGCGCCCGGTGAAATTTCGGTAAGAAACGAATAACCCTAAGAAATCATGTATTAGAGGCTTAAAGGCATGGTCGATGGGGTGCGGTATAATATAATCCATCGTATAATTTGTAATTAGTTTTTTTCTTTTGGGGCTGTTCTTTCTATCATCCCTTCCTTCCAACCAATCCTCTAACCGGTGGGTTGCATATACGAAGATCAACCCACGTACAAATTTAACTAAGAAGCATACGTCTGTTTGTGACCTGTCAATCAGAAAGCGATACAATTTGGTTCAACATTGGATGGAGGAGGAAACCTGTAAATTGACGAGGTGGAATGTAAAAAAGAAGAAAAAACAAAAACAAGTTACAGAATGGAAAACCCACCACCCGCCTGGGTGGCGCTGCTGGAGCGCACACTCTTTCTCTCGCAAAAGGTTGAGTGTTCGAATCCCGGGTGCCGCAGGGTAACTTAACCGGTGCACGTGTGTGGTGGCTAGCACGTGTCGCCCCCAGGGTTTACCTCCCGGCTGTCGGCCGTGCGGGGGTTTCCTGGGTCATAAAAAAAAAACAAAAATCCCTAAATGGAGCTGCAAAAATCGTGCATTTTTTTTCCATCGATTTTCATACTTTTAAACTGTTCATCTCTGAAATTCCTCTATTAAACTATTTGTTATTCTAAAAGGACCGATCATGTCACGAGGTTTACAATACACAACACAATTTGCATCATAGAAGAGAATTCCTACGAAATTACACAAAAGCGCCAACATTTTATAAGGATTCAAACAGCAGAGCGACAAGAAAAATGTTATTGCATTCACACCCACACAATCAAAGTGAGAATTGAGTGTGCAAAACCTCTTAGATCTGGAAGAACCCTTGTCCCCTCCATGGTGCTCTCTCTGTTTTTCTTCAGGCTGCTTGAGATTTTCTCTGCAGACAACTCCCTTTCTCTCCCCTTCCTTTCTTGCCTGTGATTGTAGTAGGCACAGGCTCAAAGTTTTTGTTGAGGGCAAAGTAGGACCTGCCTTAGGGCAAAGGAGAGGGATTGAATTGAATCGGATTGAAAGAAACACGGATGTATCACCCGAACTTCAGTGTCATGTTCGGGTGAGAGCGACGGAATGGGTAATTGAAAAGGCGCTTTTATGGCCAAATGGTACGTATGGAGTGAGATGTTCGCGATTGGGACACGTGGACGGCTCGACGGAAGTGAGAATACATAACCGGAAAATCGAATCCCTTTGGTCCGGAGATAATATAGAAAGAGATTTATTAGAGCGACGGAGTAATGCATGAACTATATACACTAGATTAACAATAAAATGAGGTGTATCTGTACATTGCCATTTTCGCGGTTAATTCCGATTTTCCGCCTATATCTTTTAAAAAAATATACGTCTTTTCATTGCTATTTTCGCCTATATATTGTGGATCTAGTATCTATAGTTATTTACGGACAAAAAGATTAGTTTTATTTTTATGAATTCTCTATCCACGTGTGTCAATCCTGAATATTTTACTCCATGCACACCCTTCGGCCATAAAGTGCTAAGTTTGGCGCTCTCATTAAATCTAAATTGAAATCTTGGCAATCCAAACCTAAATCCCTAAAAAAAATCGCTAATTTCAACTAGGGTCGTAATTTTGACCCAAACCTTTTTTTTTGGTCTCGTAGAAAAGTATCGACCGGTACCCAAATCTGGCCATTGTCAAGTTTCTATCCAATGATGACCTTAAAAGTTTTCACGCGTCATTCCACGGCACGTTACTTTCACGGCACCTGCTAACATGGAATTACGATGCCTGAAGCGATGCCGTTTCGACCGGAATGCAAACCTAGCCCCGCACTCAAACCACGTCGCTTGAAATTAGGGCACCCAAGGTACGAATTTAGGGTTTTGGGGGAGGAAGAAAAGAGGTCCAAACAAGAGCGAATCAAGGCAGAATGTCTTTTGGAGGAAAGCTACAGCGAAAGGTCAAAGGGGCCTTAGGGACAGATAGGAAAGCAAGGCCCTAAGAAAAATGATGAGTGGGAAGTTTTTAAGTACTCCATTCCCGCCGCGCGGAAAGGCAAGAACATCTTGGTTTATTATTATTATCATCTTTCCTTCCCCGATAAAATGATGAACTAGAAATACATTCCGAAAAAAATGCGCTTAGCAAGATTAGCTCACGGGCTCGAGGGACAGAGTCGAAGCACGTATAGAGATTCGAGGCGGCGCCATAAAGAGAGGTCTAGGACGGGGTCTCGCCCTCCTCGGAACTAGACACATTATATATCCGGCATTTCTTGATTCGAGATCCTTAAAAACGGCGACGGAAGAGATCATCCGGATCCGCGGAGAAAAAGCGAGAACCGAGGGAATTTTTCCCGGGCGGGGGGGCGCGGCAGTAGACACAGATGGCTCCGAGCCTCCGGCCATGCTACTTCCTCAACAAATTTTGGTGAATTTTTTTAACTTTGAAATCCCACAATTCCGAAGTGGGACTTTTCCTACCCCCAAAAGTACAAACCGGTCAAATTGACCGGGAAATGAACGCTGGCCCCTTAATAATTCTTAATACCCAGAAGCCAGAACTTGGATTCCAACAGCACAAGGGGAAGAGGGAAGGGAATCAGGTAATTTATTATATATGCTCACATTTCCAGTTGATGTGAAGACCAGTTTTGCATATGGAAAGGAGGCTTTCGTTTGTCCTTAAATCTCTACAGAAGGAGGAGGAGGTGTGCTTCGCTGAGCAGAGACGTTTTGCACACCTCAGCCAGCCATCACCCTCATTGCATAAGCTCATTGCGATTGCTAATAAACCCAAAAGGTTGGGAAGGGGGGGAGGACCTTAGAAAAAATTTACAGGAGACTTTGATGGAAAATGTTGACTTTTCTTTGGTCAAAAATGTAATGCTCTCTCTCTCTCTCTCTCTCTCTCTCCATTGCTGTCTTTACTCTTCTTAGCTTCAGCATTCATTTTGACCACCACCCACCAAAAAATCTCTGCGCCTCCTCCTTCCTTCCTTCTTTTCGTGCGTCCCAAATTCATCCTCCCACTTCTCCCTTCTCCCTCCCGTCGGTTTTCCGCCGAGGCTGACCGGCCCGACAAGCTCCTTGCAACCATGGAACCTTCCGATCCCTCCGGCGGGGGCATGCCGCCGCCGTCGCCGCCCAAGAAGGAGGTCCAGCTCCTGGGCCCCCGGCCCTCCCCGCTCCGGGTCGCCAAGGAGTCCCACGCCATCAGGAAGCCGCCGCGGCACCCGCCTCCGCAGCACGCGGCGGGGCCCTCGGCGGCGGCGTCGGCGGCGTCGGCGGCGGAGGACCGGCAGCAGCCCACGATCATCTTCGACATCTCGCCGAAGGTCATCCACGTGGAGGAGCGGAACTTCATGTCCATCGTCCAGCAGCTCACGGGGTCCTCCTCCGGCGACCTCTCCCCGGCGGCCAGGCTGGCGGCGATAGAGCGGACCAGCCCGACGGGCAGGGAGAAGGGTTTCGCCGGCGCCGCCGCGACGGCGGAGATGGTCGGGTCGTCGGCGAGGGCCGGCGACGACGAGCTGATGGGCATGCTGGAAGAACTTGACCTGCGCCAGATTCAGGGGATACTGTCGCCGGCGCCGGGGGCTCTCCCGGGGGTATCGGCGGGGTTCTTCTCGCCGGCGACGGACCCGCACGTGTTGCAAGATTTGAGCCCGTATTGGCCCGGCAACTTCAGCTACAACAGCCCATCGGCATCGACCCTGTTCACGGCTTTCTCTCCCTCGCCCACCTCATCGATCGATCTCTTCAATTTGTTCTCTAACTTTTGAGCGTAAAGAAAGGTCTCAGACTTCTTCCGAGCTGTTGCAGAGGGGAACTCATCACGCGCAACCGAGAAAATCAAGAACCCTCGGAGGGGTTGGTTTACTTTGACTTTGACTTACTCCACGAAGCTGGATTCGTCTTCTAGAGAGAGAGAGACGGAGAGGGAAGCGGCAGAAGCAGCAGAAGCTGATGCTTTAGAAGACAGAGAATAGGTAAATTCTTGTAGTGACTATTATATTCCTTTGTTAATTTTTCTTTCAGTTTTCTCTTGTGGGGTTGGATTGTGATGAAATTTTTTGGGTTTATACTTGGGGAAGAAGTAGAAAATAGGGTAGTGTAGTTCGGTCGAGCGATGAAAATTAGCGGCTCTCGCCAGAGGTCATCATCATAAGAGCTTTACACCTGTCACGGGATTTTCGGTTTGTATCATAGTTATTCTGTATTATTGACAAGCCTCAAAAGTCCGATGCGGGCGGCTCTTCACCGCAGCAGCGGGAAGATAACATTGGGGGTTCCTGATCTGTACTTTAAGTGTAGAGAAGAAAGGAAGGTCGTGGCATTCTTGCGTTCGGTAGCCATCAATTCGTAGCTTGGTGGGCTGCTCTGTGTGGGGGGGACTGAGCTCATTGGAAACTTGTGGCAAATTTTTTGTAGTGTAAATTTGGGGTGTAGGAAAGTTCGTGGAATTAGCAATTGATAACGAATTGAACAATTTGCCCTGTGCATTTCCTCTTTTTGAGTGCGACTGATCTCACGTGTTAAATGTCTATCGAGTGGAAAAAGAGTTCCCCCAACTTAAATGGCTGATTACAATCTTCCATGCGATATAGACAGGCTGTTTACATTTCTTTAGGAATGTTCAATCTCAGTCGATATTCAAGACATTCAACTAGTCCTCATCTTGTCAGCCATATGATCACAACGGATAATTAAATAACAACACGAATCTGAGTAATAGGATTCGTTAAGCTCAATAGACCCCTTTAGTTAAGCTTTTGGCGGGAGTTCTTAATAGAGAGACGTGCCGCGTCGACTCTGTCGAAAAGGGGATTGAATGAGTTTCCAAATGAGGCGGAGAATATATATCAGAAAGCAATCGAGTTTTGCTAAGAGTATCAAATCTTTTCTGCAATAGATAATTGCAAAATGCAACTGCAAAACCAAAAGGTGCTAGGCTTAAGTCTCCCTGTAGACTGATAATCTAATTTGTGGATGTATAGGACAGATAATAATTGACTTGAACAATGTCTTTTTTGTAAATAAATCCAATTCTGATAAAATTTTTTGTCAGCGAATAAAGGAATTATTTACAGATAGCACACTTTAAGAAAAAAACTCTGATAAAATGCAAAATGCCAGTGAGGTCATATTTCCCCTCCCAACCTTCCTCTTGATGCTCAGAACATCCAATTGCTTGTTCCATGTAACAAAAACATCCTAGAGTGCAAAATGTTCAACTTCAACTTGAAAAGCCAGCAACTTGAATCATTATTTTATGACATACTGACTGGTGTGTTCCGCGTCGACCCAATCAGAGTACCCACCCTCTCACCCCTTATTGCTTTTGAGATGTTGCCTGGTTCGGAGAGATTAAAGACGACGACTGCAACAAACGAATCAGTTTAAGGGCAACATCACTTTTGTCTTCATAAAGATGCCAACAACAAGACTTCTGAGTAAATCTAATGACTAGAGTATGGACATGTTTACTGACCAGGAATGTTGTTTTCTTGGCATAGCGTAACAGCAGTCATATCCATGACCGAGAGGTCCTTCGAGGTAACCTCATGATAAGTCAGTGTATCGAGAAGACGGGCATTTGGGTTGCGCCTAGGATCATCGTCATATACCCCATCGACATTCGTAGCTTTCAATACCACCTCCGCATTAACTGGATCAGCAATATGAAAGAGTAACTTTAGTCAATGATAAAGGGTCTTTCCTGGAAACTCTCCTACCACAAAATTTTCTGAAAATTACTCACAAATTGAAATCAAACCGCAGATTGTCTATCACTGAGAAAATTAGAAGAACTTTGTTGCAATAAAGGAACAGCGCAAGGTTCAGAGCCTAAAAGATGATCCCAATTTTATCAACTTGTTTTCAAGAGACATTTCCAAATGATAATATCGAGCCAATGAGTAGCCTCAAAGTAACAGATCTACAACATTGTGTTTGCTAAAGAGAAGTCCAACTTACTCTCTGCACAGCGAAGGGCTGCTGCAGTGTCTGTGGTGAAAAATGGGTTCCCAGTTCCGGCTGCAAAAATCACAACTCTCCCTTTCTCCAAATGCCTCACAGCCCTTCGACGTATATATGGCTCCGCAACCTCAGACATCCTAAATGCAGTCTGGACACGGGTGGGAATGCCAATGCTCTCCATTGTCGCTTGAAGAAATATAGCATTCATGACAGTTGCTAGCATCCTAAAATGCAAAGTACAAGCATAAACGAACGACCACTGTCACAAGCATTATATATCCAGAGAAAAGCCATATTCCATGAACTCACACTGTGTGTAGCCCACATGGGGTTTCACTCAATACAACATTGAAGGTACATTTCCTTTTTGCGAGAAAACAAAGAGAGCAAAAGGCTATACCCAATATAGTCTGCTGATGAACGATCAAGGCCACTACTTCCTGCCCAGGAGGCTCCGCGAAAGATATTCCCACCACCAACCACAATTGCAACCTGATGGCAAGGAAGATCAAGAAGACCATTGGAAGAGAATGAAAGGAAAAGGTTCTAGCATGAGTGTTACCACCATTTAACGAAATGTTCTCAACTCCAATTAACTGAATTGCAATATTTCAAAATACATCTTATAACTACAGGGGATGCTCTTATGAATGTGGAGCAAGCAAGCAGGTTGACTCATAGTGAAATGAGTTTGATTGGGCCAAAATCTAATTGACAGGATAAGTATGAAAACTAGACCGTGCCGTACTCATTTATCACACCTGGAAGATTTAAATCAGAAAAATATATGAAGATTGTCGACTCAAGATTTCAAGAAAGCAATTCAAGATGGTCCTCTTGGTTCAGGAAAGAAATATACAAATGACAATCAGCAAAAGCCTAAAATAGCTTGTCTGTGTAGGATGAAGTCCTGTTGAGTCTCTGAAACATTCTCCTGTTCTTCTATCCTCTATTTTCTTTTTGCAACAAAGATCTCTTGCATTCTTATGAGGAAGAACATTAAAGGTACAAAAGGATAAAGCTTCACTCTTTGCAGAAGGCTATTGGTATAAATCATGCAAGAAGTCGTAGACAGGTAACTTTATACCTCAATGCCCAGACGAGTGACAGCTGCAACCTCCCTCGCTATAGACATTGTGATCTACATGAAAACAGAAGGCCAAGTTTCATGAGATACGAAAAGAGAAAAGGTAAATGACAGCGCCAAAGATGCCTATGTAGAATCTTCACCTTTGGATCAATGTTTTGAGCTTGATCACCTGCAAGTGCTTCTCCACTCACTTTAAGCAACACCCTCCGCCATCTGACTGAGGGTTTGGCCATGCTTGATTCCCTCATTGACACTCCAAAAGGACCCAGAGAAGATATTTGAGGTTGCCTGCAAAAAAAAAAAAAGCTATATAGGCTAGGAAAACATTGAAATAGAAAAGTTCCAACATATTGGTCTTGAGAGGTTGGCCACATTAAAATGAAAATTCTAAATAAGTGTGACTACGCCACTCTGACAACAAAAAATGCCTGTACCTTGAACATCTAACTGACAAAATGACAAAGGGCAAAGAGAGATTCATCTTACACAATGACATCCTGTCATTTTTTCCTAAAAAAGAAGGCCACTCCTGTGGTTGAGAGTCAGTTCATTGGATATAATATTACATCGGACTAACAAAAGCTACAAGATTATAAGTACAAGTATATTTCTAGAAATTGAACGATTTCGACACATAAAAATGCTCAAACTAAAGAAAGAAGTTAATACCTAGAAATATGCAGTGGACTTCTGGAAAGTCAAAGATTTTCATCAACTTTACAATTTAATATCATACATCTCCCAAGTCCCAAGATTCAGTAAAGCATTCGGCAAATGAAATTACATGGTGCTACAATAAAGCATGCAACCTTTTCTTTTTCCTTTCTGTCTGTTTAAAGGTTAAATAATGTTTCAAGAGAAAGTTGTACAAGAAGCTCCGGAACCGTCCAAGACTCCAAGTCTGCCCCTTTCCCCGCAATGACCCTGTTTCAACTATTCTTTAGATTGACAACCAGACCCCCAAAAGCACTAGCCAACCCCAAAGCCCAAAGGAACATGACTCAAGAGCATAATACAAATTGTTTGCTTTCATTTTCTTGGGAAAAAAAGCTGAAAAGGTCAGTAAACAAGAGTCATTATGGTATGGAAGTAGGAAGATTACCGCAAGGAACCAACCATTATCTCTTCTTAACCAACCAATGTCCACTAGATTTGATGGAGATACAATTGAGCATCCAACATTCAGTAATCTTAGCTATTGATGAGGGGTCTGTTCGCAAGCTACTCAACCTGACTCTAAACTTTAGACAATCAGCATCCAGAGCTGCAAAGAAGCAATATAATGGCGGCAGCAGTGGAGTCTGAAAGATGAGCAAAATTTCCAGAAAGGTGTAGATAAGAGGAGTATCATTTTAAGAACTGATTCGTGAAATAAACTTAAGGAACTGAAGGCTTAGGAGAATGCAAGTTGGCAAATTCTCCTGATGGAACTTGAAAATTGAATGGCACAAATCTGAAGTTTTTGGATGATTGGACAGTAACGGGCATAGTGTGCTATTCTACTTCAGTAGCAGTACAATCACACAACCAAACTGAACCGAAACCGAAGAAAATTCTTTTGCAGGTAGAAACTCTTACCTTTAAAATTAAGTCGATAACTTTGGAATTACTTTCTTTTTCAAACAAGTCCAAAATCACTTCTTTCAGTGACATTTACACCAACACAATCAAGTACTGCAAAAGGGAGGTCCACATAAGCTCCCAGGTGAATGATATTAACATGCATATCATGTTCTTCCTCCTCCCACCAGAAAAGCACAACCATAAAGAAGTCAAAACGCATATGCAGCGATCCATATCACGATGCCCCTCAAAGAACTCACTCGAAATGACAATTACCATCAAAATCGAAGGGTAAGTCAATCACCTCCTACCACTTTCTACATACAAGCATCCATCAAACGAACAGAAAACAGGGGAATTCACGCGCGTACCTTGAGTTCATATGGTCCGGGTTGGACTCCAGCGAAGAACACCGAACCGACAACCTCCGCGGAAAGCTCCGACGACCCATCACCGGAATCCTGTACTGGGTCCTCGAAGTACTCCGACACGGCAAAGAAGAGGACGCCGGAGACGGAGCAGGAGAAGCGACGGGGTTAAAGGAGGCGGAATGAACGAAGGGCGCGGGCGCCGAGAACGCCATTCGGTATGGCAACGAAACCGGCGAACAGACAGGCGAAACGCCGAAGTAGTGAAGAGTTTCAACTTGGTTTGCCGCCAAAGAAGAATGTCTCGTCTCCCTCCCTCCCTCCCTCTCTCTCTCTCTCTCTGTGGCTCTGCAGTATCCACCAGTTGGAGTGGCAGGCAGTGCACGCCTGCAGTATATACGCGCCTTTAGGTTAGGGAAGAAGAAGATGACTGTGATATTCCTCGGGGAAAAAAAATTAAAATATCTTTTTGTGTTTTTTTTTTTGGTCTGAAAAAAACATCTTTTGTGTTTTTTTATTATTTTTATTATTTTTTTAGAAAATATCTTTTGTATTGGAAAAACCATTTTTTTTTTTCGCATGTGTTTAAATCGTTTTCCTCAGTTAGACAAAAAAAGAAGAAGTCATTTTCTTGGTGTTATCCAAAATTTCAATTATGGAAAAAAAAGATCTTAAATTTTCGAGATTTTATAAAGGAAATATACGTGAAACTATAAAAATTAATTTACATACTTTAAATAATTTCAGGTGCTCCATATTGAGTAAATATCGAGAATTGCAAGATTTTAAAAATGGTTAATACCACGAAAAATCCCAAACTGATACACCTGTGATAAATTTACCCCGAACTATTTTTTTTACCACCAAAAACTCCACATTGGTACTCCTGTAATAATTTTACCCCGAACTAATTTTTGACAACCAAAAACTCCACATTGGTACACCCGTGACAATTTTACTCCGAACTAATCTTTTGTGTTGTAAAAACATTTTTTTTTCGCATGTTTTTTTTTCCTTTTTTTTTCTTTCTACTCTCTTCCCTCCGCCGGCCATGGCGGAGGGAAGTCGACGAGGGCGGCCATCGCCGGATCCGACGAGGGTGACCCTCACTCGGCGTCGGCCGACAGGCGAGGGCTCCGACGAGGGCAGCCCTCGCCCAACCCCAGCGCTGGCGAGGGCTGCCCTTGCCGGCTTCCCTCCGCCATGGCCGGCAGAGGGAAGAGAGAAGAAAGGAAAAAAAAAACATAAAAAGGAAAAAGACGAAAATGCCCTTGGGCAAAAGTATTATGGGGTAAATGTGTCACAAGTGACATAGTTTGGGGTTTTCCGTGTCGCAAAAAAAAGTTCAGGGTAAATGTGTCACAAGTGGCATAGTTTGGGGTTTTTTGTGGTATTTTCCCTAAAAAATACCACATAAAGTTTCCATTCAAGAAAAATTGAGGTCATTAACAAAAAGATTAATTTCGATGACGGCGATAAATTTGTAGGACTTAAATGAAAAAAAGAAAAGATTTATAACCAAAGGATGAATCAACACAAATTTTAGGACTTTCATTATCATTGTATCTAAAAAAATCATCTAAACAAACCTTGCTGGCTAATAAACTTATTATATAATGGGGAAAAAACCACCAAAAACCCCAAACTTTGCCATATGTGACACATTTACCCCGAACTTTTTTTTGTGACACCAAAAACCCCGAACTTTGCTTTTTGTGACACATTTACCCCAATGTATTTAGTCCATGGGCATTTTCGTCTTTTCTGCTTTTTCTTTTTTTTTTTTTCTTTTTTTTTTCCTTTCCGGCGAGGGGGGGCCTCGCCGGCGTCGGCCTCGCCGGATCCGGCGAGGGCGGACCTCGCCCGACGCCGGCGAGGGTCGCCCTCGCCGGACTCGAGCGAGGTCGACCCTCGCCCGACGCCGGCGAGGGTCGACCTCGCCTCGAGTCGGGCGAGGACGCCTCGCTCGCCCGAGCGAGGGCGAACCTCGCCGACGCCGGCGAGGGCCGCCTCGCACTGGGCGAGCGAGGGCCGCCCTCGCCCGATCTCGGCGAGGTCGACCCTCGCCGGCGTCGGGCGAGGGTCAACCTCGCTCGAGTCGGGCGAGGCCGCCTCGCTCGCCCGGGCGAGGGCGACCCTCGCCGGCGTCGGCGAGGTCCGCCCTCGCCCGATCCGGCGAGGTCGACCCTCGCCGGCGTCGAGCGAGGGCGGCCCTCGCCAGATCCGGCTGCAGAGGCCCTCGCCCGACTCAGGGCGAGGTCGACCCTCGCCGACGCCGGCGAGGGTCGACCTCGCCGAGACGGGCGAGGGCGGCCCCCGGTCGCCCGGGCGAGGGCGAACCTCACCCGACGCCGGCGAGGGTCGCCTCGCCCGGGCGAGCGAGGGCCGCCCTCGCCCGGACTCAGCGAGGTCGACCCTCGCCGGCGTCGGGCGAGGGTCGACCTCGCTCGAGTTGGGCGAGGGCCGCCGCTCGCTCGCCCGGGCGAGGGCGAACCTCGCCCGGCGCCGGCGGGCCGCCTCGCCGGATCTGCGCGGGCCGCCCTCGCTCGACGCCGGCGAGGGCCCCCTCGCCGGATCCGGCGAGGCCGGACGCCGGCGAGGCCCCCTCGCGGAAAGGAAAAAAAAAAAAAAAAAGAAAAAGCAAAAAAGACGAAAATGCCTATGGACTAAATACATTGGGGTAAATGTGTCACAAAAAGCAAAGTTCGGGGTTTTTGGTGTCACAAAAAAAAGTTCGGGGTAAATGTGTCACAGATGGCAAAGTTTGGGGTTTTTGGTGGTTTTTTCCCTATATAATGCGACATATTACTAATTTTATATATCTTTCAAGTAGAGGGTCTCGCAACGCTCTAGCGAAGTCATAAAGGGCGGTGCAGCCGTCTGCAATAGTGTGAGGTTCTCCGACGCTATAAAATTATTATAAAATTATTTTCATATTATCGCTACGCGACGCCATTTTCAGCAACTCGCCAAAAGATCAAGCGGGCTCTCGAAAAATAAATAATTTCTAAAAAGACAAAATTCGAAGGTTATGACCTGATCACAATTAGCACCAACATTAGCGAGCTATCAACAAAATTTCACCTTATAGGAAGTAAGCTTTTCATATTAGCTAGTAACTTTCTCAATTACAAAAATTAAGTTTGATCCTATCAGTAATTAGTAATTTTATAACATTTCGAGAGACCGTTTGTTTACATTCAAGCTAAAGCAAAAGGTATTATTTTGTATTTCCGTCAAAATTTAAAATGTTATTCAAATTTTAGAGAATTATGAAAAAAATTTACGTGAATATAAATGTCGACATTTACATACTGGAAAAAGTTTCAGGATTTTCTATTTAAAGAAAAAAAGTCAGAATGTGTGGATCCTTTTTTTGGTCGAAAAAATGAGTGAAATTTGGAAAAATTTAGATTTGGCAAAAAGTGAAATGGTAAAAGTCATTTCAGACAGGCATTAGTTATTTTGATCCTGTTAATAATTAGTAAATTTTACCTTAACTTTTCATAAATAAAAGTCACTTTGAAATTAATGAATATCAGTAATTTTTAAGTGCTTAATTATTTTATGACATAAAAAGGCAAGTATCAATATACCATCGGGAGTAAATGTTTCTTTATTGGGTCAATAAATTTCTCTAAATTTGTCTTTTCATCTCTGTCTATAATCACATTTTAACACAGCTACTTCAAATCCAATTTTTCATTCACAATTCAATGACTCCATCTTCTTCATCCACAGCTGCCAACACTGTCTTTTGCATTCAAGTCACCTTCTTCTTCCTCCTTCTGATTTCCCTCATATTACAAGCTACTTCAAATACAACCTGCAACACTACATTCTCAATCCTCTCCTGCCTTTTGTGTTGGGAATGCAACACACCCCTCTTCACAAGCTGCTTCAAGAACAACTGCATTCACACCATTCACACAACATATGTAGAATCCTCTGCTTCTGCCGGGGTATCGAGTTTACCGACTTTCCTTCCAAATTTCCTCGTTTTCTTGGCTTTGATCGAATAAGGCGTAATTGATTTCTCATACAAACTCAACTGTCATAACACCAAGTTCGGTGGCTTGCACCAACAGGCAAGCCAGCATCTTGCTGAATACTCGGGCAAATTCACTCTACTCAAGAAAGAATGCTAATTACACGGAAAATTACAAAACCTCTTTCAACGAGCTTACAAAACTCATTCTGATGGACAACAGGATACTACTTGATCATTTTGCCTGGAACCATCTTTGAATGGACAAGGAGAACATGGAATTGCTGAGCTCTGTTAACTTCAGTGTCTTCTTGTCCTGTACTTTCAGATACAAACTTAAGCTTCATCCTGAGCTGATCCAAAAGAGTTTCTAGAGCCTGACCGGCAGTCCATAATTATGGAAAGCTCTGAGTTTACCGTCGTAGCTTCCCGTCACAATCACGAGGCCCCATGCTTCTGAAAGGGAGAGGTCTCCTTGATGCTTCCCGGATTCGCAATATTCTTCCGTGAGTGGAACTTCACATAGAGGAAGCCTCTCTTCGGGCCATGTGGCAGAGCCCATGCATGACCTGTCGAGTGAGAAGCAATTACCGAGCGAAAATTGTTCGGGTTCTCTATGATTCGGTACGCAAAAGGAGCATCTGCATTTGTGATTTCCTAGGTCCTTCAGTCCTCTATGTGTGCCTGACCATGGTACTGCAATCGACACACCTTCGGATGAAAAGTATTCACAAGAGCGCATGGACTTCGTGCTCTTGGAAGGAGGCACACCAAAGTCATCATAGTTCCACAAGTAAACGCGATCCTCTCCAGTAGATACCATGTGATTGCCGCTCGAAGTAAAAGAAGCAGACATCTGCTTTACCGACCTTGGATGCCCTGTTAAATCCAGTAAATTGCAGCTTTAAACATTGCTGGGAGATTGTGGAACCAAAACAAAAAGTCTCGCTTCACATTGGCAAAATTGTACACTGGTAAATAAGTCGTTCTAGGTTCATATTATCGTGGACACAGATGAGATGTGACACCACAAGAATGATAAACCCTAAACTCTTTTTCCCTCAAATTATTTGACTTTTCACTCACTATGGTGTCAAGGATATTAAATAATGGCTCAGATGCAAAAAAAAAAAAATTTGACTAAAGCCATGCATTTTTACTAGGCAAAGATGAAAGATGCCTTGATTTTAATCTTCAGGATGTTGATAATGATGAACGACAATTTCATGAAACCTCAAATGAGAACTAAGTTCAATACCTCGGTATTTGGAGATGATATCTGTTCCTTCTAAAATACGGAGTCTGCAATCTTCTGACGAGATCATCACTCTTCGAGAATTTTCCCGAGAAAACTGCAGTGAGAAACCATTCAAATGTCATTCATGAGCACTGTAAGAAGAACCTTTCAGAAACTCGAGCTTTGCTTATGCCAAACCTGAATGCTAGTGATCTTGTTGCCAAAGGTCCTTTTTTTACCTTGACCATGGATAACTACATCTTGCTGGAGATGATTGCCTGCAGCCAGGTAACTTTAGTTAAGTCCCCACTATTTATATTCACAAACAAGCCATGCAGTCAAAACATGAGGAGTAAGTTACCTGACATCTCAAAGAAACGGCAAGTGCCTGTGATACTACCAACAACAATTCCCTGCAAAAAGCATTGAAGAAAGAGAAGACGAGATCAGCATAATCGTTATTGTCCTAAAACTTTAGATATGGCTTAGCAGCACGAAATTATGGATCATACTTTTCCATCAGGCTGGTAGCAAATGGCGGTTATTACATCTCGCGCGTCTGCCCAATCCACAACTCGCCTTTCGGATATTCCCCAAATCCGAGCTTTACCATCTATAGAACCACTTATGAAGTAGTTCTCATCGAGAGGGTTAAATTGAATGCACGTCACTGTTTTAGATAAAAAAGACAAACAATTAAGATAATGGGAAATTATTGAATAACGAAATAAGGACATCTTGAGACGAAGAGAACTGAATTTTAACATTTACCATAATTACTATGACGGAAGACATCCAGGCATCGATCGCAACCCACTTTCCACAGACGAACGGTATTGTCTTTAGAAGATGAAAGCAGTTTCTGCAGCAAAGTTTAAAAAAGCTCCCATCAGCCATTAACTCAAGGAAAACATTAACGATATGAAAATAGTGAAGATATGTGATCGCTTCTGGAAGATATAAAAGGTTTTGCTAGAACTCACATTAGAAGAAGACCAAGCCACCTGCAGAACATCGCTCGTATGGCCGCGAAACTCATGCAACGGTGATTCACTGATCCAGAAGATTTGATCTGGCATTAAAACTGAGGCGTGGTTCGACTTGATTCCTTTAGAGCCCGACATGTCCTTTTTTACCAAGCTGCAATTATCACCTTCGCAAGTATCCACATAACTATGAGAGGCATCTCCTGATGCAACCCGCCATATCCGGACCATGCCATCTGAACCACCAGTTGCCAAGAATTCGCCATCTGGACTGAACTTCATCGTCCAGATTATGCCGTCGTGAGCTTGAATTTCTTGTCCGACGTAGAGTGCGGATAATTCCATCCACCTCTTTTTGTAGTGTCGGGTGTTCAGCTTTCTCAATCTGGGTACTTCAGGATCTGGTTTGAATGATTCAGAAATTGACATGTTATGTTTGTTGTTCCTCTTGTTCCCAAAAAATTTCCACCACCAATTCATTCTCGCTTTACTTTCAAGAGATGTCTGTTTGCATTTCACAGGTGAATGTGAAAACCCATCTGCACCCACATCGGCCGATTTGTGCTCCTGTTCATCAAATTCATCAACCATATAATCTCCATCATCTTCCTGTCCATTTCTAGAGCACGCAAAATCTTGCTCTGTAGAATCAGTTCCGGACAAAAGTGAGCTCGAAACAGCTCCACTGCACACGCTTAACCTATCCACATCTATCTCACTTTCATCAGAAGACACGACCGGAAAACTGAATTCAGCAAAACCCATCCCGCGCAAGAAGGTATCGCGCCTTTCTTTGACACTTTGTGGTTCGTTCAACCAAATGTCGTACCGAAACTCACTTGGACTCAATTCTACTTCATCTTTAGCCACATCCGACTCTTCAGGAAACGAAAATTGCTCAGCAGAATCAAAGAACTGATCACTCTCCCCGTCATTATGACCCAGCATGTCTTGCAATTGGCCTAATATTCATATCAAAGAACCAACTCGGATCACCACCCCCTCTTCCTCAATGCTATCAATATTTTCGAGCAGCTCAAATCACTACTTATACCCCGCGACACCATGAATTCAAGCACCAAATTTCGCTCAATACCGCCGAAAACCACAGGATGCAGCAGCTGGTATTCCCAAGCTCCACCAAAACCTACACATATCACATTAGTTAATTCCCCAACATGGGTTAAGGACGACGTACCAAGCTCTAACTCCCAAAAAAGACCACCGATGGAACTTTTTATATGTGAGTGTTGGGAAAGCTCAGCTCCAATCCTCAGCATAAAAAACTAATCCAAGCAATACCCAGATGGCCAAAAGTCTCAGGAACCACAAATCGGAGAGCTCCAATGGCCTCAAAAGTTGGGATAACATAAACAAATGGAGAATAGAAAGATATATATCTTACCTCGGTTTCAGCGCAAAGCAAAAACGTGGACAATTCAACACGAAATCCACCGACCCTCCTGAGATCATGGCTCGTAGAAGCCAAATCGCAAGCAGAACCAGAACAGCACTCTCTTTCGATTTCAACTGCCACAATGCATTGAACCCAACAGAGAAATTCCAGGGGTCGGGCACTTGGGTTCCGAAGAGGAGATGGCGGAACAAGGAAAGGTGTGTGGACGTGTGTGAATGGCTGCCGGGGGGGGAGATCAAGAATCGATAAACAAAGCCGGGGGAGGTATAAATAAATCAGACAGACAGGGAAGTTTCTTTCTTTTTGCGGTTTCTCCGTTTTCTTCCAAAATTCGAAAGAAGGGTCGATTAAGAAATCGATGAAGGAAGGGAGGGTGGTGCGTGTCTTGAGAAGTGTGCGGGGGAGTGGGGAAGCGCACGAGCGACAAGAACGAACGGCGCGGCCCGGGAAACAAGAAGCTTGTGTGCTGTGCCGAAGCAGCAAGCAATGCCGACCAACTACCAGCTCGTTTCACTTGCCCTTTCCCTCCCCTGCTTTCTGCAGCGCGGAGCCTTTGCTTCGCTTTTCTTGTTGCTTCAGTACTTCCCGGCAAGCAAGCGCTTCCACTTTCTGCACATTAAGGAGGGAATGGTTTGAGACAGAGAGAGAGAGAGAGAGACACACACACACAGAGACAGAGTGTCTGAGTCAATTGTCGAAAACGAAAAGGCTGAACACCGAGGGTCTAAACTAACTTTTTACCTAAAAAAACTAACTTTCTACCTTTTCTTTTTTTTTTTTTGCCTAATTTCAAAATTTGTAATTCATGCATTTAGCTTTTCAAATTTAAAATTTATAAAACTTTCGCAGTACTCCAATATTGATACGTAGACATAATCTTTAAAATTTGAATGACGATTAAATTTTCGCGATAAAGTAAAGAATGGTTTCCTTTTGCTTGTTTACGGGTTACAAACGAGTATAAGGTTGAGATTAAGAAAAGACAAAGTGACGCTTTTATGGTCGTTAATAGATGTCTTTAGGGAACCTATAACTAGGAAAAGTTTTTGATTTTCAATATATTGATTACATGTAACTCCAGAAAGATGGTGCGTCGAAGAATCGCATAATTTCCATTACTAGCTAGTTGACATGTGTTTCAAGGACATCCTTGAAGAAAATTATCCTTTTATGATCCGTAACGAGAGAGTAAAATCAAGGACCCCCAAATTTAAAAATTTAAATTACAAGATCACAGCAAATCATTATAAAGATAATCATTGATTGAAATGTAGGTCATTCGAAAAAGCATATCCAAGTCATTCTTAATTGTCTCAAAAAGACATTAATCATTTCATATCGTTTTTATGTTAAGAGGGCGTCAATCTTTCTTTTAAAAGCATTATAGTTATCCCTTTTATTAGTAGCTTAGCAATTGAAAAAATGGATCGCAAAACTGGCGATATACAAGCATTGTGATAGGTATTTATCAAATACCTTATAATTACGAGAAAATTATAATTGAAAGTAATCTAAGGGAAAACTCATTTTTTTACTCTAGAATAATTTGATTTTCTGATCAAATAATATAATGAACTTATTTAAAATACACACACACACACACACACACACACACACACACACACACACACATATATATATATATATATATCAACCCAAAAATTTTCATGGGTCATTGTCAATCATAACACACCAAAGCACTCCCAAAGCGACACCACAGGACAGCAATGCGAGAAGGACCAAAGGGGTTGACTTTCAATTTGCTATTAATGAGCCTTTAAAGCGTATTAAATAACGAATTAATTGGCCAAATTTTTTTTAAAAAAATTGAAAAAAAGGCTGTAATAGCAAAGTAGGGATGTTCTTATAGAATGGCCTATTGTTTTGTAGGCTTCACTTAGGCAAACCTATTTTATCAAAAAAAAATTAAATTAAATTAAAACAAAATTTCTCTCCTCCGCCGAATCTGACAAATTGGCATCCTGGGTTTTAATATTCATTATCCTACTTGCCTTGCCTAACATTTGATTAATGTTTAAAATTAATTTTTTTGGTAAAATTAATTTTTTTGGCCAAAAATTATATTGAATTAAGAACGTACAACTTGCTTATCCGAAAAATGAAAAATCATGAGTATATATATTAACTGCATTTTTGTATTCAATAGGCGAAATCTATGTTAATGAGGGATTCCGATATATTAATAATAAAAAGACTTAATTATCGCATAGTATAACTCTATTCAACTCATTTCATCATAGTAAAAAAGATAATAAAAAGCTACACTAGAAACGATGAAAATAGAAAATATACAGATTTAAAATCCATGCTATAATTGTCTTGGTGTCTAGGCATCATCGACACAAACAAACCTCCCTATCGATATTATAGCGCCTTCAAAGTGCTCGTCAGACATATGTACAATTTTCAAGATATTTACTATGATCCATTTAATCTATAACTTTTTTATTTAGTTACTTAACAAGTTCATAAAAAAAGTCATTACTTCACAGTATTAGAGAACTAAACAATTGGAGAGGGATGTGCAAATTTTCTTTTTCTTTTTTTTTTTGGGAATTTTTTTCATGAAGATAATAACTGGATAATCAATGATCACTTTTTTTGTTTTTTTCTTTATTATTTTTTGTGGGTAGATTTCACACTTCAAAATTGGGAAGCAAGATCTCCAAAATCCAAAACACGAACTTGAACACAAACGAGACAGAAAAGGGGAAAAGGGAATGGACCAGAGACAGGCTGTGCTCTCAAAAAGGCCCGTCACAACAAACACTTTCAGCAGTCACTGCCAGTGCCAACCCTCCCCACAAAGTCCCACAAACCAATCTTTAAATTCCAACATTTATTAGTCTTTATTCTTTAACATATTCATTTCTTTTTTGCTCAAACTTAATATATTAATTAATTTAGACAGACATTTAATAATTCCTCTCTGCAAACCATCTGACCCTTTCAATTGGGGACAGCGATTGTTCCTAATCCTAAAAACCTACCTCTCTCCTCCCCCCTACGACCTGCAACTCTCTCTCTCTCTCTCTCTCTCTCTTTTTCTCTCTGCAATTCTTGGGCTTGGGAAATAATTGCAGAGTGTGTTCTTCACCATTGAAGATGGCTAATGAAGCTCCAACCATGGTTGGGAATCCATTGTGCTCAAATTGGCTTGTTGTGGAATTAAAAATTAAGTGCAATATCTCAGAGTTTCAAAAAAGAAAGAAAGAAAGAAAAAGAAGAAAAAACACTAAAGTGAGCATTGAGTTCTAATATTGCGTTTAGTACGATGACATGAAATGAAATTAAAATGAAAAGAAAGGTAATCCGTGAAGGTTGAATGAATTATGGTTCTTTTTGTTTGGTTTATGAAAGAAATATGGTGGGAGTAGAAACGAATGATTTATGTAATAAATTTAATATGCATGCAATTTTTGAAATGGTGACATTATTACAACATGCCATAATTATAAGTTAATCATAAAATAATTCACCAAATATTGGGCTAAAATCATAATTCGATAATTTGTAGTGTGATAAATGACTACTTAATTTAATCTTTCATTGAATATATATTTCTCTTAAGTTTTAATTATAAAGTTAGTTTCTTCACATTACAACCGATCATGATAGTTGATATTTTACTATTCAAATTTAGTGATGTTAAAATCAGTCTTTTATCAATTGTAGCTTCTTATTAATTAATAATCAAAATCTTTTTAAGTTTTATGTTGGTGCAATATTGGAATGGAGTTATGATCCCTTCACATTAGTGATATGACTCCCTCTACAAGGGGAATGCCCATTCCTTTGAACAAAACACAAATGTAAGTTCTAACCTACAACAATACATTTACATATGACTTTAAAAAAATTAAAATCATGTGCAAAGTTAGTCTTAGCTAGGCTTATGAAAAAAAGATGGTGTCGTCCCCATAACTAGATGGAATGCCATGCGCTATAATTGCATTTCATTTTCCTTAAATATGACGAGGCGTTGACGGTTCTAAAACGTATTTTAATTGAAATGTGTCGTCATAGCGCCGTCCTGTCAAAGATTGATAACAAAATAGAACATGATTTTTTACAAAAATCTATGATATCGTGAGAAGTAAACACGTACTTCACGAGAAATTTATCTAGATTAAAAATTCGAGGCGCATGAATGGCTATCGAGACAATACAACCATTCTCGAATCGAACTCTAAATCTCTCGTGGGACTAAAATCAAAGGGGTGTGCGTACGGACAATTTGTACGATTTTTTTCTTTCTTTTCTTTTCTTCTTATTAAAATGTCATTTGGAGCAAAGATTTGATGGTGCGCACGACGCTCGTGTGGACTTACTTTCACGTGGCAACTTGGGCCACGAAGGGTTTTGTCTTTTATTTCCTTAAAAAATCTGCCAAAAGTGGAACGTCAATCTTTAATTAAAACAAATAATTAGGTGGAAAAAGAAGAAGATAAAAATAGTGCCCACGCTCTCCTTGCCTAATCAATTTTATTAGTAATGAATTGATCGAGGATCTGATACCGCACTAGGTTTAGTTAATAGCCAGAATCTCCCATCTCAATTTAAAAAAATGGGTGTGTAAAATTATCAATCTTTATAATTAATTTTCGCCCTACAAGAAGCGGCAATCAAGGCAAATTGCTATTAGTCAAGCTTTGTGGGTGCCAAGTTGATGATAGGAAGTCTAATCTCCCTCAGATTAGACAGATAGATAGCCAGGCATAAATGCCAATAATCAAAACCTAGCCTCCATAACAAGACAAATGCGATTTTCAATTGATTTAATATAAAAGTGCGACATCGCCAACTACCAACACGGCGATTTTCGAAGGCTCGCTCAAGCATTCAATAATTCGAGAGCATTCGACCCTAAGCGGTCCACTCGACGTGCGAGAAGATATTCAAGAATTGGCTCGAGGAAAATTGAGGGACCCTCAAAAGATAAGGACCCTTCTCATGAAAGCAAGCAAGGACACTAGAGGAAGGAACAAAAGTGCAATCAAGACAATAATATTAGATATAGTAATTTTGGTAATATATATATGTAGTATTCTCATAATGCTTAGCCAAGGACAAAACCCTAGTTTCTAGTTTTGATATTCACAGGCAGTATCTAAAATATGCGATGTGGGGTTTGTTCTACTTTCAAGCGCATCACTTTCTCTCCAAACAAAGGAAACTCCATGAACAACCATGCAAAATGAGCAGTAACTCCGTTGTTCTCCATAGGTGGAGAACTCAAAGAGAGAGTAAAAATGTAAATGCAAGGGCATAGAAGCAGCAGAAAGACTGACCTTTTGCTCCACTTTGCAAACTTTGCATGAGGCTCCAGCAATGTGTGGACTGTGGACTCTCTTATATAAATGAATCAGAGAGAGAGAGAGAGAGAAGGAGGGAGATGTGTCTTTATCTAAGCCATGGAAGCTGTGAGATGATATGGGGGAACAAAATAGGAGAATGAGTGATGAAATTATTTAATTGGGGCAAAAGCTGAATTAATGAACTCGTGGAGACACCTAAGCAGATACCAAAAAGCGAAGGCTTGGACCCTAATTGTTGGGAGCATATCTCCGCTCGATCTTCCCTCGATCTCCCCTCATTTAAACCCAAAAGTTACTGTCCCTTCATCTT